TTTCTCATTTTAAAAATTGAAAGAAAATGTAAAAAAAAAAAAATGGATCAACATCAACGCACGCGGTTGGCAGAAACCCGGGGGTTGGGGGGGGGAGAAGGTGGGGGGAGAAGGGGGGGGGAGGGGGGATAGATGACAAACAGGAGGTCGTATGGCGGCATGCTGGAGAATCGGGACGTCCGAATTAAAGTCAACATGGAGAGATGATGGGCAGTGTGGATCTCTTTTATTACGTGGATACGCCGACCACGAACTGACGAAAGCATTCATCTTTGCGTCGGATCAAACATGTCGGGCTGGTTGGAAAAAGAAGCCAGGGCGAGCCACCTCGCTGTTACACTCTGACGTGGGCAAGGGGCAGGTGGAAGGCACGATCGACGCCGTCCACGGCGGAGGGCTCTGGCAGGTCCAGCAGAAGTCCAGTTCTCTCGTCCCATCGGGAAGGTAACTCCGTCCCCAGGGGGGGGAGGCAACGGGCCCCTACGTCCGTGATGCTAGCAGAAGTTAATGGCGGTGGCCCTCCTCGTTCCCCTCCGAAGGGAGAGAAAAAGCTTGGGCTGTCTACGTTGGGCACATGGGCGGGTCGCCCTCCGACGGGTCCGTGAGATCTACGTCGTTTCACCTTCATCCATTGCGAAACCTCTCCGGGACAAGCCGAGCCGACAGATTCCCGGAGAGGCTAGGCTAGCAGAGAGGCTTCGGCTGCCGGTTCGAGCTTCGCCGCTGCGGGATCTCTCTGGTTCTCGACGTCACTCCAAACCTTTCTACATCACTCGAACCTGAAGGCCTCCCAGGAACCCACTTAACAACCTCCACTTCCAGCCGCCCCCACCAGCTTCATATTTTGTTCAGCGAGCAAAATGTCCAGACAGATCATACGAGAGGACGCTGTCGAGCGGCGGAGAATTCTCCGCCACCCGACCGTCTACCGACAGTGTTGCCACCCTCCGCCAGCTGCCCGCTTCCGTAGCATGGCCGTCCCCTCTCGCCCCCTAACCGTCTCGTAAAATCCAGGGATTAGACGACGAGCGGCGGCCGAGAAGAAACTCTGAATGCGTCAGCCACCCTGCGCTGTGTAGCTAGCACGCACCATGGCCGTGGGTGTTTCCCCACCGGCCATACCGGACGGCCCGGCACAGTTTTGCACCTGCGCGGGGGGCACAGCTCCAGCGGCCCGTCCTCTTGCGCCAAGACTACGACCGCCTCGGGGAGGACAGATTGGTTTGGCTGCAGGCAGCTCACCACCTTTGTCACCGGCCGACTTTCCTTGTCACCGACATGCCAGAGAGACGAGCTCGTCGTGGGCGGCGACCACCGTGGCTCATCGTAGACCGGGGACCTGCCTACCAGCGGTGGCCCACCGAGTCCACCGGCCTACACTTTCGTTGAAAAGTCGACCATCGATGGCCGGCACCGGCCCAGGCCGCCTAATTGCCGCCGGAGTGATCCTTGGTCACGAAAGGCCAGCACAGACAAAGACGGAATCGACGGGGACTGGGCTGATTGGAAACCAAAGGCTAAACCAGTTCAGTCTGTGGTCACGCCGCCATGCGAGGGGGGGTCTCCGTCTCCACTCTGTCACTGCTCGCATGAAGAAGACAGATGATCAAGACTACAAGACGGCTCTAGATAGAACCAGATCCCCGGCGGCTCGCTGCCCGCAGAGGCAGCTCTGCAGCTGGCGTGCAGAGGCAGATGCAGCAGCGTCCTCATCGGCGGCGCCACACACCCTCCCCCCGCTCGCTCCAGCGTCCCTAGACGTCCCTCTCCGTCAGACCCAAACCTGTCGTCGCCATGCCGAGAGCTTCTTGGTCCAGTCACGGAGCTCCCTACCTTCACGATCGCACACGACTAAATGAGATCATTATAAAACGGCGCACGCGTCATTAATCTGAAAAACGTTCTGCCATTTTGCGACAGTTTTAGCACATAAAAAACGAGATTAATATCCGAGAGGTCACGCGGCCAGACCTCCGGTCAACCGTATCGACACGGCCAGTGAAACCCCAACTTGACTCTCCAAACCTTCTCAGCAGAGGCTGCATCCAGCTGCTCGCCGGCGGTTGACCGGAGAAGTGGGAGAGCAGTGGGGTGGGCAAGCGCATCTCCGGAGTCAGAAATCCCCACCGAACAAATGCCTCGTTAGTCCCTGCCGAGGACGACTTTTAATCGGCATCGGGTTGTACCTGCAATATCCATAAATTGTCCCTCGCAAATGCATACAGAAAACATAGGATGAATGCATTGCATCATCAGGGCCACAGATCCAACGTCACAAAGAGCAAGAGTATTATTACTCGCCATTAAACATCTAAGCTGATGCTCGATTCAGATTTTCCTGTCGATGTTCCTCGTTCCAGGCAAGAATGGGCAAATCAGCTAAGACATACATGCTCAGTTTAATAAATAAAAAATAAATAAAAGACTAGATATCATTGTTCATTGCAGTGGAGGGGGCAATGGATGCCGCCCTTCTGCCGTCTTCATTCCAGCAGTCAATTTACAAGCAAGAAGCTGTCGACTTTATGAAATTGCTATTTACCTGACCTGGGCTTATTATTTCTGATCATTCTGCACAGATTATTACTCCCCTTGAACATGATTGTGAAAAAAGATAATGATAAGAGGCATAGAGTACACCATCATGTAGCTGCTGAGTGAAAAAGTTGTCACAGCGACATAAAAATAGATATTCTTGGTGGTTCTGATCAGAAAAGAGCCTCTTACTTTCACACTGGGCTACTCCTCTAAATCCATCAGGAGGTCCTGTACTTCCTTCCCGAGATTATCACATTGACCTCGTAAAAGGATGAGAAAGGAAGCAAAGTTATCGCCCCTTTATTTATCAATCCACACCAGTCAGGAATAAACCATGAACTAAATTGTTTCACAAAAAACCTAGAAACATGTCACTTCTTTTCTTTTTCCCCCAATTTGATGTATAAGTGACATGTGGGCATCAAAAAAAGCAAAAACAAAAACAAGAACAAAACAAGCAGTGTTATCTCTCGTTGCTTTCTTCACACCAAAGAGCTTTTCACTCGCCATCGATTACTTCGCTACCCAAGCTAGCCACAAACCCATGAGAAAAAGATGTAGGCTTTTGCACGGAGAAACTGGTTTTGAAGAGATCAGGAGGTTTACAAGGATCGAATGGGAAAATGATTTAACAATTTTGCAAATTCGATAGACTTGATGAATTACACCCTCCAGTAGAAACTAGTAGCGAGGAACGATACATGCATTCTTGAGTGAAATGTTATAGTAATAACTGCATAACTATCGTTCCCATATAAGGAATCTTCCAGCAATTTTAAGATTACAATCAAACATGAGATAATTCTCTTAAATCAAGATCATGATAACAGGCATTTATGAAATGTTTAACATTTTCGTTTATGACTCCGCACCTTCAGAGTTTACTAACTTTAGCAAATAGGAAACACATTTCTGCTAAGAATTTTTATTCCTGCGACATTGCTACGGTGAATATTTCAAACATTCAGCCAAGAACAGCTCAACTGATTGACTATGCTATCATTGGATGTCAGTTTAACTAGTTCGATAAAAAAGCCAATTTCAACGTTGAGTTGATTTTAGCAGCACAATGCGGCACCAATGCTATAAGACTATCACTAAATCGTCGAGTTAAAGTTAGTTCTGAGAAGCAATACATCAATGACAGTGGCAACTTGTTTGATGGTGCGTCACAAATGAGAAGGTTTGTTTGTTTTCTGCCTTATTCATGAAAATCAAAAAGTAAATATAATTAGTGAGAAATTAAACGAGACAGTATAGATACTCGTAGGTTAAACGTTTCATTTAAATCATAAGTAATACTAAATTTCCCTCGTCATTATAGTTTATCATTTAAGCGGTAAGATATTATACCAGCACCTATTCCTTTCATGATTGCATGTTTTCTTTGGTTTCACAAAGAATATATATCCGTGTTTGAACACAAGACGAATCCCATTAGGTAAGGTTATAATTTCTCGCATAATTTTCAAATTCATTTACTGAGTTACAATATCAGCTTCGAAAATTCAGGGACAACAATCAATCTCCACTTGAAGAATGAATTTGAACCAAAAAAAGGTATATGGGAAGAGCAGAAATGGGGAAACAATGACATCCGATGATGATGACCCAAAAAAAAGTTAAAATAGATATCAAAATATCGAATTGCAGACCTTGTTAAGTTTTCTAAAAGCACTAAATACCAGCCTGAATCATGCTGAGTTGCAGGCTTATCATGCAGAAGTTCGCTGTTGCCAGCAATAATCTGAGGTGTGGAAAAAAGGCAATAGCCTCCACCTTTATGTTGGGCCTTACGAAGCACGCATGACAAGCCCCCAACTCTGCCCTGGAAAATGGAATGAATCAATAATGTCTTCATATTGAAACTCCTGAGGCAGATACTGTTGTGGATAAACTTAGAATGACCAAAGAATCATTCAGCGAAACGAGCAAATAAAACCAGCTTATAATCGAGGAATTGCCTAAACAAGACACATTTCTACGGATAACAATACCTAATGGCATTTGTCTTTGCATTAATCATTCTCTGTGTACCAGTCCTAACAAGTTCACTTAATTTATATCATAGAAAGGAAAACAACATATAGATGAAGCTATTACAATATACACTTGTAGTCTGCTGGAGCTTGCGTCCTCACAGAGAAATAATCTGTACAAACTTTTTCTTCCACCAGCAATGTGGCTATAAATTTGTTCTTCACTTTATAACAGCAGCGGGATTTATAACTAAGACACTGCAGAGTAGAAACCTTTACAAAGGAAGCGCAGAAGGATTCCACATAAGGAGGCCTAACTTGAAAATTTTCTTACACGATCATTAATATTCTCAAGAAATGTTAGCCATCCACGCTTCTGCCCGAGTTAATATCCAATGAAGATACAATAAATTCCATTAAGTACAATATGGACACCACATGAATTTTACTGATGAGTCGCCTTCTTTGAAGAGACCATATTTCCTAAAATTTTGACCAACTAGTAGAGTCGGCATCATCTAAGAGGCCACCTCCATCTAACATGACAGCAGATAAAGGATAAGAATATAACATATCCAAGTCATTACTACCACTAGAACTACAAACGGATGCACTTCTGTTTTCTGGCTCAATGGGTGTGGTAAAGGAACGACTAACATCACCATTTGGTCTTCTTCCCCGCATTTCCGAGTTGGAAAATCCCATTCCGTTGTTCAAGGAAGCATGCATGTTTGTTTCTCCCAGCATTATTTTTGGGGAAGCAACAGCATCTACCTTTTCCGGTATAGAATGTGGTTTTTCCGCACAGAAATGCCGCCATTTATTTTCTGTGCCATTGGCTTTCATCTTCTTGATAACTTTACCACGGGACTCGTGAAAAAATGGGTGTTGTTGCGATCCTCTCCTCTTTCCTCCGATTGACATCAATTTAGGCTCCTCATAAGTGGTAGTTTCCTCACAATTTTCTGCTCTCACGGATCCACTGGTTCCTTGGCAGCTCACCCTCTTCTGGCACCTACCATTTAATAGCTTCGCACTTTCAGAACTTCGTACATCCTGAAACAATAAAATAACGGCAATTAGAACGATAAAAGGCCCAAAAATCCAGTATTGAATGGCACAAGCGTTAGAAATTTTTCATGTATCATTTTTGCAAGTGACATGCATAGTTGATTGAAAAAAACAGAATTAAAATCCAAAAGTTAATCTGAGATCAAAAACATCACCTTTTCGATCACAATCCATCGGTTATCTTTCCAGCATTGACGGAGTCTGATATCAGATTTGTCGGCATTGAATAACCTAGATGATCCGAGGACTCTAACAGAAAAGCAATTTCCGTCAACTGTGCTGCACACTTCAGCAAGCTTCCACGACCCATTATCAAAAACCTCAACGATGTCACCCGACATCCAAGTGATAGGATCCTGAACTGATGGAGGGCAGGGCCTGATAACCTTCCTCGGAACTCTTTCCACAAGTTCAGACATTCCAGATGGAGATGGATCGTACCTGACGCTATAGGTATGCCCATTACCCGAGATGATTTCAGCACACCACCATGAACCAGAAGGGACTTCTCTCTTGTTCAATACCTCCACCTTAGTTCCTTTCTTATATTTCATGGTTGCAGTGTTTTATGGAATACTTTGAAAAACCCTGATTCAAACAAAGACGCAAATTTAGTCCGTTGGCATAACCGAGGAGAAGAGACAGTAACGACGATCTTCTCCGATTGAGAGTAACTGATAATATCAAGAAGACTTTAAGTCAACGAACTCCAATGTTCAACTACAATGCATAAAAGGGAAAAGTTCAAAATCAGGGAGCACTCGTAGCATCACTAAAGACCCGTCGATGCAAACGCAAAAAGACTTATCATAGAGGGAAGGACGGGGAACAGCAAAGCAGATATCGTCTTTAAGGGAAAGGAAGGTTTGACGACGATCTAAAAGGGAGAACGACACAGGAGGAAAAAGGAAACCGATCAGAGCACACAACACAACATGGCCTAGTATTTAAGGATCACAACCAGATCATCTCGACGAAAATCAGACCCTCGATACGGTAGCCGAACGATTCTCGCAAATGGGGGAAACAAAAGTAAGACACCCGAGGCCACAGCGAGATCAAATCGACAACAAACCGTCCCCAGCCGCAAACATTTCTAACCAAGAAAACAAATAAAATATATCGAAAAAATCGGTGGAAATCCCGACCTACATCAACCTCCTCCATCCCAACAAAACCATCACACAACGCGAGAGGCGAGAAAAAGAAAAAAAAAAAATCGAGGAGGAGACGCATACCGCGCTACCTTCGCTGGCCCCTCAGTTGCGCTCCCCTTCGGTATCTCCCCGCCGCCTCGCCTTCCCCCTTGCTTTCTCCCCCTTCTCTCTATTTCCCCCCTTCGCGGTCCTCTTCTCTCCCCAACACGTCTCCTGCAATCAGGCAGCCGTGGCTGCCAAGCCTCAGCGCATCTTTAACTGCCTCCTCCGCTCCCTTCCTCCACCCGACCCGAACCAATAACCGACCCGGTTCAGGCAGCCCGGCCCGTTGCTGACCCGACCGGACACCACGGCTTTGACCAACCGATGGCGAACGGTAACCCTACTTTATTTGGTACGTCTGCCGCACGCATGCCAGCCGGGTTAGCGGAGCCCCCGCAAGCAAGATCGCCGCCGCCGCGAGGGGGCACTCCTTTCATGCGGCAGAGAGAAAACCGGCGGCGACTTGATATCTCCGGCGAGATGGGGCGGCGACGCCATGACGATCGACTGCCGGAAAGCCCGCCACGGAAAAACTGGTGGCGGGGCGGCGGGACGGAAGAAGACGACGGGCAGATGGACGCAGAGAAGCAGGCGGTTGACCGGCGAAGACGGCAGGACGGTTGGAGGGAGGTAGTTGCGGAGCGAGCAGGTGGGCCCAAACACCACCGGCACCTGCACTGAATAATTATCAACCTGCGCAGATGCGTTATATTATATTATAATCGCGGCATCGTTTTCACCGCGGAGAGGGATGGTTACCCGGGATCATCCATCCATCCATCCCCCACCGAGCAGCTCATTTCTTCCGCAGCTACCAGTTCGTCACCTGCCGCCGGCGGAGGGCCAGAGTTTCTTCGAGTATTGCTCGCAGGGGAGAAGAATCCAGAGCGCTCGCCCTGTAGATCACCGGCCGGAGGTTGACAAAGAAACAGATAAACAGAAAGTGAGCTCCTGTCCTCGCGGCCTCTGTAAAAAAATGACGAGATCGCAGTCTCTGCAGCACTTCTCTGCCCTGGAACCTCTAGCGCTTACCACATGTACTCAATCAGAGGGCACCAGCAGCGGCTGTTCTCTCTGGAAGCTCCACGGATTCAACAGAGGTTTATGGAGCTGCACAGACTTGATCAGTTCAGAATTCGTGCGTGTCATCTGATGATGAATTGGACTTTCTATCTTACTTTCTATGACGGATTTTTCCATTTCATATCATGCATGAAATGGTTAAGTCAACCCACATGAAAATGTTAATTCCTTCAAAATCGGAAGCCTTCCGCAATGAACACCCACATGAACACCCGAAGCCATGGGAAGCAGAGGTACCAGCGAGGAAGAAAAGGAAAACTGGATTTATGACAGAAGATGACATTGATTCAAAACTGCAAGCCTCCTCCTTCAGTAAAAACCATAACTAAATCACCAACATGTCATGCGCTGAGCAGTACTCCAGGACCCAAATGAGCACCCAAAAGGGTAGTGAAGCAGTGGTGGTGGTGGCAGCACGGAAGGAAGATGAAACTGATTTATTGCAGAAATAATAATAATTCGAAATTGAAAAACTTCATCGATAAACCATAACTAGGTCACCCACATAGATGTATATGTATATGCGCCGAGCAATACTGCAGAACTCAAAAGGAACACCCAAAAATCATAGGAATCAGAGGTAACAGCAAGGAAGAAAAAGGAAACCGATTAATGAGGGTGATGTCGAACGTTTCTTATTTCGCTTTCTTCTGCAACGCAGGAGGCAGGCTCACTCAACCAGCCTGAAATACACGAACCAGAGAGATCAATAGTGGCCACAACGTGCCGCATCTTGGGTTATGCGCAGAGAGCTGGAAGGAACATCGCCAGACTAGTTTGGGGAACAGAAAAAGATGGCAACCTCCATTGCCATGTTAGACCATAGGTAGCAAGCTCTAGAAGCCTCCAACCTGGGCCCTGGAAAATTCATTGGAGCATCAATAACATCCGCAGACTGAAACTCCGCCAGCAAGAGCCAAGGATAAAGCGAATAGAACTAAAGTGAACAGAAGATATGTATATTCGAGGGATCAATTCCGAGTCACATCCATAAAGAAACAGACTCTAATCGTCCTATCAAAGTTGGTTGGCCAACGACAATATACAGATGTTATCTCCCAAGAAAAATACACTATTTATGTAGGAATTACAACAGAAAGATAGTCGAAAGTCTGCACAGAGCCGATGAAGAGCCGCAAAGTGTAAAAATTTCTGAGAGCGATTAAGCATATCTGGAAAATATATTCACATGCGAGTCGTTTCATTCAGCATCACGCAGCAGATTTACAAAAGATTCAGATTTCCATGCTGATTAATCAACTGAAAGTTGAGTGAATGGCACTCTTGTACATAAAAAAAATTGCGTGATGGGTTACAACTTTCACAAGAAATTCACAAAAAAGCATAGCACATGCTACTGAAAGAGGCTATGATTATAGAACCACCGAAGACAGATATCCCATTGCCATAACAAGTTCTTTGTACAAGTACTAATTGCCATGGTCAATCGTTGTCCACATAAAAGGAGAAAAAAAAACGAGAAATTCTGATCATCAAATCTGGCTACAACAGCATTCCTCACTTTACAATAGAACTACGATTCCAAGAAGGAACGTGAGACTAAAGGACACTTCTACAATGACTGTGGCATAGGATCTGTCTGACAGGGAAGATCTGACTTGGAAGATGATAAGTATCTTAGTTCTGATAAATGTTCGTCATTAGATATGTGGAGCTCAAGTCGTAGGTTAGTCATCAACTCTTCCTGTTCCCAAGTTATGGAACCAGAAGAGTACAATGCCTCCATGGTGGTACGATATGCATAGAGCTCTAGCTTATGAATTCTTTCAGCCGCATCCCCCTTTGTTGAAATTGACTTTGTTGCCCCGAGCTTTGACCAACAGGAAGAGTTGGCGTCATCTGAGAGATCATCCCTATCTAAACCGGATCCCGTTGAAAGATACCGGTAAAGCAAATCCAGATCATTGCTACCGCTAGAACTACAAGTAGATGCATCAGTAGGCTCTAGGCATCTGGTAAAACAAAAACCCACATCCTCACTCGATTTTACTTCATCCATGTCCATCACAGAAATACCAGTCCTGCTGGTTAAGAAGGTAGGCATATATCTGTCACCCGGCATTTTCTGTGGGAAAACAGCAGCATCTACCTTTTGCTGTGAATGGCACTGGTTGACAACAAGCTGCCGGTGACTACCCACTTTGTCAACTGCCTTTAGCCTCTTGCGATCTCTATGAAGTGACTTGGGGATAGAAGAGCAGTATCGGAATCCTCTCTTCTTGCCTCTTGAGGGCACTTCAATACCACAACTTTTCTCAAAGTTTTGCTCTTTCGTGGATCCTTCGCCTTTTTGGCAGTTCACCATCAGACAGAACCCTTGCTTCATCAGCTCTTCATCGTCAGAATTTCTCACATCCTGAAACAAGATGGAAAGATATCAGATCGAATTATATTTGAGGACGATAAAATAGGGAGAAGAAATGAAAGCATTCCCCTGTCACATATTGGTCAGCGTGGTTAGAGTCTAGAAGCCTTCTAGCATCGCTCCTTGGGTAGCCTACCTTGTACCTTGGTTAATGATCATACTACTACTGCACAATGCAAAGTCAAAGGAGAGAGCCGAACAAAATACCTTTCCAATAGCAACCCATCTGTTGTCCGCCCAGCACTGTCGTAGCCTGAGATCAGATCTTTGAACCTTGAGAGTCCGGAGAGATCCCAGGAGTCTAACATAGAAGTAATTTGGGTCAACTGTACTCAACACTTCCGAAAGCTTCCAGGAAGCGCTATCAAGGACCTCGACGATATCACCAGCGACCAAGTCAACAGGGTCTTGAGCCGACAGAGGGCGGGGCCTAATAACCTTTCGTGGAACTCTTTCCACGAGCTCACCCGTGCCTGGGGGAGACGGGTCGTACTTTACACGGTAGGTGTGTCCATTGCCAGATACAATCTCGGCACGCCTCCAGGAACCACACGGCACTTCCCTCTTGTCCAACACCTCCACTTTTGTTCCCTTCTTGTATTTCATGGTTCCAGCCAGAGATTCTAATCAGAGTTCCAGACCCTGTTCCCAAGAAAGGCCTAGCATGAGTATTTGTCAGGCAAATTCTCAAGAACATGATCAAAGATTCCATGGTAAATAAATTCAAAAGCTACGTTGTTAAATAATACCGACCATCCAATAGGACGTCATCCTCGAAAACTCGTACAAATACCCCCACCCCCCCCTCCCCTCTCTCCCCCTGAAAGAACACGTCCAATGCTTATGGAGCCAACCGACGCGTTGACAAGCGTGACCTGAGATAATCTGTTCGTGGAGAAAAGAAAATGCTCCCCCGGAAGATCAGAACGAGACGGCGCCAAACTGATACCCGATCGTGTACAACGAGAGACGGCGCTGAAGTCCGGACGGATGAACAGAGATCATCAAAAGAAAAGAAAAAAAATCCCGAAACAAAACCAATAGTACCGTAACGAAACTAAGGCGCGGCCGGACGCCATTCACCGCGAAACAGCACAACCAGAGATCAATTTTTCCACGGCGGGAGCCAGAAGACGTGAGTCGCGGGGATGGTCAATAGCGTCGACGTGCTCGGGCAGGCGCCGATTATGAACATAACATGAAGTAGAGAAGGCGGAGACTCGAGGCAAGACGCCAAATGCCCGCAGCGACGACATCAAAGCATAATCGGACAGAGTCTTTGAGACGACTCTCCAGAATCTAGGAATTCAAAATAACAACGAAAATGGAAATGAGAGCCGATCGAGTCCATACCGTAGTTCGAACTGCGCCCTCCAACCCTTCCCTTGCGCTATTCTCCCTCCGCCTCCGCGTACTGTTGAGCTCTCTCCTTCCCTCTCCGCCCTTCTCTCCTCTATTCCCCCTCTCTTCGTCCACGGTCACCCTCTGCATCTCCTGTTTTCCCCTCCTCGCAGGAAAATTCCCGACTTTACTGGGGGCGTTACTCAAATTTTGTAATCCCCCGCAAGTCCTGGCCCGGTCACGTGGAACCCAACAGAATATTCTGAACATACATTATGACTATGAAATTTTGCAAAAACCATTTATTATGTCAAAACATCAATTTTTTTTAAAAAAAAGGGGGGGCGAAAGTGAGAAGGTTGACCCATTTATTTTCCGAATTAAAAAGTCATAGAAATCGAGTCTAAGAATTAGATCCAATTTAGGTAGTACGATCCATTTTCAAGCCAAGTATAAGGTTTTTTTTTTTTTTTTTTTTTACTGCGCTGACTTTCCAAGCTCAAGAAAAATGGTCAGCCCTGACTGGGATTACTTGGGCTCAACACATTCACTCCCTTCTTTTTTCTTCTTTTCAGATGTATGAGAAGCGAATAACATTAATTAAGTTGGCTTTGGAAGTATTTCCGAATGTTAATCTAACAAAAAGGTTCCATTAACCTCATATTTACACTTCTTAGTAATGAACTCGAAGTCAAACCTAGCATTTTATTCGGCAGAGAACTGACCTCCCGATGATGAAGCATAGAAAATATTTAACTAGTGTATTTGCATGTAATTGTATATATTTTATCATTTTTCCATCAAAGATTTTCGCTTATTTGCCACATCTATCTTCTCCCTATAGAATTACACACAATTTAACCCATTTTCCATGCTTTCTGTTATCAAGGGTTGTTTCGGTCAACCATTGAATTCATTTCAATATCCCATTTAGGATCCACTAAGGTTGACTTGTCAACCTCTAGGATTCATGAAATTATCTTCTACTTTGGGGTTTCCTAGATTTCGTATAAACCAAGCCTATGTAGAGCCTCAATATACAATATTTCCAATTTTGTGCAGAAAACAAGAAAAAGGGGAAAGGCTATGGGCAATAAACGGTTTTGGGTCCTATTTTCGCGGTCCCATAATTGTATTGGGTTATATTCTTGATAATAAGAAGATTAACAAGCATAATTGGTTTGCTAAAATAAAAATAAATATTCAAGTTTTTCTTTATCCACAGTTTGAAAAGTGCCCATGATTGGCTCACTTTCATCGAAGCCAAAGCTCTCCAGTCCCAACGGGATTCAGTTGGGACCTCCCGGCCAACGGAACCCCGCCCAACAGAGACTACAGCCAGCAGTTTGGCATATGCTCCTCCCGTGGGCATCGGATAACGATGAGCCACCCAACCTGATCCTCTCTCTCTCTCTCTCTCTCTCTCTCTCTCTCTCTTTCTCTCTCGCTCAAAAGTATTTCATTAAAAGAAAGAAAAGGGGGGGGCGGGGTTGAGAGAGACGGGGCGCCACTTGAGGGAGTAGACGGAGACGTCGGAATGATCGGATGAGAGATGATGAGAGCAGAAGAGACTGAGAGGCGCACCAGGTGGGGACGCCGCCGATTGTTGTGGATAATACCCGCCAAGGCCTCCGGAGCGGCTCAGCCGCTAATAATCTAGCGGAGGAGATAAATAAAATCACGCCTGGCCAGCCAGTAGAGGACCTCCAAGGAAATCAAGAAAACCATACCGGGCAGAGGAGGGGCTCTCGCCCGCCCACCAGACTGGAGAGGTCCAGGACCCCACCTTCCCAGAGGACCTGAAATCTATATGCATTTATATCTATCTATATATATTAATATACGTATGTATCAATAGGCGGGAGGACTGATGTGAGAGGTGTGGGCAATGGCTGGGGAACTCAGGGCGGCGGCGAACTCAGGCGTTTCTGTTTGAGTCTCGGGCCCTGGTCGGGAGCTGGATCGTCTTCTCCGAATTTCCTGCGGAGCTTCTCCAGATCCTCACCGCCCACCGGACCGCGACTCGCGCTGTTCAGAGCATAGGCCTCCCCCATTTTCAGTCGGCAATGCTTGCTCGCAGACTCGTGGGAGACCACTGAAATAGCCGAGAGACAGAGGTGAAGCCCGTCACAGTGAGAAGATCCTGCGCCCCCTCGTCCCATGATCAGTTCATGGGACCACAGCCAGAACTGGTGTTTCTCAGATGAGAAGACCCCTAAAAACTATTAATATATACGAGAAAGAAGTCTTCGGGTGAATCAAATCGCAGTAGTTCGTCAGCTACTGCCATGGCTTGCTGCTTTTTAGGAACACTAGTACACTGAGAAGCTTTAAATATCACAAAATATTTATGTTTTTTAATTTTTTTAATGTCTGAGGAGGCTTTCCATAAAGAGAAGATTTTTCTTACCATCCATGATACGCAGATAAGCCTTGACCCAGTCTACGTTAGGATGAAGCAACATGACAAACAGAGCCTGAAATTTAGTGACATTGTGTGTCTCTAGATAAACAGTGGACATATGACAAGACACAGACTGCACTATCTTTGTGCGTCACACAGATGTTCCTTGAGTGCAAAAGACGCAATTGTTGTTGTGTCTGTGCTACTGAGCCTCCCAAAAAACAAAGGAAAATGAATGGAGTGACAGAGACCTAGCACTCGACTAGATAAAAGACAGTGAAAAAACAGGGTGCATAAAGCTACAAATATTTTAATTTCATAACACTTTTCAAGGCCTAGGATTAGATCTATTTCTTATGAGAGGATACCCACATGCCAGAATATTATCTTCTATATCTATTTACCCAGTCTTTCCAAAAATTTGTCGGATGCCCTCCCCTCATGCTGGATCCAGATATATATACCCAGTCAAAGAAATTCACTAGAACCATTAAGCGCATAAAATACTACAGAAGGAGAAAGACGGGCTCATGGAGACGTTCCTATTTGACTATGGACTCACTCATAGTCAAATTCTGCCACACAAACCATCAGTTAGCAAATAGCTTGGTCCGTTCACTTCATTTTTTTAAGACGTGAGTCAAAAACCTCCAAGTAAATATTTTAATCGATAACGACATTAAATTTCATGCATCACTTGTTTGTTCATAAAAGCTTAGAGTTATCTGATAAATATAAATTAAAAAAATTATGCATTTCCTGAGGAGTTTCTCACCTGGCCTTGGGTAATCTCTGCCAATGATGCAGTTTGCTCTTCTTTGAACACTTGCAGGTGCAGTCCAGGGTTCATATATGTACTCCTTTGGCATGTCTATGATTTCAGAAGCATCAGGTATTCAGCCGAACAACATGCAAACGTCACATAAAGATGAGAAGAATCCACGAGTACTTACCTTTCAGCACAGGGAGAAAATATCGAATAAACTTCCCCGTAGGATCATATTTCTTCCCAAAGGTGACAGGAGAATAGATACGATGATACTAATGGGCCATAAGGTACACAGTTAATTATAAATCACGGAAAGAGGCCAAGAACATAGTTGTAGGTAACAGAAGTTATCCAAGTGTGCTGACCTGGTAAAAGAATGACGAGCAAGATAGCCACAGCCAATTACCGTTGTTTATGGCCCAGTCAGAATCTATCAGGAGTCTCTCAAAGACGTCTCGACCCTTCTCCCAATGAATAAACTGCAATCAAGACAGCACTAGTTTCGTTTTTCTGCCGAGAACAAAGAGTGTACAAACGTCTGCATTAAATAGCTGACGAATCTATTTCTGCGTGTTGGAAGTTCTAGGTCGTACGGAAATAGTGTAATCAGTTGAGGGTGTTTTTGCAAAAGTTGTGTATTGTTACTCCTTATATAATGGGGGTTAAAGTTGAATGAATCTTGAGGCGGTTTCTGCCGTTCTCCCCTCTGTCCTTCATGACGAGGTTTTTTCTCCATTTCAACACCGTGCATTACAAGTTTCGTCTTACAAGATACTAAATCTTACTTCACAACAGAACCATGTAGTTGCCAAGAAAGTGGGTAGCAAGGATTTCCTAAAGCAACCCCCTACCTTCTATTTTCTGCCAATATCTAAAGAATAAGATATGTAGAAAAAAATTACATCAAATCATTGCATTTTTTTCTTATTTGTCAAGTTCAGCAGGTTATCTTCAAGCAAATCTCCACGTTAAGCAGGACTATTCAATTCAGAAACATAGATAGGTAAGTCATAAGCTCCATCAGAAAGCAAATCTCCTATTTGACACAATTCATACCAAATCTCCACGTGTCAGAAAGCATGCAACTGAATGTCGAGCAAGATGATGCATCCACCCCCATTGCTTGAGCTGTAAGATCATGAAAACCATAAAATATATTACATGATAAAGCGTTATCCAAAAAAATATTGGAAAAGATCATACCTGGACCATGATGGCATCAATCCAAGGAAACCCAGTTTGGCCATCTCTCCAGGATGCTAGTAGTTTATCATCGTCACTCCAAGGAATCTAACGTTTCATGATGAAATGACAACGCTAGTAAGTCAGGAAGACCTCAATGAAATGACGAAAATTGTAAAATAGAATTTTTGGCTTCAATGTCAGGAACAAAGATGCAAGCATTGTCATATGGAGCGCCATCTCCTCAAATCTATTTGAGTTATTTCTCTGTCGACACCCCATGAAAGGAGACCAATAATACAAGGAGAATGTGGGAAAGCTGGGGAAGGATAAAGAAGAAGGTGCAAAGAAATAGGGAGAATGAAGGAAGCAATGCAGATGAAGAAGAGAGGAACAAAGGTCAAAGCCTCTTGATTAGAGAGATATGTCTTCTCTCCACCAACCAAGATGCTAAATCATTTCTTGGAATGTAAAAGCTATCGGCCATGTCTCAAATTTTGACAGACAAATAACTAATTAAACGTGACTCTTAGACCTAATGCAAGAGGTAAAAACAGACGACAGGCCGGACACAGAACCCCCTCCCTTATGAGTGATCATTAAAAAGAATCAAGTAAGGGAAATGTCACAATATGAGAAATGGAAGTCAAGACGAAACCAGGTGCCTACCGGGATCATAAAAAGAACAGCAAAAAGCCAGGTAAATTTGATTTATAATGTATACCTGCTTGCAAATCTCATTTCCCCTCATTTGGTCAAAATTGGGAGTACCAAAAGCCACTGTATAGAAAAACTCCCGCCATAGCAACTGTTAATGTTCTCTTCTCGTCAACAATTGAGGACAAAGATATGGAAATCAGAACAACGTAACACAAAACGGAAAAAAAATCGGACAAAGATGAAACTGACTTGTCCCACTAGTGAAACAGGTGGTGAGGTGTGCCTTTTAACATTCGTATAGATCTCTTGAACGCTTTGATAAAACAATCGTGAAGAAAGACAGCCAAACTGACAAGGAAACATGTAAATCAATGTTTGATATTAACATTTTGTGACCATAATATAGAAGTATACAAAAGAACAGGTTTTTCCACAATAACAAATTACTTTCAGGTATGGAGATAAAACAGTTGTTGCTGGTTTCATGAATGCTGAAGGATCACCCTTTGGTTTTTCAAAGTTTGCTACCCACTCCTGTGAAAGTAAAAGGAAATTAGCGTGATGAATCCTATTCTTTACGAGAATATAAAGGAATGATCATACTGCCATCAGAAGACAATGAGAAAGATCAAATACTGTGGTAGCCGAAAACAAATCTTAACAATTCAGATTTGACATCAGTAAAATATCTCCATGGATATCTAGAGCCCGAAAAGATGCACTGATGATCAACTTATGTAGACCAGATGCTGTCTCCAGTATCAAAGGATAATAGATACTTATAAAAAATTAAAAATTACATGCGCACAAAAATGGTAGGAAAAAGTCACCACCAACTCTGAAGTAAACACAGATATGAAAATGTCGATATTTCAATGCCGTGTATTTTCGTTATTTCTTTTTGCACACATAATGATCCTAGTCTGCATTAGAAAGCAAGGTAGAAATGACTGATATGAAACCACAAATCTCATTAAGAGTCTATGCCTGTTGAGTAATAAGTCCTTAGAGAACCATGACATCATTTAATGTATAAACAGTGAGGCATCCATCACATTCCTACTCAGGTTCTGAAATTCTGATATTTAAACTTCCCATACAGAATTACTCCCTCATTTTATTGAATCTCACTAAATCGGTGTTATAACCTCACAAAACATCTCAAAGAGAAAATCTAGTTCCGTAACACACGCATTTTTCTTAAAGTCCTGATATTTGGTCCATGCATGTCGAGAAAACACTTGGCATCTATACGATGGAGTTCACCTCTGACCAAAATTGCAATGAGGTACAACCAAAGTCATGTCATAGTATGAAAATAGAGTAACCGCGAACCCTTTTGGATGCATGGGTTTCACGATCATGAGGGCCACAGCTAGCAGTACTAGGTGTGCGACTTTATTGAGAAAATAAACAATAATGATGCTATTCACATAAATAATTAAAAACTTAAACGCTGAAAGTGTCTTACTTCAGTAACCAACATGATCGACCAACAGAATTGTATGTAACATAATTAGAGGGAGAAAAAAGTAGATATGGCCAACAAATTAAAAAGGTTGAGCGAAAAGACAGAACGAACATCTGAACCGTTTGTAATGCTTGTATTCTAGTTGGACCAATATATATTTTTTTTAAGAGAGTGCAATCATATCAACAATGTCCATCAACAAGATGGAAGTAACATGTAGCTCTATGACAAGGCAAAAATAGATCTTTTGGATAAGATGTTTCATAGAACAAACTAAACTCATAATTGCAAAATGTCAAGAGTATGAGATTAGGGAATCTAAATAAAATGAAAACAAATATTTCTCAGAAAAATTACTCTCCCATTTTCTTTCAAGCATGTATAATCCCAAAGAATCCATATTTATTGGCCACTAACCTTCTAAAAAAATATTTTGCCAACTGATTTCAGCCGGTATATTATGTAAAGTGTAGTCAGATTTAATTTCGTGCCAATATCTGAAATTCAATATGATCACCGACAAACATCCAAGTCATAAAGCAGCGATGAGAATTAATTTCCCTGAACATAACATTTCTACTATTTTGTTCAGAAGATCTATCTGATGTTCCGTGTATTTAACAAATCCAGAAACATCCTATCTTTCAGGCCCTTTGATCCTAGAATGTTCTTTTCTCTGATATCCTCAATGACGTCCATTTTATATTCAAACTATAGACCGCAAGAGCGAGGAAGGAACCATACCGTTCAAAACCCATCCAGATATGACTACGGATGAACAATTCCGTCTCAGTATGTTGGAACATAGCTACTATAGACAGAACAGCAGCTACGGAAGTTATACCAACCATGGAAACTACAACATTTCCATCGGCTTTAAGGTTAAAAAATGAACGCTGCAATAGTGCCGGCAAAGGATCATCCGAGGCAGGTGAAGTAGAATCCTCAAGAAATTATAGCAAAACATAGCACACTGAAGTAGCAGACCCGCTATTGTAGGACGAAGAGATTTTAGACAGCATACCTTATCAACAAGGGACTCATTCAACCTCTTCAGAGCCTCAGATTCACCTCCACGAAAGGGAGAAAATTCCACCTAGAATTCCTCAACCAAACATGTTCTTGCTCAGAAAAAAAAGAAGAGGATGAACAAAACGGGAAAATAACAAACAAAAGAGACCCGGGCTAACCTGCCCTAAGCTCCCGTATCCAAGTTCCTGGATCGTCGGGACTCCCACGTTTTCACATTCCCCGACGTCTCCGACTGGAGGGAGGCTAGAAAATGGTTGTCCAATCGGAGGCGCAGGTTGTCCAGCAAGCTTTACAAATGATTGGTACGTCAGAGGCGGCTTTCCCCCGTTCTTTCCAGGAAAATAGGAAATAAAAAAAGCAAGTATAAAGATTAGTCAACGCCACAGCAAAGATAACCCAAAGAAAACAGAGTCCCCGGCTCCTCCCGCAGGTATCGAGGTAGATAGGCAACCTAGAGATTACCTTCTGGATGACATGCGCCGGATCGAATAGCGTGTGACTCAAGGGGGAAAAGACCTCGATTCCAGAGCCCGACGCAAAATCCTGCGACCAAATTGGCGGCAGGCCAGTGCAAAGCATTGTACAGTGCCTCATTCTAAGGATCCGCAACACCGTTGAAACCGAACAAAAGATAGAGAGCATGAACCAAAGATCCCCCAACCTTGACGCGAGCATCCCTTGCCTGTCCGTATGGCTCGGTGTCGAATTCGTAGCATAGCTTCCCGATGTTCCACTCCGTGAACGAAATTGAATCGAATCAGTACTCATAGACCTTAGAAATCCCAAAGAAATCAGCCACGATGAGAAGAGATCACTCCTCCCCCTCCCGCTCTTACCTCTCTGAGAATGCGGATAACGACGTCAGCGGGGTCCCCTCCGCGGAGCACGATCAGGCGGGATCCTAGACGGCGCAGGCTCTTGTCCAGATCGGCGAGGCTCTCGAGCAGGAACTGGATCCGGTTGAGGCCGGAGCGGGCGGATCCTGGGGAGAAGGCCGAGGAGTCCCGCTCCAGGTACCGGGGGTCGAGCACGAAGACCGGGTAGAGGATCCTCGTCGCGCCCCTCCGCGCGTGGTCCAGCGCAGGGTTGTCGTGGATCCTAAGGCCCTTTCGGAACCACATGAGCGCGTTCGACTCCATCGCCAGCGGAGCTACTCCCCAACCTCTCCCCGCCTCCGGCGACCGACTACTCTGCTATTTCCCTCGTTCTTCCCGCTTCCAGACCGAAGCAGAGAACCGCGGAGGCGTGCTATTTCAAACGCACGTCCAACGGTCTCCAGAGGTAGACAGCCCGCCACGCCGCCCCACCAGGTATCCGGCCAATCACTTGAGCCAAGAACGAAACCTTACGTTGACCTGAACGTGACGATGGCCTTTCGCCACAGTGGCCGTCGCCGCCGCCGGGCACCGTCGTCGTCATCAACCTCCCCCTCCCTACGATTCTTCCACAGCCGTCGCGGGAAGAATCGGCAGACAGGCTCGTCCGGGCGGTGGACGGGAGCCCCATTTCCGAACGCCGGCAAGAATTGCAGCAGCATAATCAGAGTCGAAAGGCATCAAGCCGACCTCATTACCTCAGTTCAGAAAGTAGTTCATGCTATGTAGCAGGCTGAGTCCTCTCGACCGCCGGGGCTGATACATATCTCGGAGAAGAGCAGGGGGTGGTGTGCGGGTGTCCTCTCAAACAGCAGATATTCTCCGCACACCGGCCTTCATCTTCAGAACAGAAGAGAGACCAGAAATTCAGCTAAAGCTCCCCCTCACTCGATGTAAAACTTGGCGGTGCGAGGTTGCAGCGACTTCCCCGACGATGCGTGCAGCGTTGTGGTGAATTCCACGTCCATCAGCCGGTGGTACTGCTTGGATCGGCTCATCGTGAAGGAGACATGGACAGTGTCCCCCACGCACGCCCTGATGGGGGGATGCAGCAGAAATACCTGATAAAAATGAAGAAGATTTTCAGCCCCAGATGCCCAAAAATGGAGCAAAAGGCTCCGCGAGGAGGCTGAATACGATGAAGTAACCAGCATTGCCATGAAAACCAGAGTTCGACGGCTGGAGAGGTAAAGACTCGTCTGATCGGAGATGAGGAAAACTAGACAGGGGACAAGAGCAGTGGACAGAACCTGTTGACCCCAGTGCGTGCAGTCGTCAACGCTAGGAGCTGTGGTCAACTCGACCTCATGCCTCGCAGGATTTTGGGCATTTCCCTGAGCAACAGAAAAAAAAAATGAGAATTTGTTTTACCAGCTGTGGGCAAAGCACTCTGATCTGTTTCGCAATGGCAGGTTTTTTTTTTTAATTGCGGAATTTCAGAAAGAATCATATCAACCAAATCTATAATGCTGTCGAGAGCTTGGTCACAGATGACCAGAGATATAAATAAAATTGGAGATTTAAATAAATATCAAAACCGCGTACCCGGAAATGAACGTCAAACCACCCGGCAAATCCAGAGATGTGTGTGCGATCAGTCTCAACTGATGAGGAGAACTCTGCCGTGACAGTACGGATATCATCCACTGTGGCTGTCAGGCAATCGATCTCCTCGATGACAACAGAGGACCCAACAATCTGGTTCGGGTGGACATTATTCCATAGTGACGTCTGAAAGGAAGAAGAGTAAAGTTTTCATACATGAACATGAATAAGTGGATGATAAAAGATGAGCGAAGATGTATGATTGATTTCGTGTCCTCTCTCTCTCTCTCTCTCTCTCTCTCTCTCTCTCTCTCTCTCTCTCTGGATGCATATTAATAGGCTAAAACTAAAACGATGGGTGCGAGACTCGCCTGGAGAAAATATTTCTCATGTTCTTCGTGGAAAGTTTTCGTCAAAACACCCATGTTAACGCCATAGTGAGCTTCGGTTTCGTCAACGAAGCTATACCAATCGGCCATTGCAGAATTAAAATCGTTCTTCTTCTGCTCTCCTAGACCAGACCTGATAGGAGCCAGCCACATACGAGCATGACTAGGGTACCTGAAAACATGAGAGAACCATCAGAACCAAATAAGGCTACCGAATAAGATAAGAACAAGTCCCATTCGGCTAGAATCTTGTAGGACAAAAAGAAGAGATTTTCTTCTTTTAGAGAGTCCAATTTAGGATTATCAGGCATAAAGATATACTGGGTCCAGTAGGAAGAACAGTCCTGCAGGGAAAAAGCATCACAAGCATCTAAGAAAGAAGCCGGAAAATTCCTTAAATAGATCGTATGCAGGTGTCCAAAACCAAACAATCCAAAAAATAAAATAAAATCTATTCGGCTAGAATCTTGTGAGACAAAAACGATGAAATTTTCTTTTAGGAAGTCCAATTCATGATGATCAGGGATAAAAATATACAGGGCCAGGCCCAGTAGGACGAAAAGTCCTTCAGGGAAAAAGTATCTCAAGCGTCAAAGAATGAAGAGTTAAAACTGCTCGAATAAATCTTTTTGGCATTTTAAACTCCAGGAGATGAATTCAATAGGGGTAAAAAACCAGACACAGAATTCCAAAGTTTTAATAATAAAACCATAGAGATATCAATTGTTTGTCAAGAAGCTGGAACACTCAAGAATTGCATTGTCAAAATTATCATCTAAAGAAACTTGATATTTAGCAAAATAATTACTCAAAAACTCACATCATTCCATCTGGTTTCAGCCAACGATCACGTGCACAAATCACGGAGTCAAACATGGATTCGCGCAGGAGGAAATAGCCCATCCACTCGGATATTATAACGTCAACTGCAAGGGAGAGGAAATACCATTAATGGGCAGTGAGGAGGGCAGGAAAAGGCAGAAGCAAGATAATATGAACTTGATTTACTCCCAGATTAAAATTCTCTGCCAACCTTTCTCTGGCAGTTCTACATCCTCCATGGAGCCGTGAATGACCTCGACGATATCCTCGACTTGATTTGCTTTGACGAGCTCACGGGCGTGTTCAGACATTTTTGTGGCTTCAACGGCATACACCTTCTTCGCGCCAGCCTGCGCACACCAGATGGCAAGAATGCCACTGCCTGTCCCCACATCCAAGACAACCTTGTTTGATGCACAGAAGAAATCAGAACCGGCTTGATTATTCTAAGAATCTATGGAGAAATGCGACCGATAGAGTAGAGCCCAAACTCCACGTGTATCAAGGCATGACGCGTTTAAATCCCAAAGACCAAGATATCAAGGCGAATCCCATCGGAAAGAATAGAAAACAGATGCATACCGGGAGCTTAATATCAACATTCTAGACCACAAGGGAACCGTGGCACCCTCGAGAACTCAGACAGAAATAAATGCTCCCGGAACTCGCGCCTAGACCGGAGATACCTCGAACAACTTTTCCTAATGAAAGAAGGCATATCTATAAATGATGACTTAATAGTTTCTACGAGTGGATGGTTTTTGTGCGCTTATAGATGAATAAAACGGGCAAACCCAGGTTCCACCCTCGCATCAACGACAGACCAAAGGCTACGTCCGTCAGTTTGTCGAAGGCCCGCTGTTTCTACCCTGCCTCCAAACCCTAAACGGCCTCCCGGCGAGACGCTTTCAGATTGTAAACTTGAAAGATGCCCTGCTGTATCTATGGACATCAATCTCACTTGGAAGCTATGCCCAAAAATGAACAAAAGCGATAAACGAATTCCAACTGCAAGAAGTGCATTCCGCTCAAGAACACCAACAAACACGGACCACGAGACAGGGGAGTAGGGGCAGGAGACTGACCTTGCCACGGAAGTGCTCAGCCGCGTTGTCGAACACGGCGTTGTAGTAGGCGTCCATGCGGACGCGGTCGGAGAGCATCTCCTTCTGGTGGTACAGGTACCCGTACGTGCAGAAGTAGTTCGCGAAGTCCACTTCCTTGTCCACCGCTGGGCGAGCAGCAGCGCCGCCGCCCTCGCCCGGGTTTCGAGGAGCCACAGCCGGAGCAGCGCCGCCGTCCTGATCCATTAGCACCATCACCTCCGCTTCCGACCACGACCGCGTCCAAGAACGGGCCGACCGGGAAAGCGGGGGAAGCGGGGCGGGAGTTCCCTTAGGGCAGTGGCGGAAAGAACGCTAGACAGTGCCGAAGCTCGCTATATATATACTCGGCCGTGCAATTCAGATCCGCCGTTCGATGCCTACAAACAGCCTGAAATTTAGGCCTCGAAATTTAAATACATGCACATATACTTTAATTATCCTTACAAAGACAATAATAAAATCACTACTTTCTTTCATTAACAAAGTAAATCCCTTACCAGTAAGTGACATGACGTGATAAATAATAATTAAGATACATAGATTGTGGACTTTTATATCAAGGTAAAGGCGCAATATAAATTATAAATTATCGTCAAGGGATACTCTAAAAAGTGATTCGCAATATACATAATCTAAGTATTATGACTTATTCAATAGTTAAAAAATAGTTATTATCTCATAATATTTTATTAATCTTGTCTTTCATAAAAAATAGAATATTCATAGTATATACCAATATTCACCTAGATGTCTTAATCTCAAATACTTAATTATTAATAAATTATATTAATATATATTAAACTTAATGATGTCTTCATAATATTCAATTTATATATATATATGTATACCACATTGAGATCAGAAAAGTCAACTATTATTCTCAACTTTGACTCAAACAAGGATAGTATTAGAACTAGTGATCAATGCGACAAAAATTATATATATATACTTGAGAAATTATGCATTATCACTTGATATTTCCTCCCAAAATCCTTCTCAAGTTCTTTGTTATTTGATTGCCCATTGTAAACCTTCAAAAGGTCAACTATGTATGAGACAGATAAAGGGATAATTTGTGGTTGTAGACTATGTAACTTGAGTTTTTTGTGATCTTTAAGCACAATAGTTTGTGTTCACGAAGAAGCTACAGAAGGATGAAGGGGAGGACGAATGAAGGCATGGAAGTGAGCCATGATTTACTCTGTGATGTAGATATGCTACTTGAAGCCAGACTTCTCCAACTTTGTCATGAACTCCTTGAGAATAAGGTTCAGATGTGGAGAGTAGCATGATCATCAACGTTGACATTGAGATTAACCTTTACACAAGTGGGTGTTGACCTGATGAGCTCTAGTTGACACCTGCAACAAGTGTTGACCTATTTTCAAATTATAGAGAGAATATGTGTGATAAGCCACATAGGAGGACCAAGAAATCCTTAGATTGTAGTAGGATTATCCACTAAAAGGGCAACATTGAGTTTCATCATTGTTGAAGGTCAAAGTTGGTCGTCACGACACAACACTGCTTCCCACACCCAAAAAGGAGTATCTTGATTACAATCTATGATCATATGAACACATATAATTATTTGTTTGAATAGTCATCATTTTAAAAATATGAAAATTAATTAAATATAAACTTGTGAGAATTATAATTTGGGTTAGGAAAGAACAAACATTGTTTTTTTACATTAAATAATACATGCATAAGAAATTACCATCTTCTTTTATTTATTTCTGACTTCTAGAAGGAGCATCTTAATTATAATACATACTCGTCTATATGTGTGTAATTCACTTTATAATAATTATTTTTTAAATTATGAAAATCTCATATAAAATAGAATATGTGAGAAATCTAAGTTGGCATAAAAGTAAAATAAATTTGTCAAATTTTACACTAAATAATATACGCGTGAGAAATTAACAATTTTATTATATTTATGTCCAACACCTACACGGAGCATCTGAATCATAGCCCATGCTTATCCTAACGCCCATATTTCGATTATTTAATAATATTAATTTAAATTATGAAAAATAATGAATAGAACTCGCGAGAAAACTAATTCTGATTGTAATATAAGTAATCAGTGAGATTGTAAATTAAATAATAAACGTGTGAGAATTAACCGTTTAATTTATTTTAATTTATTTTTTTATGCTGCCGTTAGCGAGTTACCGTTGGGATGCGATGAACTCCCACCCGTGCTCAGTCGCCATTAAGTCGGAAGCAGTGACGGGGCCTCACGGGCAGCTTCGGCATATAAGCTTTCTGGGGTGTTTTGGTAATTCTACGGTCGTCGGGAGGCCGAAGACTTCCCCGGCGGAGCTTAGGTTTTATACTCGTCTGTAATCGAGGCATCACTGGTGTTCCGCCATCTCGCCTCTGAACGGGCGCCGCACCGCTACTGTGAAGTTCCAGGTAAAATCTAGGGTTTCTACGCTGCCTCCCGCTTTCCTTCAGTTGTGCACTCGTTACATGCTGTGTTGAGGTTGAGTCCGCAGTCTGTACTCCTCGGGGAGGGTATTTCCGTGAGTTGCCCAGTTAGTGTCCTCGCAGCTCACTGGCAAGTGGCGGGGTGCGTCGGATCCCCTGCACTAGGGTTTTGGCTGATGTCCGTCCAGTTTGGTGCGCCACTGCTTTCGCGCGTGGCTTTGAGTAGTAATCCGGGGTTTAGGGTTTCCGAGGAGCAAAGGATCGAGTTCCTGTCGTCCTTTGTTGCGTTGAATTTGTCCTCATTCTCTATGAGATAATATCTTCACGTATTCTTCGATTTGGCTCACGTGCTCCTTGAGCGGGTCGCATCTCCTTCCAGAATTCGCCATGGTAAGGGATTTTCACCGTCCGGACGCCGATTTGACGAGTTGAGAATCCGGTTTATATTTGTAAAATGTTGTTTCCACCTGCGTATAGTGCCTATCATACCGTTTTTGAGCCTGTCTTCACGAAAGCCAGTTTTAACTCTCTGTTCGTCGACGGTCAGTGTGCTTCAAATAGTTGCCTTTGGATTAAAAATGTAATTTACTTCATGGATGTTTTTTAGGATGAATCGGGCTTCTCAGTGTTCTCACTCAACTCGTTTGTGTAACTAATTATAGGCTCCTGAGCGGAAGAGATGGCTAAGAAGAAGAATCCGTTCGTCTTCCTTGATGTGTCTATTGGCAGGGATGCGAAAGGAAGGATGGTATTCGAGGTATGCCTCCGTCCAGGGCTCGTTTTTTTCGTCCATTCATCTTAAGCTTCATATTATTCGTCGAAAACTGTTGAAGTAGTCTTGTTTCTACTGACTGTGTCGCCCCTCGTCTATGCAGCTTTTTTCAGACGTTGTTCCAAAGACAGCAGAGAATTTTAGAGCTCTCTGTACAGGTAAATATCGTGGTTTCTAAAATCACATGAATTCTCATTCCGGTGGTGCTAACGGGATTGATTGTAATGTTTTGGCTCTTCCACAATGTTTTTCAGAGGACTTTTCTAAGTAGTTTGCCAACCTGTCTACGTTGGTTTGCTCCTTTGCAGGTGAACTCGGAACAGGAGCAACGACCGCAAAACCTCTGCATTACAAAGGCACCGCCTTCCATCGTATCATCAAGGGGTTCATGGCTCAAGTATGTGATCTTTCTTCTTGAAGATAGGCTCTGTTAACCCTAGACGAAGCAAATGCCTATGTTTTATGGGTACTCTTGGTTAGATGTGATGGCCTTTGTCTTGTAGTCAAGTTATTCTTGTTTATTCTGTAGGATACAGGGCTGATGGTCTCGACTGCTTTTCTTGTGATGTATTTTTTTTAAGGTTGTATGTTGTTAAGTTGTCTACCTTCATGTTTCGTGCAATTTAACGTGTAAAAGTTATCATACATATGAGCATTTTGAAATCTGTTCTCACGGGCATTTATGATTTTTTCTCATTTACAGGGCGGTGACTTCTCAAGAGGAGATGGTAAGTTCTCTCTGGTCCTTAAATCCTTTTTCTTTTTTTTTTGGGGGGGGGGGGATTGATCTCACTGTCCGTTACTCTCATTCGGAGTAGACTAAGTTCATACTATTACATTTGAACTTCAACACTGTCAGTTATGACTGTTAAATCATATTTGAACTTCAACATTATTATTCGTTTTGTGTCCGAATTTGTTGTTTTCATTCTAAGAAGTATAATTTTTCTCAGTAATCAATTTTTCATTGAATAGTAAACATTATTATTCATTGTACGTTTCTCTATGAAAGGCATCTTTCGATCATTGCAAATCTACCGCCATACAATTTTACTCAATTTCATGGCATCTGTACGTCTACATTTTAGTTAAAAGGGCTAGACATATGGGCGAACGAAAAGTTGGGAATGATAGGTTTCCCTTTTTGAGAGATGAAGAGAGTGCGGTCAACACAAAAAATAACAGAACTAAGTGGTGCAGTTAAGCTTGTAGTAACCTTATGACCCAAATATCCTTTTCTCCTTAATGTGAATATTTAGCTCTTATGTGTGATGTACGAGCTACAAACTATTTAATGACTACTGGTTACAAAAAATTAATGGTTTAGAGATGCATTGTTTGTTCTTCATTGGGACTATGAAGTTTTTGTGTGATGCATTGTTTGTTCCCATTCAGTGGGCATTTCTATCGATCGTTAGTTTTATATGTACGCAAATGATTGATGTCTGATATATGAAATTTCATGTTTTCTTTGTTCAGGAAAAGGGGGGGAGAGCATATATGGTGGGAAGTTTGCTGGTGAGTGTAATTTGTCTAATAGTCTCTCAGAACGGATTTCATCGTTGTATTATATTTGAACAATCCGTTGGATACCTGCCTTGGATATCTGCAGAGCCTATTGTCTTACATCCTGGCTGGGAGAGAAGAAGATCATCCTGGCTAAATAATGATAAATTTTCCTTTCTTTTCTGTGGATCCAAGATATGAAAACAGTGGCCTCGTCTCTGGATCTCGTAGGATCTTCCTCAGCACGATCAGTTTTTTATGTTTACTCGCTTTCTAACATGATGTGGCATTTCGTTGGGTTCTTGAAACAACATGACGGTCCGGTCTACCCAGAAATATTTGTAGTCAGGTGTCGTGTTCTTGTTGTTGAATGTCGTTTAGCAGTGGGTAATGTTGTGTTTATTTATTACTCATCCATCCACTGCCATGACGACAATAAGGCGCAGTTTGTTTTGTGATGAAAGCCAACTCAAAATTTGGCTGGAAATGGACTCGTGAAATTATGTTTGGAGACGGAGTAATTAGTTTTTATGCTTTGCATTTTTTCGCCGACTGGAACTTAATCATTCGTACTCTCACAATAGTACCACACTGACTTCATACAGATGAGAACTTTACACTACGACATGATGGACCTGGAATCCTGTCAATGGCAAATGCTGGCCGTGATACCAATGGATCTCAGTTTTTTATAACCTTTAAAGCTACACCTCATCTTGACGGGTACCCAGCTTCTAATTTCTTATCAATTGCCTTGGTTTTTAGTCTTTTATTTCATTACGAATTTTTTCCTTGTACTTTTGATGTATAAGTTGGATTACAACTACTTATAGGCTTTTCTTTTTGTCTACTAAAGGAAACATGTAGTTTTTGGCAAGCTTGTTCAAGGGCATGAATTTCTAAAGAGATTGGAGGCTGTTGAAACTGATGACACAAGGCCTATCCATCCCGTGAAGATTGTTGATTGTGGTGAAACATCTGGGGTGGCAACGGAAGTGAATGGTACCCTATCTGTCCTAAAAGATCTTGCTAACAGGATGAAGTGATTTTCTCTGCATCTGTATGATTGTGTGCATCTGGTTTTGTCATTGGCAGTCAGTTTTGTCTGATACTTTTTTGGGTCGTTTTTTTGCAGACAAAAGGAAAGGTTCTAAGAAAAAACAAGCCAGGGAAAATTCATCAGATTCTGATAGTCTTGAAGAGTCACGGAGAAAAAAGCATAAAAAATCTTCCAAAGGGAGGAGGAAGAAAAAGAGAAGACATTATTCATCAGATTCTGATAGTTCATCTGATTCAGAGTCTGAATCATCTGAATCCGAGAGCGATTCTGACTCAATTTCATCATCATCGTCGTCGTACATAAGTTCTTCAAGTGATGACCGGCGAAGGAAGCGAAAGAGGTCTTATAAGAGAGACAAATACAGGCGCGATAAGAGAAAAAGGGATAGAAGGCGCGAAAAAAAGCGCAAGAAGCGTGATCATAGATCAAGAAATAAGTCAAAAAGGTAGGCTTGTTTTATAGAAAAACCAGTGAATGCCTATGGGTTTGGTTGTGCTCTGTTGAAAGTTGTGTGTTTGCTAGTTCAGGAAGAAATACTACCCTCTTTTGCTTTGATGTTTTTTGTATGAATTGCTGGAAAGCATTTTCTTCGTCGTTATTCCTCTGCTGTATTTTGGCAGGTTTACAGAATCCGCTGTGATTTAGAGTCTCACACTGTATTCTCATCGTATTTGGACTTTCATCGTTTAGGGTTGCTGCATCATTTTAGCGTTTGATTGTTGAAAACCTTTTTCTGGCTGTAGGAAACGTGATACTCTGGACTCGTTAAATTAGCGGTCAGGGGATGGAAAATTGCTTTCAATTTATTATATCCTACTGTTGTACTAAGACTCTTCAGCTTGTTTGTGGTGTTCTGATGAACAATATTGTATGCAGTATACTCTTGCTGTTCTATTAAGCATTCATGCGATCTGACAATCACTTCACAATGCATTGCGCTGCTGCAAGTTTAAATAATTATAGAATTACATCATGCAGCCCATCTGAATTCGTCTGTATTCTCTTACATATGCAATCGTGTTGTTCGATGTACTGGTTTATGATGTTGTGATCACCCATTCTGTGCTATATAATCATTTGGAGTTCTGTTGACGATGGTTTTTAACATGCGGAGCCAGAATCTGCTCATGGTATGACCTCCTACGTATCCATTCAGGGCCGTGGAAGACGATTCACAGAGTGCCAGTTCAAGTGAAAGTAGCTCTGAGGATGAAGGGGATGTCGCTCGTGGATCAGCTCGTAGATCAAAGTCTTCTAAAATCTCTGGTGGGAGTACATTCGAAGCCGACTGGTTATGGTTTATTCTATTTATATATATGCATATTCTTTGGTCGATACTGTGGATATAGATGTTACTGCGAGACATCTATATTCTTCCGCTAGAATTCTGGTTCTTTAATGACAGTTAGCTCGTATGATTCTTGATTTTTATTGTTCCCACGGTAAATTTCTGTGATCAGTTGCTTAATTCTTTATGATTAAAACCCAAAACTAGAGTTTTCTTTTCATTATTTTATTTGCGTTATGCATCGGTAATAATAAAAACTCTTAGTCGTAAATGCAGTGCGCAGTAGAGGAATATTGCTTAATTTTCGCAATGCTATCAATATCAGAAAGTTTTGAATTATTTGCGTCAGTAATGATTAAATACATTATGAAGTTTTAATGGTCAAATGTGGTGTAGGAATAGATATTATTTAGGGTGATTTCTGTTTATAATGCACTTTGTATCTATGTGGGATGTTGATTGTTCTTTGATCCGATCATTGGTGCAACTGTTTCTGTGTTTCAGCTGAAACTCAGAAAGATGCCACCCCAGTCCAAGGCACAGAGAAGGCTGCCGTGGAAGGAACCCAATTCCCCGAGGAAAATGGGGAGCTGCAGAATAATGGGACTGGAGCGGCCAAGTCTAGTACGAGTGCAGATATACAAGCTGATTCGATTGGGCACAAATCTAGGTCTTTCCATCTTTCGTCTCACCCATCATTCGTCCTCTTCACTCGTAAAATTCGCCCACAATGACCAGCTTTTCCCCATCGACGAGCAGGAGCCAGAGCAAGAGTATGAGCATAAGCCCTGTCAGAGGTCGGGGCAAGCCAAAGCCCTTCTCGAGGTCTCCAAGCAGGAGCCCGTCTCCAAGAAGCCCTGTCGGACGAGGTGGGGTGTCTAGCCCAAGCCGAAGCCCTGTTAGGAGAAAGACCAGTGTGAGCCCGGTCGTGGAAAGTCGGAAAAGCCCAAGTAAAAGCCCCGTGAAGAGCAACAGCCGAGTCCAGGGGAAACCTCTGTCAAATAGAAGAAGCATCAGCAGAAGCCCGAGGAGGGCTCCTCGGAGGAGCCCATCCAGAAGCCCTGTGAAGACCACCACTCGGAGGACGAACAGCAAGAGCCCTGCCGGCCCGCGATCTCGCCGGAGCATCAGCAGGAGCCCTGCCCGATCCCCGCGCAGGGTGGCGTCTCCCCCGTCTAAGCACAGGAGGAGCTTGTCCCGGAGCGCTTCTCCCAATGGATCCCCCAGGCGCGTCAGAAGGGGACGCGGCTTCAGTCAGCGATATGCTTATGCGCGGAGATACCGCACCCCCTCTCCCGACCGATCTCCCGTCAGACCTCATCGCTACGGTGGGCGACATGACCGCGACAGGTGCTTTGGACCCTCTCGTCTTCTCTTCTCTTCTCTTCTCTTGTTCAAATCAAAACCCTGTTCTTCTTTTTCTATTTCTTGACCAAACAACGATTAAATCCTCCGAACAGATACCCGAGTTACAGAGGTTACTCGCCCCCCAGGCATTACAACAGGAGTCCCCCAAGGTAATTCATACAGTGCTATTTCATAATTCATCCTACTTACCCACCCGTGTATGAATTTATTTGTGTTTGGGTTGAATCATCGCTCTGACGAGGTCTTTAGGGTTCATAAAAAGCCTTCCTTTTTGGGTCCCGGATTACTATTCTGCTATGTTTGGCGGATGGTTCTGGGATGGGAACCTCTGCTGAATTCTTCTCCCGTTTTTGTTTTTACTTGCAGGAGGTACAGGAGGAGCCGCAGCCGCAGCGCGTCGCGGAGCCCGGTGGGATACCGCGGCGGGCGAGCCAAGGGCGCCGGCGCTGGCCGTTACAGCCGCAGCCCAGCCCGCAGCGTCTCGCCGGCGGCGCAGCGGCCCCGGGGCGGCGCCAAGGACGCCGCCCGCCCCGAGAAGAGCCGCCGCATCTCGAGGAGCAGAAGCAGGAGCAGGAGCCCCTCCGGTTCGCGGTCCCGCTCCCCGCCGGCGCCCTCCCCGAAGCGCGCCGCCAAGTCGCGCTCTCCGTCCAGCAGCCGCGGCGGCGCCGCCGGCAAGGGCCTCGTCTCCTACGGCGACGGCTCCCCGGACTCGGCCCGGTGAGTTGGGGGGGGACGGGGAGAGAGAGGGACGAGTCCCCTCGCTAGCTTGACTCGGCCAGTATTGTTGGATTTTGTTCCCCTTCTTTCTTTCCTTCGGCCGAGCGTGGCCGCCGAACCCGCCCGCCGCCAAGACCTCCAGTCAAAACCATCAGTCCCCTTTGACTATCGCCGCTCCTCCTCCTCTGCCCTCCAGATCTAGATGGGCTGGCTGTAAGGCCCACTATCGTTATCGGCCTTTTAAGTCCGCCGGTGGTTTCTTTTCGGTCGCCGTTTTCCGGTGGGCGGAGACGGCGGAGTGACGTGTCGACGGGTAGCTGGTTAGGGTTTATGGTCCGCGTGGGGGTCCGCACGTGCGAGTCGGAGTGCTGGAACGCGGCGGGATCGTTTCCCCCTGATTCTCCTTCCGGTCAAGCAGAAAAGGGAGAGCAGAGACGAGGGAGAGGAGGCGGGGGGCAACCTCAGATCTACGAGAAGGGCAGAGACGATGTGGCGGAGGTTGCCGGGCCAGCTCCAGATCCTTGCCTCGACCTGGCGATCGGGGCTCAGGCCTGGCGGCAGAGACTCAAGCTTTGTTGGAATTCTGCGGAACAGGGCCCTTGCTTCCCTGTCGCCCTCTGTCGAATCCTCCATCCAGAAGACTGCGCCCATTTTCTCCTCCGGCATCGGTGAGTCCCATCTCCTCTGCTTCCTCTCAAGCAGTTTCTCACTTGGCATTTTCGATCGATGTTTTGCTGCGGCTCTGGTTTGATGGTCGGGTGATTCCTCCGCGTTTTCTGTAGATAAGACGGGCATCCTGACACAAAAGAGGGTGGAAGATGTCTTGCCAATCGCCACCGGACACGAGCGGGAGGAGATCGAGGCTGAACTCGAGGTCCGGGCGTTTGCGCCGATGGTTTTCCATTTTAGGCTTTTGAATCCCATGGGCTTTCCATTCCAAGTGTCCCTATTTTTCAGGGAAGGAAGAGGTTCGACATGGACGCTCCAGTAGGTCCGTTTGGCACGAAGGTGAGTTAATTAAACGTAAATTCTCGAACTGCATTTACTCATTATTCGGCTGTGATTCTCTTGTCGCCTAGCACTTAGGATTCTTCTATTGATCATCGTGGAGCTACACGGCTTATGCTTTTCTTGGTTGTTTGTCGTTAGTTCACTCACGTGTCTTGTTCATGGTGTGTAGTGAGTGTTTCCTGGTGTAAAATACTTTACAAATTCTGATTTTAATCACAATTACTGAAGATAAAATGTGTAGAGGTTAGAAAAACCGGACCTGTGATGAAATAATGTTGGGCCTATAATTGTCCTCTAGGTAGATACCACCCCTCCTTTGCACAAGCATTTTGTCCCCGAGGGGGAATAACATACACCTCACTGAATCATCTCCTAGTTCGGTTAAATCACGTTCATTCCTGAAATCGTCGCAGAGGAGATTGAATAATGAAGCAAGCTGTATAACTAAAGATGGAGACAGTATGGAAAGATGGAGACAACGATGGAGTGGACGAGAATAGTGAACTTACGTAGATGTACGCGGTTCATGGTACATTTCATGAGCATTGAGTAACTTTTAGCTGTAAGTTTTCATGAAAAAACTCATAACAGTCGGGGGATTATTGAAATTGAACGTTCATAACTATTCGGAACAGCTCGGGGAGTAGTGGGTATCATTTCACCATTTGAATCCTGATTCTAAGGAGAGGTGCAGAAATTAGAATCCCATTTTTCCTTCTTGAAGTTTTCTGCGTGTGCTTATTGTAGAAAGAATCAAGACTATACATTGTTTCTGGTAATGTTTATCCAGGACAAGTTTTTTTGGAGAATTGCTTATTCATTTTTAATGGTAAATAAAGCAATATTTGATATCTTTGTGCAAGAAATAAAAATGCAATGTTTCAGGATTATTCTGATAGATTGAGTGGAAACGCTTATGTTTCAGTTTCGTTTTTCTTTTCACGTTCCGAAACCTACATGTGGCCTCAGGTTTTGGAATCCAAGATAGTGTGTCCTCTATAGATACCCAGAGTGATTCACCCTGCATTTGGTCGTCACATAAAAGTTTTATGAATCTCTTGTTTTTTTTTATCTCTACTAAGTAATTTTGTGGATTTGGTACCTGGTCAATATTATGTTTGACTCTTTGTACTGGAAAATCCCATGTTTGGATAAAGAGGTAGCGTATGGAAAGGAATCTCGTTATAAAGACTTTTGGCTCATTCCATTCAAATCCCTTTCATAGTACATTTTCATTTTCACTTGATCTGTACACCATCTAGAATGACGCGTTTTTGTGAGGTGTGAATCGGAAAAAGATAAGTGGAAGCTGAAGCAAGGTTAATAGATTTCTTGTGGGATGAAGAAATTAAACTGAAGGTACAAGAAAATAGGTATCCAAGAAAGTGCAAAGAGACAAGATGAAAAACAGTGTCAGTTGAATGAAGGCATCCAGGAAGCTCTAAAACAGGTTTCATTTTTTGATATTTAGAAGGCACTTATGAATCAGCGAACCAAAAGTATTTGAGTTTGCTAATGTGGAGGATATTGATTATGCTCAACTTATTAAAAAATAGGGTTTAATAATATTTGATTGGAGTTGTGGACAGCAAGATGTGCAATTGCTATCAGAATTTACTAAATGAAACGATTTCTCAGGGTCTCTACTTAAACAGAGCGTACAATCAGAAAAGTTCAAGAGAATGAAGCCAGGAAGTCATTAGCAAACTAAACCAAGAAAAATTGAATCATATGGTACACCTATCAAAAACTATTGAGCTCTCAACTAATTGTTTCCTATCATAAATGGCTCACACCTTTTTGTCTATTCCTTTTTCTTCCCATTCTGGATGAGTTGATTTTACACATCTAAGAAGATGTTTCTTGCTGTAGTTATTTTTCACACGTTGCGCCAGTGGTGGAGGCAGCAGCTAAATGAATTAGGTTGGATACACTAATACTGTGAAAAGATATCCTTGAATCAAAACCTTTTGCGATTCGTAGGAAAATAAATGTAGAGCAAAAAATAAATACTATGTATTTTAAGTGAAAATTAAAATAAACGAGCATCCCATGAGTTAGACTATTAAGTTTTACCTCAACAATTATATTTAACCTATTCAGGTTTGACAGTTGCAGCGGATGAGGAAAAAAACATGGATGTAGTGCAACTATTTGATTTAAGTGTAATGCAACTTCTGGCATTTGGTTCACAGCTGCCGTTGACCGGGTGGGTATGGTGTATTGGTTTTCCCCATGCTTCACCCAACAATGGTTTGGGCCAGTAATTGGCTGATTTCGAGCCATTTATCCTTTTTCTCCTCTCTCTGAGATATGATCATTTTATGTTCGTAGATGTGAAAAGCCTTTTACCATGATTCTTTGAGGCTGTACCTTTACACACACTTGAACCAGATTGTCATGGTATTGAAACACGTGTCTTTCACCAATCTCTGGTTTTTTTTTTTTTTTGCGTTAAACTTACTTTTATTTCATCTTAGAGCTGGATTCACATGACTGGCAACGCTTTTGCACATTATTATTGGGTGAATAATAGTGTACCTTCATTCATTTATATGGTGAAGTAATTTTTTAGAGGTGAATCTGTCACTCGGAAAAATAGACTCTTCAGAAATTATTCAACCGGGATTATCCAAAGATTTAATCTTGTGTCTATTGTTCGTAATCTCTGGATACCTTCCCAGAACGGTTGCGAAAGCTATCACTATCTCTAATCTATTGATTACGAAGGTCCTACACCCTATACATATTGCACTATTTGAAAGCTGAATCTATAGGATATGGCATATATATAGCCGAGCAGCATCCTTTTCTTTTCCTTTTTTTTTGCCTTTTTTTGGGTACTTGTACTGTCTCTTCTACCACAACATTTTTGACAATTTCAAGCCTTGTACCATTAACATTCGGTTCTCTCTATTCACCGTCTCTTCATGCTTTTTTGAGAATTCGCGGCTCACTGTGAAGTTAAAGCTTTTCTTCAGCCATATAAGCAACCTCTTGGAACTAAAACAGTCAACTCCAAAAAGTTTTGACTTGCAACACTCGACCTCCACTAGTCGGGAGGCTTGGGGAATCCTGATTTTGAATCACTTCCATTTCTATCTCTTTTTTTTCTAATTTTTTATTTTTTAACAGGAAGCTCCTGCCGTGGTAAGATCTTACTACGACAAGAGGATAGTGGGTTGCTCTGGAGGCGAAGGAGGTCAGTACTGCCCCCCGCCCCCAATATCTGCTTTAATGATGAATGATCGGTAACAACTGTGATGAGGCATGGCTCCTCTTTGGTATTTCGGTGAGTGCAGAGGATGAGCATGATGTGGTGTGGTTTTGGCTGGAGAAAGAGAAGCCCCACGTGTGCTCCGTTTGCTCCCAATACTTTGAGGTAACTTGCTGTCTACCCATCATGGAAATATTTTACTAGCATAGTTCTCAGTGGGTTCCTGTACTCCCCGACGTGCTGCAGCTGGAGGTGATCGGCGAGGGCGGCCCTCCGGACGGCCATGGTGACGACGAAGAAGACGAAGAGGAAGAAGCAGTGGGGGAGGGTCGTCACTAGGGGGCTGAGGCTCACAGTTGTGCTCCCGTCACAATAACGTCGGTGAGACGGAAACCAGAGTGTATACGATACTTACCAAGGCCAGAGTGTACGCCGTTCTGTGACCACCCCCGCCCTTCTTCCTCGTCTGCAGGGCTGGCGGCGATGATGTTCGCCGGTGATTTTTGCTTCTTCTGTGTGGCCTGCGAGCCTCGGTCCATTCCCCAGATCCCGCAACATTCTTTCAGGCCCTTCCAGTGCGCCATCAAATAAATGGTCGAGTTGAGATGGAAATGGGCGCCACAGGCTGAGCCGCCGGGCTTCCATATCTAGCAGGGTCAAGGTTCTTGCTCCGGATTCTGTTCTTGGTGTGAGCTTTCAGTCGCCTCCGCCTCCGCGTTACTATCGGCGCTTGGCTAAATCGGAGAGAAAAATCGTCTACCCAGTTCACAAAAATCCGGTCTTTTCGAGTTTATGAAGAGATTCGCAGGGAGGAACATTAATGCTAATAAAAAGCATTTATTTTTGATATATGGAGGGGAGTATGGGATGTGATTGATCCGGGGAAAGGCAGGCGGGTGCCTTGAGGGCCAGGCGCTGTTCCCCGCCACGCGCGGCCGGGAGGCCCACGCCGTCCATCAGTCCTGCCGCCCCCCCGCGCTCCTCCTCCGCCTCTCTCTTCTCCTCTGCAGGGAAAAGCGAGGGGAAATAAATGGAGGAAGGACGAGCGCCGCTGGATTAAAAAAAGGGCGACCTTGACCGATTCCTCGGTGTGGCTGTGGGCGGGCCATCGGTAGCCAGAATCCCTCCTCCCCCTCCCTCACCTTAAACGCCAGCCCACCTCACGCGGGCGGCCCTCGTCGCTTCCGCTCCTCTCCTATTACTCTCTCATCTCCCGCTGCCCTCGAGAGCAGTTCCCGTCCACAACCCTTCTCCCGCGCCTGCAAACCCACCTGGAAGCGAGAGCAGTTCTCGTCGGCCACTCCATCGTCGGTCGACCGTCCCTCCTTCCAGGTATGGCCTCTCTGGGTCCATCGCCATTTGCCTTCTCCGATCGGGACTGTGTTCGGAAAAGTGGTGCGGGCTGTTCCTCTGCCCCCCGCATTGGTGAACCGACGGGGCGAGAGCCTCGTCTTCGCCGACGGTGGGGTCGTTCGCATTCGCTGATTTCGAATCGATCTCTGGTTTCGTTTTCAATATCCCCTGCTTTCCCTGTTGATGTTGCCTTCCATCTTGAGAGTGTGATGGGGAGCTCGGGCTTCTCAAGCGGGTATCTCTGCATGTTCGGAGGGTTCCTCCCATCGCCGATGCTCATCGCAGATCACCGTCTTCTCCGGCCGGAGAATCCCAGTGTCCATGATTCATATTCCTCCTGTGGTTTCTTCGGCGGAAAGAAAACTAAAGAGGTCATCTAATCTTTCTCTAACATGAGAATCACTTCGATCTGCCGGAGACCCTCTTGACATTGTGAGATCCCCTTGCCTCTTCTTCCTGAATGCATGTAACGCTGCTCGCTGCTCGTTTTCTCTCGGGCTCCATCTTCCTTCCCCACGAAATCACACACCCTGTCTCGGGTGGCATATCCTATGACCATCATCATCGCTCATTTCTCATCCCAAGTTCGGAGAAACCGAGAAGAACACAGGCTATAATCGCGGTGCCCGGTAGCATATTCTCGTGGATGGTTTCTTTGGTTTCCATGGAATTCCTCCAGAAAACTCCTCGTCACTCCAGGATAGGCGCACGGCTACTGCTGCTATCAGCTTCCTGGAATTCCATCAAATATGCCCAGATTTATCCTCCCCTCCGCCCTGTCCGACGTTGAAGTTGAACCCTCTCCGGCACACCTTCTTCCTCAGATTTTCCGTCTTTCGGAATGTTGCATGGCGTCTAAGAGGAACGGCGGTGGTTTTTCTCTTCTTTTTCTTTTCCATCGGCGGTGGTTTTATCTGCTAGTAGTTCAGATTCTCCATGATCGGTGATCTTCATCTTCTGGGAAAAACCTGAACCCTGCAGGCGTAGAACATGGCCGATGGTGAGGATATCCAACCCCTCGTCTGCGACAATGGAACGGGAATGGTCAAGGTAATGGACTGAACTCCCCACTCGCACATTCTTCTCGTCGTGATGAGAAATATCGTTCATCCTCACGGTCGCCTCCTCAGGCCGGTTTCGCCGGAGACGACGCCCCCAGGGCCGTCTTCCCCAGCATCGTCGGCCGCCCCCGGCACACCGGCGTGATGGTGGGGATGGGCCAGAAGGACGCGTACGTCGGCGACGAGGCTCAGTCGAAGCGGGGGATTCTGACCCTCAAGTACCCGATCGAGCACGGGATCGTGAGCAACTGGGACGACATGGAGAAGATCTGGCACCACACCTTCTACAACGAGCTCCGCGTCGCCCCCGAGGAGCACCCCATCCTCCTCACTGAGGCCCCCCTCAACCCCAAGGCCAATCGCGAGAAGATGACCCAGATCATGTTCGAGACCTTCAACACCCCCGCCATGTACGTCGCCATCCAGGCCGTCCTCTCCCTCTACGCCAGCGGCCGCACCACTGGTACGACTCCCTTCCCTTTCCTTCCCTCCCACAAAGACGGGATCTTCCTTCCCACCCTTCCCTCGGTTTCCTGCGATCTGAAGAGTGTCTGCTCGGAATCTGTGTTTTCTGGTGCAGGGATTGTGCTGGACTCTGGTGACGGGGTGAGCCACACGGTGCCCATCTACGAAGGATACGCTCTCCCGCACGCCATCCTCAGGCTAGACCTCGCCGGCCGAGACCTGACGGACGCGCTGATGAAGATCCTGACGGAGCGCGGGTACTCCTTCACCACAACGGCGGAGCGGGAAATCGTGCGGGACATCAAGGAGAAGCTGGCCTACATCGCCCTGGACTACGAGCAGGAGCTGGAGACGGCCAAGTCTAGCTCCACCGTGGAGAAGACCTACGAGCTCCCCGACGGGCAGGTGATCACCATCGGCGCCGAGCGGTTCCGCTGCCCGGAGGTGCTCTTCCAGCCGTCGATGATCGGCATGGAGGCCGCCGGCATCCACGAGACCACCTACAACTCCATCATGAAATGCGACGTCGACATCCGCAAGGACCTCTACGGGAACATCGTCCTCAGCGGCGGCTCCACCATGTTCCCCGGCATCGCCGACCGCATGAGCAAGGAGATCACCGCCCTCGCCCCCAGCAGCATGAAGATCAAGGTGGTCGCCCCCCCGGAGAGGAAGTACAGCGTCTGGATCGGAGGCTCCATCCTGGCGTCCCTCAGCACCTTCCAACAGGTCTCGGAAAAAGCAACCCACCATCATTCTTCCTCAATCTCCCCGCCGGACCTTGCTCTCCTGATTCTCTTCTCCTCTTGCTCGCTGCTCGCAGATGTGGATCTCCAAGTCCGAGTACGACGAGTCCGGCCCCTCCATCGTTCACCGGAAGTGCTTCTGATCGCTGCCGCCGCCGGAGCGAGTGCTGCGCTTCTCCCTCCTCCTACCCTTTTTTCTTCCCCAGCTGTGTGTGTGGGATTTGACTTTCATGGCGTCGTTCTCTCTTCCATGAGGGGTTGTGGGGCTGCGGAGTCTCCCTGGTTGACTTCCCGCCACAAACACTACTCTCTCTGTGGTTCAATGGGCACCTTTCCTTCCTCATCCACCGCCCTTCCTCTGTTCTTCCTCCTTCGTGGGAGGATCCGACCAAGTTTTATTTAAGCCTTTCTATTAAATATTTACGTACACTGAAATTATATAAATAAGTAAAATCCGCATCTAATTTATAATTTTTATTTATATATTTAATTTGTCGGGAGAGAGAGAGAGGGAGGGAGGGGGGACCGGGGCAAAACCTGACTGAATTTTAAATATTTTTAAGAATAATAATTTTTAAACGAAGGATTTTTTATTAGGAAAATAATTCTAAAATGGTGACGTGGCTGGCGGTCAACGACGTGCCGCGGGCCGATTCGCTGTGAGCATAACCGACTGTGCCGGTGACCATCAGCTGCCTCCGCCGCCGCCGGTGAAAAAACATGGTTTGCCCATACTACCCCTTACCTTGTTTATATTTCCTTCTCCCGTAGGGAGAGGCGGCCTGAAGCCCTATCGTAGAGCGGAAGCAGGGTTCAGGAAGTCCTCACGCCGCCTCCTTCCCGCCCTCAAGAACTCCGGCCCTCAGGGTGAGTTAGCCGCCGATCTGCATCTCGAGGAAGCCGGATTTTCGGATTTCCTCTCATTTTGTCGGGATACTGCAGCATCTGTATATCTCCGTCTTTACGGTCTCCTGTGACGTTCGATGACCTTCGTTTTATCTCTAATGCGCATTTCTCCAGATTATCTGACGGGGAGCACTTGAGCGCAGCGCTGCCGCTCGTGCCAACGGTACTGGGGTAGGGCCTTGAGGGTCTACAGAAGAGGAACCGTACTGTGGTGTGTTCAATCTTTCCCCTTTTTATACGACGTTTTCTTCATGCTATGGCTTTCTCGTTCCAGCGGTTACGTCTTTTTTGATCGAGCGCAGTGGTTCAGTTATTCACTCATGTTGCATGTTCTTATGATGGTGTCGTCTACAATTAAATTTGTGGGAGTTATTTCCCTGATTGAACAGGAATAGAAAACGGTCGTGTGCAACCGTATAGACATTTTATCTGAAAGTTAATCGAAAAACTGGATGAAATTCAAGTCAGTATCGATTTTACTCCCACGACACTGGTCTTTTTATGGTCATAATTTGATTTTGTGCCTGGCCTAGGTCGGTATTATTCTCTATAATTAGTTGAGGGGGATATGTGTTCATCTTATATTTCATCAGTTTGGGTTAAAGGGTCCCAGCATTCTACTTCCTGACAAAGCCGTGGAGTTATCAAACTCAAATTACTCATAACATCTTAGATGAACGATGTCATTGGAAGCTTGTGGATGATAATCTTAGAAATTCCTGGTTTAGGAGGATCATACTCTATTTGAAGAAGAAATTTAGCACTCAACGAAAATGAGCAAGACTAAACGAATAGCTCTTTTCAAAGAAATGCTTGAAAGTCAATTAATCGTAGACGAATCTTGAATGGGGGAGGTAGATACTTTTTTTGTCAGTTTATTTTTCTCTTTTGGTCGTCTGTAGAGTCAATGTGTTTCTTAGGCTAGAAAGAAGAATAATAATAAGCGTTATGGTTGCATCTTCACGATTAATGCAGATTAGCTTTTTTCCATCCATTTTGAAGGTCTAGTTGAATTATACAGACGTTTTTAGTGGACCCTTGAAGATGTGCAGCTGCCTTTGTACTTTCCCTCTCGTTTTTGACAACTTTATCTGCTACATACAGGCCTTATTTCTGGTGCCAGCACGATGTCCAAATCTGCCTTTCTCAAAATAGATCATGCTTTCTAAGTTCTCGTCTCACTCTATTTTGTACGCTCTCTCCCTCAACTTTTAATTATTCTGCAAAATTCGTTATGCGGCAGATAGAACGTGGTATGAATTGATACCCTTTCCTAATTTGGCATTTTCGTTGTGATTTTTTTAAAAGTGGGAATCTGTCTCTAGTGAATTGGTTTTTGGAGTATATTCCCTTTGGGTTTCGAATTCCACCTTGTCAGCCTTTGTAGGGTACTATGGGTGGCAGTTCGACTTTTTTGTTGATGCGGCTGAAGGTTGACTTTATGAGGCCGGCGTAGTTAAGTAATTCCTTGACGAGCATTGCCCATAGTGAGTGGGGTGCGCACTTGCTTGAAGAAAATTCGGCCATGATAGGTCTAAAGTTTATGAGATCCACATGGAAAATCATCCTCTCGCCAGGCGACTTACTCAAAGAAAGATCATCCCATACCATCAACTTCTGCATCTCTTAGTCGTATCGTTATATGACCCCAAATCATGAGGAAAAGTTAGTCTCTCATAGGTTGAGAAAACTGGGAACGGGTGGTTTCTCAGGACGGTTGTTTTCCTTATGAAAATGCTTCCAAAGATCTTTTCTAATAAAAATGAGGTGTCGAATCATAAGAGGGACGGGGGATAAGATAAGATAAAGATATTTTTTTAACTCCTCCTGTCTCTTGGACCTCCTCCTTTCTTGACTCCTTTTTTTTTAATTTCTTTTTTTACGGGAACTTTGTTCTTGAAATGTCTCCTCTGGAAAGTATTACTTTGTCTTGAGAAACTCGCGATCCTAAGGATCAATCATTGCTTTGTTTTTCTCTCTTACCTATCAGCGAGTTCCGATCCTTTTGTTCAAAATTTCTTCGTTCGTACCAAACTGCTCGCAGAATTAAATCCTGTTCCACAAGATCCTTTATCAGCTATACATCCTCCTCGCATTTATGTCGGAGACGTAGCCAGTGCTATAGGCTTTGGCTTATGTAGATAAAAAATGATGAATTTCTAGAGGGAGATCCATCCTGTTGGGTGTGAGTTCCTTATAATTGGACAAGATTGAGGCTTTCCCCTTGGTATAGACCCCCTGGAGAGCATAGTTAAATGGTGAAAAAATCTCTCATTGCATGGGCTGCTTTTCTTCTGGAAAATCCTCTGGTGTAGGGGTGGATGTCCCTCGTGTTTGGAACCCCGGTGGGGTCATTTTAAGTTGCGAAGCTCATCTCTATTAGGGACGGTTTTTTTTTCAGGTTAATGCGCAACTGAGTTGCCCAGAGTAGGGTTATTTTTTTGTGGTGAAAAAATTCCAGGTCACCTTCTACCATAGGTGATTTTAGTGATCTCGCCAGAGAAGTCTGTGTGGGTGAACGTCAGAGCCCGATTAGGGTATATCATGCAAAAAAAATTTATTGGCTTCAGGTTTATAATAAGCTTGTTAACTGAATTGAAAATCAAAGGAATTACAACCCATTGGACATGATAAAGTGGAGAAATTCGGCAGATGTAATTCAATAATAGCCATTGGAACATGTTTTACTTTGGATGAGAAATTTCTTCTTTCTGTTTATGGCGTTTCGCTCAGACTTGTTTTCCTTTCCCATTACTGACATGTTAATTACATTTATGACGCTCCTGTCTTTCAGGGTGCAGATTGGGGGCATTCTTTGGTTCTCATTCCCTATATAGTTCGTTGTCAATACTCCAAGAAAATAACTATCTGGGGATGGTCGTCGCTAACTTGGATGCCATGGATGCGAAGAGGATAATTCCCCTGATCTCCTATTCTCCAGAGCTCATTGATGGTGAGCCAATCTTCTTAGCATCAAATTGTCTTCCTGTGAAGGCCTTCAATCTCGAACCAGCAGGCCATTCCTTTCACTCTGCGGCCCTTAGATTCTCTGGTATCTGTGATGACGAAGAGGAAGACACCGATGATCAAAGTGTGTCGTCAGATGACAAGAGCCAAGGTTACATTCCCTCCTCAGAGTCATATAGCAGCAAAGGGAAAAAGAAATCCAACGCTGGGAGCAAGCAGCAAGATCATTATGCCCTGTTGGGCTTGAGCCACCTGCGATTTCTGGCGACAGAAGAACAGATAAGAAAGAGTTACCGCGAGACTGCCTTGAAGCACCATCCTGACAAGCAGGCTGCTCTCCTTCTTGCTGAGGAGACGGAAGAGGCGAAGCAGGCAAAGAAAGATGAGATAGAGAACCACTTCAAAGCCATACAAGAGGCTTACGAAGTTCTCATAGACCCTGTGAAACGAAGAATCTACGACTCCACGGATGAGTTCGACGACGATGTTCCAACAGAGTGTTCTCCGCAAGACTTCTTCAAAGTATTTGGTCCGGCTTTCATGAGAAATGGAAGATGGTCCGTCAGTCAGCCTGTTCCTACTCTTGGGGAGGAGAACACTCCGTTGGGGGAGGTGGACAGTTTCTACAATTTTTGGTACAGCTTTAAGAGCTGGAGGGAGTTCCCCCATGCCGACGAGTTTGATATTGAGCAGGCAGAGAGTCGTGAGCATAAGAGGTGGATGGAGAGGCAGAACGCGAAGCTGAGGGAGAAGGCAAAGAAGGAGGAGCATGCACGGGTTAGGATGCTTGTCGATAACGCCTACAAGAAAGACCCAAGGATCATGAGGAGGAAAGAGGAGGAGAAAGCAGAGAAGAAGAGAAAAAAAGAGGCAAAGTATCTGGCCAGGAAGCTGCAAGAGGAGGAGGCCGCCAGGATCGCCGAAGAAGAGAGGTCTAAGAAGGAGGAGGATGACCGGAGGATCGCCGAACTGGCGCTGACCCAGAAGAAGCTGAAGGAAAAGGAAAAGAAGCTCCTGCGCAAGGAAAGGAGTCGCCTGCGGGCTCTGTCGGCCTCGGTGATTTCTGGGAAACTGTCTGGCATCTCAGAGGACGACATAGAAGGCTTATGCATGTCGCTCGAGATGGAACAACTGAGACAGCTGTGCGATGAGATGGAGGGGATGGCGGAGGGGACGATGAGGGCCCAGAGGCTGAAAAATGCTCTCTCTGTAGCTGACTCGGGTTCTTCGAAGCAAGACGATAGCAGCACAAAATCAAACGGTTCTCTGAGCTCTGGCGCGAAAACTAATGGCGTCGGCCTACCCGTTAAGCAGGAGATCCCGCTGAATGCCTACGAGAAGAAGGACAGGCCCTGGGGAGAAGAGGAGATTGTGATGCTGAAGAAGGGCATGCATAAGTACCCTAAGGGAACGTCCCGGAGGTGGGAGGTCATCTCAGAGTACATGGGCACGGGTAGATCGGTCGACGAGATCCTCAAGGCGTCCAAGACCGTGCTCCTGCAGAAGCCCGACTCTTCCAAGGCTTTTGATTCATTTCTTGATAGGAGGAAGCCCTCGCAGACCATTGCATCCCCCCTCACAAGTAGAATCGAAGCCGGAGAGCCCCCTGCTGGTGCGACTGGGCCCGCCGCCGCCGCCGGCACTGCAGTTGATGCCGGAGAGAAGCGGCCTTCCGCAGCCGGCAGCTCTTCAAGTCAAGGCAAAGATAGCGGGGCTGCCCCAGTTCAAAATGGAGCTCCTCCAGCGGCAGACCAGGACGCATGGTCGGCGACCCAAGAACGAGCTCTCATTCAGGCGCTCAAAACGTTTCCCAAGGAGGCCAGCCAGCGGTGGGAGCGCATCGCCGCCTCCATTCCGGGTAAGACCGTGAACCAGTGCAAGAAGAAGTTCGCCTTGATGAGGGAGAACTTCCGGAGCAGGAAGAGCGCAGAGTGAAGTCCCGCCTGCTCGATCTTCTTACCAGGTCTTCCTCTCTACAAATTTTTCTGCGGCCAGTGGCTAAGCTAGCTAGCTGGGAGATCACAGTTTTCCGCAGCGGCTGATAGTCGCCATGAACAAGAGTTTAGGGTCCGCTTATTGATTAGCCCACCTATTTGCGTTGACTTCTCGCTGGTGAGGCCGCTTCCTCTCTCAGATTCCTTGCTGTAAAGGAAACAGATTCTTGCCATTCCCAGAGTTAATTAAAGATTTATTAGCTTCTACTTCAGAGTCGCTCCACCGGTTGACTTAACAACAACAAAAGCTGACTGAGCTCTCTCCCCTCCCCTTTCGCTCGGGCAATAAATAACCTTAGTTTCTTGACCCTTATTCTTTAGGGAACCGGCGACCTTCTCTCCAGGGGAAACCCAGCCCATATATCACTAACTTGCACGCAAACTTATCGTCCCCCAGAGGAGAGATTCCTCGTCAACATAAGTTAATGCAACTGTAATCTCCATGAAAGCCTAGCTCCGCGTGAGACGAGGACACATGCAGAGGGCCGGGCCAGGGCCGGACTTCGCTAGTGGCTCCGGTTCATAGCCCGCTTCTTTGGGATTCGAAACCTCGGCCCGGCCCAGTGACAAAGGTGCATTAATTATGGTTGAAGAACGCAAGAATTCAGCGCACTTTTCATTTGCTTCTCAGAAAAGCCAGATGCCGTTCTTTGATTGATGGAGCGTCTGCCAAAGTGAATCGGTCTTTCCCTGATGAGAAAGCTTGAGAAGAGTAGCACTGACTCGAGCAAATCGCCAGAAAGATAAGCAGGGGAACGAGTTTATGAGGAACTAGCTCATTCATTCTCCTTTATGAGAAGTGGAGAGAGAGAGAGAGAGAGAGAGAGGCCGGTATGGGCACCATGGCAGCTATCCCTTTGTGGACGGCGGCGTGATCTCCTTGAGCTTCTCCTTCAACTCACCAGACTGCAAACAATAGCTCCAGTCAAAGATGATGATGATGATGATGATGATGATGATGATGATGTGTGTCTTCAGGACGTTACCTGGTGCATGCTGAGGATGATATCTGATCCCCCGACAAACTCTCCCTTGATAAATATCTGCGGAAATGTGGGCCAGGCACTGCGAGAAGACATAAAAAAATGGCATAAATATAATAAATGGAGAGAAAATGAACAAAAAAGATAATTTAATGAACTAAAAATGACCCACGCCTGTAATCTTTGCATCGGGATCTTTCAACAACATTGAATTTTTATGCCTGTATTCCAACAGGCTTCCGAGAATGCATGCGAACAAAAATAATGAGATAATATTATCATTGTTAGGATCTGCCAAATGGGCACTATGCCACGTGACCAAACTCGATTGGTTATAATCCAGCTTAATGGTAGAAGATCGACTCAGATAAATATATATTGCCAAATTTTGCCAAAAATTAAGCGATTTAGCAACCTTCAATGAATGGACTAAGCAAGCGAATATGATAAAAATAGCACACCAAGTAAAGCTAAGATTACCTGACAGATTTTACGCTATCCTTGAGCACTTGATCTTCAAGAATATTTCTTGCACCAAAAGGGATGCCTGTGACACCAAGAACCAAAACATTATAAGAAAAGAGATCCCAAAAGCTTTCTTCTGAACAAATAATTAGACAACATCGATCAGAGTTTCTCATTTATCTTTAGGTTTTGAGGGGAGGGAAAAAAAAGAAAAAGAAAACCACATCCACAGACAAATCTTTTTTGAAAACGTGATTCCCTGGCTCACATTGCCGCGTAAAAATGCCTCACTAACTTCAATTGTTGGTTTGGGGGGGAGGGGGGTTGGCGGGAGAAGATTCCTTTAAATCAGCAGCATGTTGCTCTATAAGCTTCTCATGAGACATAGAAATGGATAGGCTTACTATATTCTTTTAGAACTCTCACTGCCAATGCACTGAATCCACATCGAGGTGCGTCAGGAATTCCCTTCATATAAATCATTATTGGATTTTCTCTAATATCCTGCAGAAGCAGCAATCATAAATTATAATCCGGGGACATTTTCACCGTCCAACAGGGCAATGAAGCAAAGGGTACACCTATAACGAGATAGAGATTCAATATTACCTGCTCAACAATATCTTTCACAGATTTCCCAACACCCTCAAACTTGCGTGTGGGTTGAAAATCTTCATGTGAATCAGAATCGCCAGTTACCGTTGAATACCTCGAATTTTGCCAATTTAATGATTTAAGTCCCACCTGCTGATAGTCAAAAAATTTACGAATGACAATCGTATGACAATGATTATGCAAGGAGTAGGTTGAAAAATAATAAATAGAGAGAGCCAATGATACGAATCCCCAGACAAAGATCATATTAAAAGTGGATTTCCATAGAGCCTAATAACTAATAAGAGAAATATACGCTTCAATAAATTCCCAAATATAGGCATTTCAACTCATCATCTCAGAAGCAGTATTCTCGCTATTCCATCTGATTTTACTTCATCATAAATTTCAAAGATGGTCACTTTACAGCATGGTTTACTAAGGGTGTAAGCCAAAGAAATATTGCATGGTTTTTTTCGAAGAATTACTTCAAAAATATGTAAAAGTGATCATCATGATTGTAGAATTTCACCCTAAAATGAGAAGAGTGAGAAGAGAGCATGTGCGTGCATGTGTGTATGTGTGGGAGAAAGAGAGAGGTAAGAACAGAAAACAACGTTTTCTTATAAAACTCATTATCATGAGCAGGATTCAGAGTTGTCTCTTCCACTTATTGTTTGCCAGTTAATTTTTTTGGATCCAGTGCAATTATCCTACGAAACTAGTAAAGAGTAAATGCACAGAAACCTCTAGAACACAGGAAACCTGGCATGCGTTGTTTGGTAAATCAAGCAAGCAGAGTGACAACTTTCAGAATAGCAAATTCACCCAGTGAAAAAGCTATTTTCCAGCTACAGGAACAAATAGCAAATAGCAACATTTATTCCAATCAGATTGGACAAATCAAAGATCAGTACTAGCAAAAAACAGCTGTGCCATCGTTAATTTTTTTTCACAATATATGTGACAAAAATACGTCTATAGGAGCTTATCTATATGCCAAAGCTTCAGCACATGATCAGATACTAACACCAGCATGCGATTAAAGAATTTGATCACAATATGGAATCAATCATCCGCGTGGTTTCCTAGCCCAATAGATACTTAACATATGAAAGTGCACTCGTTAGAACAATAAGCTCGACACCCATTTTTTCTCGAAGAAAAAAGAGTGCTATGGCTATAGAAATGGATGTGAAATCTCCCCTGATCCTTTTTATTTGAAGTTTCCAGAACTGCCAATCAGGTAATAACAATAAAATCAACGAAATTGGGAGATGATAAGATTGTATAAAACTAGAACTTACCCACTTAAAGTTAAGACTTGAGTGCTGGATTATACAATGAAGAATAGCAAAGTTTTCAAAGAAATTAATTTATCATCAGAAGGAAATTGCACGCGTTATACTTGGTATATTGATCTGCCTGTAAAGGACAGCGTCACTTTTTTATGGATGAAATCATTCCAATTAACAGAAGTTTGGAAAATGTCTCTGGTACACGAAGAAGGGCAAATAGATCGCAAAAAAGCTATCATTTTCAACGGACTTGTACTTCAGGGAGAAGAACCGAATCATCAGAATTGCGTCAGTTGATGCTTACCGATGACCTAAAAGAAATGGGAGATTCCGAGATGCCTTTGAAGATGATTCTGGATAATGATCTAGCCATGGCAAATTATCTCAAATGTAATGGACCTGCAGGTAGAAATGCCATCTGAATTTCAAAATTAAGCTTCAGATATGGAGCCACAAAATAATCCTTGGAGAGCAACTGGGACACAGACTTGGGAAGAAAAACCAATCTGTACAGGTTACAGATAACAGTTGTCTGCAGAACGCGATAAACTCGACCCGTTAAATCTCGATTTTTAGTTGTGGAATCTTAGGTTTAATTCAGGTGCTGTTGCAATCCTCGGCGGACTTTACCAAGAAAAACTCAATACAATACGAACGCGAAGCAAGAGGAGGTCACCGGAGCCGTGCTGACGCCGGAGTGCGCGGCGGTCGTCGCCGAGGAGCAGCTCCTGTTTTTTTCTTGTGGGCAAGCGGGGGAAGGGGGGATGGTCTGTGCTGGGAGGCGACGGACAAACCTGGAGGCCGCCGGAGCTGGAGCTGCCGTCGAATCGCGAGGTAGGGCTTCGGTCGATGAACTTCGGACAGGCAGGACACACGTCGCCTGGTAGTACTTTCCCACTTGGGTAATTTTATAAGCGGTTTAATAAATAACTAAATCCTATTAAAATAAAATTACAATTTTTGGGCTATTAGGGATGTCAACCAACAAAATTCTTCACTTGGGTAATTTTTATTATTGTTAAAAAAAACCATTTTCCTTATCAAGGTGTAATAACGATAATTACCATTTATTATTATAAAAAGTACATATAATAGGGGTATGAAAAATAGTATAAAAAATTCTTAACGACAAAATTTCCACTTGAAAAATAAATCATTTTCAATAATAATAATAATATTTCTTATGGTCGAGGTGTCCAGAGCTAGTCTAGCCTTCCTGAGCCCAACCCCAAGGCATGGGACTATAGAAAACCTCAAGCCCAGTTGACACCTATTATAATGAGATCGAAGAGGAAAGAGAAAGTGAGTCAACGCCGGGCCTATACCAAAAATGGCCCGACCCTACTAGACCTTTGAGAGAGAGAGAGAGAGAGAGAGAGAGAGAGAGAGAGAGAGAGAGAGAGAGAGAGAGAGAGAGAGAGAGAGAGAGGGAGAGAGAGCTCTGAACTCACAGTCGCAACGTATCAAAAATGGTGGCCTGAAGAACACTTTCTTCGACTAGATATCACCATCATCATCATCGTCGTCATCGCCGCTGTCGAGCACGGCATCGCCGCGATTGGAGCCGTGGGGGAAGTCGATGACAGCCCCCAAATCCTCCTCGTCCTCCTCGTCGTCGTCACTCTCTGCTGTGCCTTCCTCCTCGCTGTCCCTGTCCTCGAAGATCACAGGCTTCACCTCCTCTTCTTCCTCGCCATCGTCCAAGTCCGGAACCTGCCAAGAACAGGGCGCTCATCAGAGAGCAGCCCTTCGATCTCATATCCGAGTTCACGAGCAGCCAGCCGGAGATTCTTACGCCGGCGAAGACGTTGTCCAGGCAGGCGGACAGCCGGAGCGCCGACCCAAATGTCGAAACCCTCGAATCGATGAGCTGCGGGAGGGGAGGAATCATCAAATGGTCCAGATCAATTTTAGGGTTCTATAAAAAAAAATGTTTTCAGACAGAAATAAAAAGAAATAGCAGAAGTGTACTGAGAGGATTGACTCGCCTGGTACAGAGAATTGAGGGTGGAGGGGGAGGAGGGTTGGGAGATTATGCTGCTCGCATGCTGGACGAGGAGGCTCCTCAGCCAGGGAATGCAGCAGACCAGCACCGCCCCCCTGCTCATCCGCACCAGAGAGAGAGAGAGATCAGATTTTTGATCGGATCAGGAAGAAGCTCGGATCAGACGATGAGGGACCGACCTTGACTGGAGCATGGAGATGAGGGAGTCCAAGAGCCTGAGCGCGTCCGACGGATTTAAAGAGGAGACTGAATTTCTAATCACCTGAGAAAAATAAACACGATTTCTGATAAGCAGAAACTATGAAGCTTTTTTTTCCGAAGAAAGCAAATGAAATCATTACGACCATCGCCATCATCATCATCATCATCATCAAAGAACAACATTTTGCCTTGATTCTGACAACTATGGAGAGTCAACCCATGAGATTCCACAGATCTTTCAGGAGGGCAAAGCTGGCACCTGTTCATCCCTGGTGTACAGGCAATTCAGCAGCAGGGCGTGATCCTCTGCACGAAGAGCCTGCTTGAGCAGTAGGTACATCGAATCTGCACTCGGGGGCTTCACTTCTGAGGGGGGATCTTCCTGAGCAGGATCATGGCCTCCCGCATCGCCAAGAAGGGTCAGGTCCGCGAGCTTCTCTCCCATCGTCGGCTCATTCACATCATACTGGCCATCAGGCTCGTGCATCGCCAGCTCTGCATCAACATTTATCTCTGTACTCTCAAGCTATTTTATATGACAGCATTTTCCGACCCAAAAATTAATTTCTTTTCTCTACAGATCGTCCAGAAAAATCGTTTTTTTCAAAGAAAAGATGGCGAAGAATTCGGCATGATGAACTGAAGATGGGTTCAGCGCCTTCATAGTCCCTGTGAAGGAAAGCAGAGCATACCAGTGTCCGTCACCATGATTGCACTGGGAGGATCTTCATCGGATTGAGGAGCGGATCGTTTCCTCGTCTTCTTTTTCTTCCCCATCGAGGCATCCATTCACCTGACTCCCGGCTGGATACGCTCACTGAAACCACCAGACAACGAGAAGGCCGTCAAGGTTCCTGATAGGTACTCAGGGAGTCAAGGCTTCTCCTAATGGCTGAACGAGGAGCAGAAACCTAGAGATGTTCATGGGCCAGTCCATACCAGAAGAGGATCTCAGGGGCCAAGCACAGAAAGAGACTGACACAGGACGCAAAAGAGGGTTTCTTCAAAAGAGGTGGCATATGATGCAGGAGGGGATCAGAAGACCCAGCAAGCTGCAAGAAATTTGAAGCAGCAGCGTCTAAGCCAGGTTCCGCCTTCCCCCCTGCCCCCGACGGATGTGGAAGAACAGCAGGTCATGATATCGCTAGCGGCGGAGTTACCTTCGGGAGCTGTGAAGCAGGACCAGGAAACCCTAGACATGGTACAGATGGGGTTGGAAACCCTAAATATGATGCTCTCTGTTTTCTCGCGAAGAGAACCGCTCCGCCCTCAGGAAATGCCCAGCCCGGGGGCGGACCTGGGAGGGAGGGACGCACTCAAGACAACCGCAGGCAGGGGGGACAAAGAAGACGGCGATGCACCGTAAAAAAATCCCTAATTCGTGCGGCCCACGCCGGGGAAGCAAGAGAGAAAGAAGAAGGCAACGCACCGTATACCAAAACCCTAATTCGTGCAGGCCACGCCGGGGGGAGCGAGAGAGAAAGAGAGGGTCAGATGTAGGCGTACCAGGCTGCCTGGTTTGAAGAACGCAACCCTGCTTATTCTGAATTTGGCGACCTCCGAGAAGAAGATGCTCCGTGATAAACGAGGGCGGCGGCAGACCGAAGCCTTCGCACCTGAGGAGCGAGAAGCTTAAAGAACGCCGCCGCTTCAGAGAGAGGAGGGGTGGGACAGAGAGAGAGAGAGAGAGAGAGGACGGTGATGGGGGAGCTCGTCGGAGGAATTAGTTGTAGTCCCGAAACCCCTCTTTGCCCAACCAAGCACTATCGAGGAAGTTCGGGGTAGGGTTTAGGGCGTCCTCCGCCATTAAAACCTCGAACTGACGAAACAACCCCCGCCCTTTTGTCGGAATCATCTGTGAACCACGATGGCCTTCTTCTCCATAGAGAAAGGCCAATTATTTCTTCTAAAAAAAATGAAAGGGAGATATGTACAGTGCAGGAATCTAAAAGCGAGAGATATAGGGAAAGACAGGATGACCCGCAGGGCCCATCACGGTCGTCGTCTCCCCGTGGATAGAGCGGGGGAAGAAGAGTCGTCTCCTTCTCGCGCGGAGTAGTGGTCGACGTCCCCTACACCTCGCTCTCGACAGAGCCGCTCTACAGGATGTTCATGGCGGCCGCCATGGCGCGGAGCTCCTTGGCGATGTCGGAGAAGGCCGGGCGCGAGGATGGGTCCGACGCCCAGCACCTTTCCATCAGGGACCTCCACATCGGCTCGCACCAGCTGGGGATCTCCGGCCGCAGTTCGCCTTTGATTATCCCCCCTGAGGAAGGAACGAACCACCATGGAAGCAGAGTGACCAGGAGCTCGCATCCAGGAGAACGAATCCAACGCAGCAAATTACTTTAAATCCATACCTATTACTTGCTCCGAGGGCATCTCTCCGTAAGGCTCTTCCCCAGTGAGCAGCTCCCACATGACGACCCCGAACGAGTAAACGTCGACCTAGTAGGAGATGGGGCATGGCGGTGAGTGGCTCTCCCCCACTCTAACTATCTCTGAAAACTATCAGAAGAGTACCTACCTTATCAGTCACCATGTTGCTCTGGGAGTTCAGAAGCTCCGGTGCCATCCAGGGTATGGTTCCTCGGACCCCGCCGGAGACCAGCGTCCTCCTCTTCACCTTCGAAAGGCCCAGGTCTCCGATCTGGACTTGTTGATTCCAGAGAATTATACACAAAAAATGGAGCGCACACAAAACAAAACAAAAAAAAAACTGAGAGACGCGGTTCTTCTGGCCCAGTTCACCTTGCATACTGGTCGATGAGGGTCCCTCATGTTCACCAAAAAGTTGTGGGACTTCAGGTCGAAATGGACGACGCCCTTCTCGTGAAGGTACTCCATGCCGAATGCCGCATCCATGGCGATGATGAGCCTCTTCCGCCGGTCAATGGTCCTGGAACAGGAGGGATAGACAGTTGGTAAGAGAGTGGAGAAAGCAGGGTGCCATCGATCGAAGAAGAAGAAGAAGAAGAAGAAATACCTGTCTTTCTTTCGAAGAACCTGCTTCAGGGAGCCGTTGACCATGTACTCCGTGACAGTAGCCAGGCTCGTCCCATCAGTGACTACTCCATAGAAAGCCACCACGTTTGGATGATGGAGTTGAGCCAGCAGGTGCGCCTCCTTCCAGAAGTCTGCGATCTGGAATGAAGAAAGTGTTGAAGAACGGAAAGTACGTCTCTTTCAGAGGAGATATCTAAAGGTCAACGACGGACTCCCCGACCCAAAATGACCGAGCATTATCCCCTTCTTTCAGGTCAATAGAGGTCGGAAGGTCAACGCTAGATGAAGCATTGAGAGCAGAAACCCGGTGATTCCTGAGTCAGGAGCTGTATGATAGTTACCAGACGGTCCCTCGCTGCGCCGCCCCCGGAGAAGCAGCTCGGCTTTAAGCGCTTGACGGCCACATCGGAGCCTCTCCATTTCCCATGGAAAACAGTCCCGAACGTGCCCGAGCCCAGCTCGCGTATTTCTTCCAGGTCTGCGCCTTTAATGGTCTGCATGCGGGGCGTGGAAGCTGTGAGAAGGGGTTTTACAGTGAAGACGTACGGCGTTCGTAGAAGATGATTCGTTCACCTGCAACTCTCTCCTCCCTGGCAGAGAGTAATCTGAGGGTTGCTTTTTCCCAGCTTCGCCAACTTCCGCTATCTCTGGAGAGATCCCCGCCTGTTCCTTGGCGTCGGCCTGCTGGAAGGGAATCCATGAGATGCCGCCCATCTTGGAGGAAAATCTCTGCTTCCGAAAGAGGGGCCTTTAACGTGTACCTTTAATGCCGCCGCCGCCGCCTCTGAAGCGGAAGAGACAGACGCGTCCTTGTTCCTGCGAGCTCCCTGTTCATTGAATGTGGCAGCTCCTGGGCACGACGGCTTCGACATTCTCGGAACCGCCCCGAGAGAAGCTCCGTCCATCTTCATGTATGATGAGCTCTCCAAAGGACCGAACCCATGGCGGATTGCGCTCACGGGAGGACCGGGAGCGGCGGTGGTGATGCACGGAGGAGGTACGCGGAGGGCATGAGAAAACCAGTAGCCGCTGTTTAAGAACAGGGCCTGACCAGGTCTCTGCTCTGGTTTTGGGACTGTATCGCAGAGAGTCGGAGAAGGCGTGCTGCTACCACCGCCGGCGCGGAGACGCCATGGTCGTTCCTCCGGTGTTCCCTCGCTGCTCGCAAGATCCAGCGGCCTCCCCGGAGCGGCGGGCTTTCTTGCATCTGTAGATATTGGGACCTTCGCCGGCTTGATCATCCCAAGAGCGTCGGAAGGATCGCCGGGAAGTCGGCCGGCGACGGCTTCTGTTGTTATCCCGCCGATCCTGGACCGGACCGGAAGGGAGGAAGGTGGAGGACTCCTTGCGCTCCTCCTCGCCGGAGAGGGCGGCGGCGGACTGAAGGTTCCGGCAGCGCGACGTCCGGCGATGCTCGGGAGGGCCTTCTCCCGGGTTTTCATCCCCGACATGAGCGAAGGATTCAGATTCTCCGACTGGCCAAGAAAGTGGCCTCCTCCGGCGGCCGGCGGTGGATTCACCAATCTGTCTCCGTCCGATGAATCTTTATGTGTCGCCTTATTCTTCAAGCTCCCGCCGCGATCGGGAATTCCCGATGTCATCGTTCTTTCCTGCAACACGTTGAGGTCGCCGGAGAGCCCAAATTGACGGTTCCCCCGGGAACAACCGGGGAAACCGGAGGGCGGCGACTCGCCATCGGTAGAGGGAGGATCCCCCGCGACGGAGCCCCAGTTCTTGGAGGCGGTGCTCTCCAAGAAGGAGCTCCTCGACGACGAAGCGGTTCTCCCAGAAGGGAAATCGCCCTCTCCGACGGGCGATGCGTCCAATTCTGGGAATCGTAGCGGCAGCGAGGGCACGGTATCACAGAGAAACACGCGCAGGCGGGGGACCTTCCCCCACATCAGGAACCGGTCGTACTCCGCCACCATACTTCTCACGTCCTCGTCCCCCAAAATCGGACGGAGAGCATGCCTGCGGCCGTCGTCGCGGCCTAGATCTGTCCCCCAAATCAGGCGGTGGAAGAGCCAGTGGCCGGGAGGATCGGCATGGAGGGAGAGGAGCGCCCCTGGAAGGATCTCGGAGATCCTCGCCAGGAGCTTCGGCATGTTCAGCCCGCACCGGTCGAGGGAGATGATCCTCGTCTCCCCGCCGACGTAGCGCAACTTCCCCTTCTCTCCCTCCGCCATCGTCGACTGCCGCTGCTCCTTGAACGATCCACCGTAGCTGATGAGCACCTTCATCGCCCCCTGCGGAGGCTCCCTTGGCATTGTCACCCCCTCCACCACCGCCTCGATCAACCAGTGGAACCAGACAGGAGGGAGGCACGCCTAGAGAGAGAATGAGAGAGGTAAAGAGAGAGAGAGAGAGAGAGAGGAGGACCCTTTCTTTCTCCGCCCGTTCTCTGTGAGAAGCGGAGATGCTCCCCCGTGAATCGCCGAAAAGTGGAGGGGACGAGGTTATATAGGGTTTGGTTGAGAAGGGGCCCACGGAAAGGAATCCCCCTGGAGATCGGAATCCAGTAGAGACTGGGCACTGTCAGCGAAACACGTGGCGGCTGCCTTCGTCTTCTCTTACCAGCTTCAGGACGTTCGACACCCAGCCGTCCGATCGTCTTCGCCTGTCCCCGAAATGCTAATTTTTCCGTCCGATCCGCTGACCCAGATAGCACATGATTCTTTCAATACCGTTTTCTCGATATGCGGGAATTTTGCCGCCCTCCTTCCCTCTCTCTCCCTGTCTCTCTCTCCAGACATGTGAGGCCCAATGAGCCCATTTATCAATACTGGGCCATACAAGTTTAATGGGCCGATACAATTCACGGCTTCTCGAGAGGGCTGGCTTTCACGGGATGACCCGGTCCGCTCGTGGAGCTCAACAGTAGTGGCGCACATCACGAGGAGTCAGAGTCTCAGAGCCGGCGTGCCGCTGACTCACTACCTTTCCTGTCTGCTCGGGAAGCCCATCAATAGCCGCCTCATTCTCCGCCCCCACATGATGGTTTGACCCTGTGGTCCACGGTCCACCCTCATACCACCCCCAACCCCTCACGGGCCGCCTCCCCCAGCCATATATCCCGCCCATCAATCTACCCACCAAGGTTAAAAAACATCCATTAAACACATGTCATTTAGACGGGCAATAATAGCGGTGGATTTGACCCTCATGTTCTGGCCGTTGACCGGATGATGGTTTTGCCAATAATAGGATCATCGATGTCTAGCCGCTGCTCATTCTCCTCTTCATTAGATCGAGCAGCGAGATGGACGATGTGGGCGGGGGGTTTTTCTACGTGGGTCGCGTAAAGAGATGTTCTTTGTAGCCACCCAGGTTCATGCCATTTATGGACCGGAGGGACCTTCGAACCGAGGGCTCGCCATTGTCGAGCAGAGTTTCTTGGACCTCCTCGGTAGGTTCCAGCGCGTGAAGAGAGCAGGTGATGAAGAGGGGGAGGAGGAAAAGGAAAAGGGAGAAGAAAGTCGTCCCTACTTTCCATCATCACGTCACATGGCTGACTGACTCTTCTTCTCTCCTCCTCCCCGCTCACAGACGCTTGGAGAGAAGACAGAGGACACTACGAGGGGTAGGTGATCAGGTTATGGACGAGGGGGGGGGAATGGAGTGCAGCTCCTTGGGTAATCGGGGAAGAGCATGTGATGATGCCCCTGGCCACCGGTGGGGGATCGTACCTTTTCTAACCTTTTAACCTCATGGTGCTCATCATCGCCCTGGTGTTTCTACTGTTCCGGATCTACAGCGGGAACCTGGTGTGATCAGAAGTAATCGAAATGCTGATGAGCCTCGTGGTGGTGCAGCTCTTGCTTCTCTTTCTCCTTCTCGATCGTCGTCTTCCGAGGATCAGTCGCTGGGGACGGCCTGGGCCTCGCCCTCTGCAAGTCCCTGGGCGGCGCCTCGGGGGGGCGCACAGATCTGATCAGAGCCCAGTTCACCCCTTGGAAGAAGTCGTGCCTCTTGATCTCCACCGAGCCTCTCGAGCTCCCGATCCGCTTCTTGGGGTTCTTCACCAGGAGCTTGCTGATGAGGTCCTGAGCCCTGGCCAAGTCCTCCCAGTCCTTGCCGTTGGCGGCCGTCCGGGGGAAGCTGAGGGGCTGCTTGAGGATGTTGACCAGGGTCTTCTCGTTGTTCTCGCCTTTGAACGGGGTCCGCCCGAAGAGGAGCTCGTAGAGGAACACGCCGACGGTCCACCAGTCGACGGCGCTGCCGTGGCCGGTGCCGGAGATGACCTCCGGGGCCAGGTACTCGTGGGTGCCCACGAAGGACCTGGACCGGGCGTTGACCGGCTCGGCGACGAGCTCCGGCTCGGTCTCTTCCAGGCCCTCTTCTCGGGGGGCTGCTGCCCTCGGAACAGGCGTTCTCTTCCTGCCGTAGAAGCAGGAAAGTACAGGTTGCATGGGCGGCGGCACGCAGGAGGCGGCGCCGCCCGCTGGGCCACCGTGCTTGGAGCCGACGGGCCCGTGGGAGGGAAGGCGGCGGTGGCGGAGGAGCTTGGGGACGACGTCGCACTTGAAGGAGAGGTCGAAATCGGAGAGCATGACGTGGCCGTCGCCGCGGACGAGGACGTTCTCCGGCTTGAGGTCCCGGTATACCACTCCCATCATGTGGAGGTACTCCAGCGCCAGCAGGATCTCCGCCACATAGAACCTGAGCGGCGGAGGAGGGCATACCCGCCGTTAGAAACTTCCGTCGTCCACCTTGAATCTCTCGGTCAACTGTTTAATTGTCCCCCAAATGGCCGTCTCCAGCCTTTATCGGAGAAAGCTCAGAGAGAGAGAGAGAGAGAGAGAGAGAGAGAGAGAGAACTACCCGTGCCATGCTCCATCGTTTTACCATGAGAAAGGAAGGTATAAAGTGGTACGACGCTATGGGGAGAGAGAGAGAAAGATCACGGAGTTCATGGAAGGGGAAGGAGAGAGAGAGGGAGAGAGGGAGAGGGTGGGGAGGGGGTTGCGTACTTGGCGGAGGAGACGCTGAAGCGACGACCAGGCTGGCGCTGGCGGAGGGCGTGGAGGTCACCACCAGGACAGAACTCCATGACTAAGCAAGAATAGTTTGCGGCTTCAAAGCTGGCGTAGAGCGTGGGCAGGAAAGGGTGGTCGAGGGTGGCGAGAATCTCCCTCTCCATCTCCGCTCGTTGGAGCTTCTTCCGGACGGCGAGCGCCTCCTTGTCCACCACCTTCATGGCGTAGGCGCACTCAGCGCCGCCGAACCCGGGTTCGTGGAGCCGGCACAGGTATACGTTCCCTAGATCGCCGCCGCCGAGCCGCCGCACCAACCTGAAGTGGTCGAGCCCCACGCGGCCGGCCGCCGTCTGCAGCCTCCTGATGGCCACCCATTCCGCCTGGTTCGCCTTGTGCGGCTTGTAGGCGGCGCTGGCGGCGCTTTCGCCGCCCAAGGACCGGACGGAGAGCGAGCTCGTGCTGCTGAAGCTAACGTCGCTTATCCTGCTCCGGCAGGATCCCCGGGGGGCTACGGAGGAGGAGCAGCTGCTTTCGTAGTCGGACTCATCGCGACTGCTCGACGTGGCCTCCATGACCGGCGGTGTCGGTGCTCTCGCAAGAGACACGAATCTGAGCCCGAGGGGAGAAGCATCAGATCCCATCCTCAGGCCCCCTCCGGTTTATATACGCAAACCCCCGAGCTCAGCACGATCTGCTACTCTCCCTAAATACCTCAGTTCCACACTTTAATCACGGAAAGGCCATCAAACTTTAAAAGACTGAACTAACCTCAGAGTAATCCATATAGAGGGTCTGCTTTGGTAAGGGTAATAACGGTAGATACGGTGAGGGGTGGGCCCTCAGGGATCGGCCCGGCACGTAGAACGCATGTCCCGAGTTAAGACGACCGCGCTGAGCTGACGTGGCAGCGCATGGCCTCACGGTCGCGCCGTGGTCTCCCTCTATAGTTTAACAAAAAGTGGTCCAGCACCTACCCCCCCTCTCTCTCTCTCTCTCTCTCTCTTCTCTCTCTTCTCGCTCTCTTCGGTGAGGTGAATCGGACGCGGCGGCATGTGAAGCTATTTAACCGATACGCGTGGCCCCCGATGGGCCTGTGCCGAAGGCGACTTAGCCACCTTGAGGCCCAGTCGGCCCATTAAACTCCGCTATAGGCTAACCTCCTTCGCGGATTACCGTGTTCTTTCTATGTGTACGGGCAGAACCGGAAGCCATCATCGTCTCTCGATGGGTCCGCCGAGGATAACTCTTTACGTGGGGTATAAAGTTGATAGACTCCTTTTTTTTACAGAAAGCCCTGAAATAATGACGCCGCATCGTGTACTCCTTTTCGTCGCGTTGGCGCTGGGCCACGGGCCCATGCGGTCAACTTTCTTCCATGCATGCAGCCACGTCAGTTGACCAACACCCTTCCCTCCGAGCCGTCAGCCGCCGTTGCCCCTTCACTCGCCGGCGAGAACATCAGGAGACGCAGATCATTGAGAGAGAGAGAGAGAGAGAGAGAGAGAGGGGACGAGAGAGATGTGGCATCCCTGGCCAGCCGCGGGCACTGCCAAGAACAAGAAGACACCCTGCAGAAGAGCAAGATACGACCGCCACTTGCGGAATCTGGACCAGAAGACAGCGAGCAGAGGAGCATTCCACGACGCCCTCGTCTTTACTGTCCACCGTGCTTCCCACAGCGGCAGCCGCCGTGGGCCTCCGCGCAGTCGACGGCTACCGAGAAGAACACGTGGGAAGAACCTCCGTAGTGAGACAGCCACAGCGCGGCACAAAGAAGGGGAGAGAAGATCTCACGCCTCAGAAAGAGCCTGCAAGAAGAAAACAAAGCGGGGTGGGGAGTGGGCGTCTTCCCCCGAAGAAATCTGAGGTCTGCATGAAGGAATATGCCAGTCTACGTGACCACACCTTTCCTTTATCCGTCGAAGCTGTCGCCGCTTTAGGGCGAAGAATCCGACATCTGGGGGTCCGGCGGGGATTAAAGCAATGGCAGACGCCGCTCCCATGCAACTGTAAATCGCCGTATGTTGGGTGTGACGGGAGGTCCCTCCGCCATGTTTTCCTATTGAGAGAGAAGAAGCACGGTGGAACGCAGACGGCCATCCGTGCACAGAGCTGGCCTTGTCCGAACCTTCATGGACAGAAGAATTTAAGCAGAGAATCGTAGAGTCTAGACGCTGGTTCTGGAGCATCTCCATAAAGCTTCAGACCAGGGTTCCTCTTCATCTTCGCGTTTAATGGAACATGCCCACTCTTGGGCATCTGCTCCGGCCGAATGGGAAGATGGCCCGTGTAACTTCTTTCTTCCCGGGTCTCCCTTTGTCGTCTGGGCTGCGGTTTCCACGAAAAAATCTCTGACGCACCGGGAGGATCTCTCTGCGTCGGAAGCAAATCTTATACTTAATCTGGATTCGAAACTATTAGCTGAATATGGCAGTGAAACTCCATCACCTGGCCGTAAGACGTCGATACTACGCTCAAGCTGAACCCAACGGGATTTCTGTACCGGTTCCTGGCAGGGGAGACGACCGAGAACAGTCGTCAAAGTCCCATCTCTACTTCATCCCCATGAAGAAGGAGACACCTCGGTCTGCTCATTAACCAGCGATGGGCGAGTAAAGTGCCAGGCCAGGCTCAAGCTTTTGGCGAGAATTTCCAGCATCTGGTAAATCTCTCTGCTTTCTGCATGCGACTTGTCGCCTACGATGAATTCATGGACGACATTGCCGACCTCGATGGAGCTGGAGCCGGGCGCCCTCTTCAAGCTCCTGTCATTTATGATGGCGCGAACTCTCAGGGCATCGTCCCATCGCCCAGCCGAAGCATAGGCATTGGATAGAAGCACATAAACAGAGGCGTTGTCCGGTTCCAATTCGATGAGGCGGCTGGCGGCGGATTCGGCCAATTCGACGTGCCCGCGAACACAGCAGGCTCCGAGCAGGGAGCTCCAGATCGCGCCGTCTGGCTCCACTTCCATCTCTCCGATGAGCGACCAGGCCTCCTCGAGCAGCCCAGCTCGGCCGAGGATGCCCACCATGCAGCCGTAGTGGTGCACCTTCGGCGAGATGCTGTAGTCCTTGATCATTGAATCGAAGTAAAACCGACCCATCTCCACTAGACCCGCGTGGCAGCAAGCTGACAGCACGCCGACGAACGTGATGTCGTCCGGTCGGAACCCTTCTCCGATCATCATCTCGAAGTATCTTAGAGCCTCCTCTGCGCGGCCATGCAGGGCCAACCCAGCGATCAGCGCATTCCAACAAGAGAGGTTTCTGTACGACAAGTCGTCGAACACCTGCTCTGCGGCCTCTATGCTCCCGCACTTGGCGTACATGTCGATGAGACTGGTGAAAAGGGCCGCCGTGGTGGCATCTCTGAGGCCATCATCCATGGCGCTACTCTCCCCCATCCTCCTTTTTATGTATGAATGTATCCATTTTCCGATGTCGAGGGCGCCCAAGTGAGCGCACGCAGGGAGAACGTTCAAGAAGGTGACCTCGTTGGGCTCCTCCGACAGCTGCATCTGTCTGAACAGTGCCAGGGCTTCTCTGTAGCAGCTCGTTCGAGAGTACCCGCCGATCATGACGTTCCAGGAAATCCGGTCCCTGCTGGGTGTTCCATCGAACAGCTCGCGCGCCAATACCAAGTCCCCGCACTTGGAATACATGTCGATGAGAGCGTTGGTCAGCCTGAGGCTGGATCTCATCCCTCGATCGGCCGTCCAGCGATGGATCCAAGTGCCCACCTCGGCTGAACCAGATTGCGCGCAGGCCGAGAGAACGCTCAGCATCGTGCTCTCGTTGGGCTCCACCTTGGCCTCCATCATTTCTCGGAAGAGCCGCAGAGCCTCTTCGGGGTGGCCGCTCTGGGAGAACCCGGCAATTATCGCGTTCCAGGCGATGACGTCTTTCTTCGGCATTCGGTCGAACATCTGACGGGCACTAGTGAGCTCTCCCCACAGAAGGTACCCCTTGATCAAGGCCGTGAAGGAGACCGCGTCTCTGAGGCACCCCGCGTCGAAAACCCGGCGGGCGTCAAGCAGTTCCCCGCTCCGCGCGTACATGTTGATGAGAGACGTGTGGACGAAGGCGTCACCGGCGAGACCGAGCTTCAGAGCCTGCGCGTGGGCCTGCCTCCCCTGCCCTGCGGCGGCCATGGCGGCGCACGCCTTGAAGAGAGACGGGAAGGTGTGGGAGTTGGGCAGGGCCCCGGCGAGCAGCATCCTGACGTAGAAGGAGACGGCCTCCGCCGGCGAGCGGCTGAGGGAGTAGCCCCTGATGATGGTGTTCCACAGGAATTGGTGGGGCTCGGGCCCGGCGGATTCGAGGAGGAGGACGGCGTAGGAGAGATCTCCGACGGGGGAGAGCGCGCAGAACTCAACCAGCTTGCCCAGGGAGAAGCAGGCTCCATGGTCGCGGAGGGCGCCGGACTTGATGACGCCGGCGTGCACGGCCCTGAGCTCCTCCAAGCCCCTGCAGCGGGGCAGGAGGGACAGCAGTGGATGGGCCTCGGCGGGCTTCTGCGGGAGGGCCTGGGAGAGAAAGGGGGAGGTCGCGGCGGAGGAGACGGCGGCCATGGCAGAAGCTGAGGCCGCCAAATCCACACCGCCGGGGGGACTATCTTCGCCTAAAGTGATGGACCGTTGACGTTGCTCCCATTAAGGTCAACCCGATGGGAATATTTTGCGGGTTGACACTGGAACGCATTCGAATATAGCGGCAGCAAATGGGAGGTAAGGTAGGTTCGCCTTTCATGGAGAGGTAAGGAGTCAGAGGTTCAGATGGGCGACGAGGGCGGCGGAAATATGCCGCCGGCGGCTCAGCCCCAGAGCGGTCTGATTCGCTCTCGAACGCCGCCATCTTCTCTCATGCGGGACTCAGATTTAGACAAGACGATAAAGAAGCGCCAGATAGATCAACGTGTAGATGACGTCATGACACCTGGGATCCCGGGCGCTGACCTCAATAATGCACCTTCAATCACTATTTACCGCGTCCCTCGTCATTTTCAGGGCTCTCTCTCGTTCTTGCTTGTCTGTCTGTCTATCTGTCTGTCTCTCCTCGAGGGGAGAAGGGGCGATGTGGGATCGTCTCCCGCTCGATCTGCTCGCGCAGATCTTCTCCTTCCTCCCGCCGGGGGTTCTGGCCCGGGCTATGGCGACCTGCCGGCACTGGCGCGCATGCGCCGTCTCCCATCCGGCTCCCCGAGGAGGTCCTCGCCGAGAGGGCGTCTTCCCGTGGTTCCTTGCCGTCTGCAATCGCGCCGCCGGTGCCGGCAGCCCTCCCTGCTTCGTGTACGTTCCAGAGCTCCGCCGCTGGCACATCCTCCCCCTCGATTTCCTCCACTTCTCCGTCCGCCTTGTCTCCCCCGTCGCCGCGGGGCTCCTCCTCTGCCGCCTGGGAACCGGCGGCCGGCTCCTCCTCTGCAACCCCTTCACCCGGCAGCACAGGCTCCTCCCCGAGCTCATGACCCCGCGCTCCAGCCCCGCCGTCGGGGTGGTCGCCGGCGGCGCCGCCTCCTTCAAGGTTTTCGTCGCCGGAGGGGCCACGGCCGGCGGCTACGAGCCCACATTGGAGGTGTACGACTCCACGCTTGGCAGCTGGCGGCGCGCCGGGACGACGCCTGCGGGGTTCGCCGTGCGGCTCACGGTGTGGACCCCGAACGAGTGCGTGGTCGCCGGCGGGGTGGTCTACTGGATGACGTCGGCGAGGGCTTACAGCGTGATGGGCCTGGAGGTGGCCACCGGGGCCTGGCGCGAGGTGAAGGCGCCGCTGGCGGAGCGGCTCCAGTGGGCGGCGCTGGTGGAGCGGCGGAGCGGGCAGCTGGGCCTCGTCGGCGGCTGCGGAGGCGCGGAGGGAAGGGTGTGGGAGCTGGTGGAGGGAGACGAGTGGGTGGTGGTGGGGGAGGTGCCGGCCGAGGCGGCAGGGCGGATCTCCGGCGGCGGCACCACCAGGTGCGTGGGGAGAGAGGGGGAGGTGTATCTGTATGGGGAGCTGGGGCAGGGCATGGCGGTAGGGAGGGAGCTCGAGGGCAGATGGGAGTGGGAGTGGGTCGACGGCTGCTTCTCCGTTCTCGGCGCGGAGCTCAAGGCCCTGCCGGGAGCCGCCGCCGCCCCTCTCAAAGGCGTCCTCCTTCACCCCACCCTCTCCCCATCCTTCTGTTTCCTCCACCAGGATCCTTAGAGAGAGAGAGAGAGAGAGAGAGAGGCCCTGTGTTGGGCCGAAACCCAAGTCTGTTCCTGAACAGGCCGCGTCGGACCCAAAAGAGGCTCGTTGAGGGATATTGTCCTGCGGTCTCGAAACGGTTTATTTTAATCACAATCACTAACCACCAGTCATTTTGGAACACGTGTCACATTAGCCTTCCACATCGGCAATCACTACGAGACGCCCCTCTCGAACGGCCGTCCAGATGTACACGCTGTTGGTTAGTGTCCAAAGGGCACGCTCTCGACGCACAGTGGCAGTGACGTGGTGGTCTTCGCGACGTGGGCCGCTTGGCGGTGTGAGCCGAAACGCCGTTCGGCAAGAGATAAAGGCGGGGGTTTTATCCGCTCTGCGGCGAGGTTGCCGCTGATCCTCACTCTCATGGCGGCCGCCGTCGCTGATGCCGCTCCGTCATCCATGGCATCGCGTGCCGCCATGTCGCGAGGTTCAGGTGTATCCGGAGGGAGGAGGACTAGAGAGATGTTGCGCCTGGCGGCGGCTGACGGTTACCCATTCTCCAGACCTGCGTCGTCGCTGCCTCTCCGGTTCTCTCGTCCGTCTCGCTTCTCCTCGTTGGTCGCTTGTGCTCGACGTGGTGGGAAGAAATCCTCGCCGACGGGGCAGAATGGCGGCGCCCCCAGGAAGGCGAAGGTGAGAAGAATCTCTCTACGTCTCCCTCCCTTCTCCCCCATCCTCCTCGCTGCCTGCAGAACCTTGGAACCGACTCATTTACCGTTCCTGACACTCGGGACGGGGTAAATCCTTCATTCTTCCGACTTTCTCGACGACCATGTCGGATTCACTTCGAATTTGGAACCGATGATGGAAGGAGAAGACGGAATTTCTGTACCCTTCAGGGATAATTCATACTACTTTCTGAATGATTCTACATCCACTGTAACTCTGTCTGGGCTTTTTGGATGATTCGACCGCATACGTTGAAAGATTTGATATCCCCATGTTTTTTTAAGAATTATCCTCCTCTACTTATGTATGATATATGGATTTTCACCCAAGATTTAGCCCATCAAATGGTGAGGCAGATGGGTGGCCTATTACTGAACCAGATTTATTAGCTCTCCGAAACCATCTACGTCGGGGGGATTGTACTGGAAATCCTCTTCTGTTGATGATCCAATCTATCTTCGTCGTATGTGTGAACTTTACAGATGAACTCCACGTTTAGTTCTCCTTCAATGGCTGCCAAATATTTGATGGATTCAGTCACATGCTTGTTGGCTGTCTGCTTTTAGTTATATCCCTTCAGGTGCTTGGGGTCATGCGTGATGGTAGGCATATCAATCTATCTATATCATTCTTGGGAGCTAATACTGGCTAATTTCCAAAGTTCACCAAGAACGTGAAGAAATGGTTGAAAGGCTTAGCTTGCTCTGTTTCGTGGTAGTTTTCGAGGAATATTTTTCCTAACAATGCATGTTTGTTTCCCTTGGTATCGTTTCATTTTTATGCCCCCATGGAGACAGACATCAAGGTAATCGTGCATGCTCATGTACTAGTTTCAATGGAAGTTCTTAGCAGTGTTCTTCTCGTTTATTTCGGCAGAAACCACTGCCTGTTGATGAGGCAGACGAGGAAGACATTGATGAAGATGCCTTTGAGGCCCTCTTTAGCCTGCTCGAAGAGGATCTTAAGAAAGACAATTTATCTGGTGCCGACTTTGACGATGAGATATCTGAGGAAGATTTAGAGAGACTTGAACGGGAATTGGCTGCTGCACTTGGTGATGATGAGGATGATGATGATGAAGACGAAGATGGTGGTTCTTCTGGAGGTGCGTCTGCTGGTCCAGACGATACCGATGATGACGATGAAGATGATGAAGATCTCAGATTACCAAAGCTGAAAAATTGGCAACTTCGGAGGCTAGCCTCTGCTCTGAAGATTGGTCGACGAAAAACCAACGTGAGCAACTTAGTATTAGTTTCAATTAAACATGGCATCGCCCTGTAAAAACTTTGTTACTTTAGATTTTTTGTGTGGCTAGCCTGCCCTTACTTTGATTCAATACTCCTAGTTTCCCGACATTATTATGATATGCCTGACTACTGTTCATGGGTCTGGTTATTCTTCTATATAAATTTCGTATTTGTTTCAATTAAATATATCAAGATATCATCCGTATGTATGTAAGTATCATTATCTTAAGTTTCTCGGTGACCAATCTAACTCTTATTTTTTTCAATTCTCCTAGTTGCCGGAGACCATTATAAGTTATCTCATTGCTTTTCATCGGTCTGGTTATTTTCTGGATGAATATATATATTTTTTATTTTATATATTGAAGGTTGGATGAACTTGTAGCCATCATCATTCAAGGTTCTTCTTAAGGGCTAATCCACCGTCGATTTTTACTGTGCCACTGCTTGAGATCAGGATGATTTACCTCATCAGTATTCATGGGTCTCGTTAATCTGCCAGATCAAATCCCTTTCAGCTGAGCTTGGCCTGGAACGGGCCGTCGTCCTGGAATGCCTGCGTGACCCCCCACCGAATCTTCTTCTCATGGTGGCAACGTTGCCTGACAAGGCGGTGGAGGAACGACCACTGCCTGAACCCATCGAAGAAGATGCATCTGTAGAAGTCCATGCGGAGCAGGTAGATGCGCCTGCGGGAGCAGCTCCGGCGGCGGAGCGAGCCCCGGTGCATGCCATGAAGGCCAGCTGGGCGATGAACAAGAGACTTAAGAAGGTCCAAGTTGAAACCCTCGAGCGAGTTTACGCTCGAGCCAGGCGCCCCACGGTGAGCGGAAACCAGAAATTATTGTGGGTTTGGGGCGCGTGCTCCAATTATTTTCGTAAAATTTGTCAATGGCTGGGCTCACAGTTCCTCCTCCTCCTCCTCTGCAATCCCCCGGCAGAACACGATGATCAGCAGCATTGTGCACACGACGAACCTTCCATGGAAGACGGTGGTCAAGTGGTTCGAGGACAAGCGGGTCGAAGACGGGGAGCCCGAGCGCCGCCAGCCCTTCCGGCGATCCGAGCACGGGACGGTCTTCTCCTCCAACGGATGAGAGCTTTGCCACACCTCGCGATGTTCTACCTATCGCCACCAGCGGAAGTTTTTCTCTTTCTCAACCAAATTCGTCACCTTCCAAAGACCTCCCTCCATTCCATTCTTCCTCAGGCAACTCCCTGCTCCTCTCTCTCTCTCTCTCTCTCTCTCCCTCGCTTTCTCTTGTGGCTCGTACAATGGCATCGCTTGACTATAATCACTGGAGGACAACAGATCAGTGTGAGAGCCCACCGCCGCACTCGCCGGTGGAGACCACCAAACAATGAGTTGGCCCGCCTTCGTCGGCCGTCATCTCACGCACAGCTTTGTTCTCATGACAACAGCATTCATCAACTTCGCTCCGCCAGCATCCTCCTCCGCCTAGAGAACAGGCCCAACAAGAGAGTTAGTGTTGGAAAAGAGGAGCACCCGGCGAATGAGTGCCGACAGATTCCTCGGAGACGGCGGATGGTGGACGGCACAAGAGAGAGAAAGCGACGACGGAGGTTATATTACGGGGAATTCTCTCTCTCTAAACCGATTGCCCGTCGATCTGCTCGGATCCCTCCATCGATCGGGTCGCGGAATAATTACGAACAATTAAGGGACCAATAAATACCAAAAGAATGCGCCCGTTAAATGGCAGACTAAAAACACCCCGAAATCAGCTCCATCTCCCCAGATTCGCGGTGGGGAATGGGAATTGGGGGGGGGGGGGGTGGGCCCGGAGATTTATTGGGCCGCAGCAATTGCAGCCGCCGCTGGATTTATTCCTGCTCACGTGATGTCGGCTATCATTAAATCCGGCCCGCCGGCCCATATGTGGGCCCAATTGGACGGCCCATGGGGCCCACGAAGTGACCCTTTAGGGTCTTCTCATTAATGGTCCGAGATCGGACCGGCCCGGGAAATCCCATCGCGATCGTCAGACCGGGCGGTGGTACTCAAAGTCAATAAATGAGTAGTGAGGGACATTTTAGATAGCCCGCTGCCCCGGGATGACGGATTCCGGGGAATGTGCTCGGGTTGACGGCATCCGGAGACTCCGGAGCCGTCGGATGGGACCGTAATCTTACGGATCCTAGCCCTCCACGCTCCCCATGTCAGGGCCTTTGGATTGGGCCGAGACACATGGCCCTGGGGCATCCACGAAGAAGTTTTTGATACCGTCGGATGCGACTGTATCTGACGGTCTCCATGGCCCCAGAGGACCACAAACCCTGTGCTTAAGGCAGAGCGCGGGGCCCACATTCCTTTCCCAAAGGAAACAGATCAGAAGCAGAACACGGGCGCCCGAACGAACTGCGATAATAAATGACGTATTTAGCCTCTGCGTCAAGGGAGGTGGGGACCCCGGAGGTGTGGCTTTTCGTCTTTGGATATCTCCTCGTCGCTTTTTGTGCGCCTATAAAATGTTTCATTTCTCAAAAAGGGTAGGAAGGTTGAACGGGATAAAGGCGCTGAATCCCTTTTCTCTGTCGTCTACTCTCTCTCTCCCTCTCTGCTGCATCTCTCGTCTCTCCAGCAATCTCCATCACCATCTGTGGGGCGAGCTTGAGTAGGGTTCGTGGCTGGACAGAATGCAGGAGCAGGTGACGAGCTCGCTGCTGTCGAGCAGCGAGAGGTCGTCGAGTTCGGCGGTGCATCAGGTGAAAGAAGGTGATGTCCCCCGCTACCACACCCCCCCGTTCCGGTTTCTCCGATTTGGGTCGAGAAGTAGGGTTTTCGCCATGGCTTGCCACGAGGAGATCTTTCCTTGGACCTTTGATCTTCTTTCGGCCCTTTGGAAAATCTCCGGGACAGGTTTCCTTCCATTTTAAGGAATTGCTTCTTGCTCCATTTCCTCCCTCCCTCCCTCCTTTCCTCCTTCTCTCTCTCCCTCTCTCTGTGTCTAATTCACGCGTAGATTTCTTCTCCCGCGAGAATCTGTCAACTGGGTTTCGATTCCGTCGCTGATCTCTGAGATATCTGTTGCTGGATATCCCTTTTTTTTCTATCAACGCAGGTATAGAGAGCGACGACGAGATCAGGAGGGTGCCGGATTTCGGAGGAGAGCTGCCGGCGGGGACGTCCATCTCCGGGAGGGAGGTGTCCTCGGCCGCCACGACGCAGCGGAGGCAGGCTGCCTCCTCCGAGGCTGGGCTGCAGCGAAAGAGGGGCAGAGATCCCGCGGACAAGGAGCACAAACGCCTTAAGAGGTGAGAACCCTGCAAGTCCATTCAAGGCCTGCATCTTTTAGCAGAGGCTCCTCCCAAAATCGTTCTCTCAATCTCTCTCTCTCTCTCTCTCTCTCTCCCCTCCGGGGTGGCAGGCTGCTGAGGAACAGGGTGTCGGCGCAGCAGGCCCGAGAGAGGAAGAAGGCCTACCTGAACGACCTCGAGGCGAAGGTGAAGGAGCTCGAGAAGCGCAACTCGGAGCTGGAGGAGCGCCTCTCCACCCTTCAGAACGAGAACCAGATGCTCAGACACGTACGTAAAAAGTCCCTCTGTCCCTCCCTGCTGGGTTGCCCCTCCGTATGGTTCTCCGGCTGGGTCTTCGCCGCTATGGCGAGATCCACAATGACAGCTGTACAATCCCGTCTCAGTCAACTGGCCCACGCCCACTTGTCGATGTCGTGTCCCGGAGAATGTCCGGGATCTGCTGGGGGGTGGGGGCCATGACCACGCTGGTTTACTATTTTCCCCCGCGGCTTCGTTTCCACTGCGCGGCGCCGCCCACCCCACGCTTAGGGCAGACGATGCCACCCAAAACCTCGGGAGGGGCCTGCTAATGGTGGGCGGGTACGTTCTGATCTCTCACCTTCTCTGTTGTGTCGGCAGATACTGAAGAATACCTCAGTCGGCCGGAGGGGATCCACGAGCAGCGCCAACGGGGAAGGCTCGGTCTGAAGGAACAGTATACAGGGATGAACGGCCGGAGCTCCGGCGCTGTCGCAAGAGAAGACGGTGGGGTGACTACGGTCATCAGAGGCGGCGCCGCCCCTCCAGCTTCTCCTCCTACCCGTGTGATCTGTGGGTCCGTATGTAAACCATTCAACCGGCCACCTGAATCCGATGATCTGCGACTCTGCAACTCCATCGAGCCACCGCTCCGCCGCCTGGAGTCTGTCTCTAGCTCCCTCTCCGAAACCCGGCGGCGATTTCGCCGCCCATTTTGTCGAGCTGAATTACGAAAATACCACTGCATGCGAAGACATCTGCGTCACGTGGGGTTCGTTGGCGCCCGGAGACGACGCCACGTGAAACGGGGCGAAATGAGAGGAAGAAGCGTCTCGGGGCTGGTGAGCTCTCTGATCAAGGGAGAAAGAGACCATTTGACACGTGTTTTAATGAAAGCCTCATATCGGGTCCAAATCAAACTTAACGGCGCGGTTGACTCTTACACCACCCCTGTCCGACTTGGGAGAAGGTGGGGACCATCCGGAGACTAGTTCTCAGGGCCTGCCGTCCCTCTCCTGCCGTCTCGGAAGGAGGATGGGACCGCCGCCGGCACTCTACTAGCAGTACCAGCCAGAGAGGGAGAGGAAGAGCTGGACGATCAGAAAGGCCTAGTCGCCGTCCAGAAAAGAGAGAGAGAGAGACTCCGGAGGCAGCGTTGACTGAGACGATCACGGCGGTGGAGAGACAAATCCATGCTTCTCCGGTGCAGTTGCAGAGATTACGTTTTTCGGCATGGATTGCCAAAGAGATGATGTCGGGGATGAATCCCGACCGACGAGCTGCGGGCTGAAGCCCTCCGCTGCTTCAGAGCTCGTCCAGCCTCTCAAAGCTTGCGCTGGACCTGACGCTGTACTCCGAGACGAGCTTGGCGAACAGCGACGACTTGTTCTCGAGCAATCGCGAGGGGGAGTCGAACTCTGCGATGGCGCCTGGCACCACACCGGAGATGGGATGGGCTCCCCGATCAGAAAGAGAATGCTACCGCAAGCTGTGGTATGGAAGAGAGAGAGAAGCTACAGTGAGTACTAACCGTTGTCGAGGAGGAGGACCATGTCGCTGTCCAGAACGGAGGTTATCCTGTGGGCGATGGTGAGGACGGTGGAGGCCGAGAACTGCTGCCTCAGCGTCTTCTGTATTAGGTTGTCTGTCGCTGTGTCCACGGAGGCGGTGGCTTCGTCCAAGACTAAGATTTTGCTCCTCTTGAGGATGACCCTTCCCAGGCAGACCAGCTGCCGCTGGCCCATGCTCCAGTTCTCTCCATTCTCCGTCACTGCCGAAAGAAAAACCGGCGGCGATTCTCGTGATCTCGATGGAAACCAGAGGGAGGAGGGGAAGTGATGAGAGGAGAGGAAGGGGAATGACGGAGACCTGAGGAGTCGAGCCTTGCTTCTCTTCTCCTGATTTCGTCTCCAAGCTGGCACCTGTCCAACATCTGCAGCAGCAGGAATCAGCAGGAGGAAGAAGCGCGGAAGGAGGGAGGGAGGGAGGGCGGAGTAGAGAGAAGGATGGGAGGAGTGAGAACCTGCCATATCTCCTCATCTGTGTGCTCCTCCAAGGGGTCGAAGTTGCTGCGGAGTGTTCCCTCGAACATGGTCGGGTCCTGGGGGATGATGCCCAGCCGGGATCTCAGGTCGTGCAGGCCCACGGTCTGGATGTCGGTGCCGTCGATCAGGATCTGACCGGCAGTGGGGTCAACGATCCGGAAGAGCGTCTGGATAAGAGTTGACTTGCCGCTCCCTGTTCTCCCGACGATGCCCGTCTTCTTCCCCCCCGGGAGGACGCAGCTCAACCCTCTCAGCACCAGGGGCATCTGCGGCGCGTACCGGACCTGCAGGCTGCGGACGTCTACCTCCCCCAGCGACGGCCAGCTGGAGTTCGGCCGGTGGGATTCGACGGCGAGGGGCGGCTCGCTGGGAATGGACGTGTACTGGAGTATTCTCTCCACGGAGATGATCTTGTTCTCGAGGTTGCAGAGGTTCCAGATGACCCAGGCTTGAAGCATGTTCAGGTTCAGCCCGTAGCTAACGGCCACGCCGGCGATGGCTGCGGAAGGAAGACGAGAAGAAAGGGTCATGCGGATGAGCTTCACGGCGGCGCTGGGCCAGCGGAGGACCGGAGAAACGCGAAGCTTCACTTGCCTGGGCTGATGGTTCCCACGGGGACGGAGATGAGGAAGAGCAGAGAGAAGGCGAAGGTGGCCGTCGCGAGCGCGTCCAGGCGGAGGCAGAGCCACTCCATCGCCGCCGCGTTGTGGAACTTGGGGCTCGAGTATCGGTCGTTCAGATTAAAGTTCGTCTCCACGAACCTCGCCTTCTGGTCGAAACTCCGGATCGTCATCGACCCCGACAGTGACTCTGCGAAGTGCTGTATGATCGGAGCCTTGCACACTCCCACCAGCCTCGCCAGCTCCCGCGCCGTCGAAATGTAATATTGCTGCACGTCGATGATGACCGGATGATCGGAACCCTCGATGGCGACTGCGGTGGGTAGAGAAACGAGTACCTACCTGGTACCAGACGCAGACGGCTATCACCGGGATGAAGACGATGAAGACCTGCCAGGCGACCTGAGACATGACGGCGACGATTCCGAGAAGCTGGATCACCGAGAAAGCGAAGGAGCCGATCTGGGGGGCGAAGGAGGTGTCGACCTCGCTCTGGTCCGTGGATGCCTGCAGAAAAACGGACCTCTCTCTCTGATCATCCGAGTTCGGAGGTAAACGCTTCTCACAGCTACAGGGGTGTGATCGATCGCTCACCCGATTCAAGATGCGGCCGCTGGGCGTGGAATCGAAGAATGACATCGGAGCCCGGAAGATGCAGGCGTGCATCTTGTTGAAGAGCAAGGTCGCCGTCTTGTACCCGGCAGTGGCGACGAGCAGGGCCCTGAAGAGAACGCAGAGCGAGCTCCCCAGAGCCAAACCCACGTAGACGGCGATGAGGGCGAAGGAGCTGACCGGAGGAGGAGCGCCTTTCGCCGGAGGGGACGCCCAGGCCATCCAGTAGTTACTGCCAATCTGAAGAGCTTGGAAGAGGATCTGCGCCAGCAGGATGAACGGGACGAGCACCCCCTTGTACGCTGTCGTCAAGTACTTCCAGTAGACGGAGAAGTCGACCCTTCCCTTCTCCCTCTCCTCCTCCTGCACGAGCTGCCCCGCCGGGACAGCGCCGTCGCCCGCTTTGTCGTTCTGTTGGACTCCGTGGATGTCTTCGTTATGGGTCGTCGCCTTAGGATGCCCTCCCGCGTCTTTCGAGCTCCCGCCGGCGCCGCTTCCAGGGGAGAAGTCCACAGAATCGAGCGCCGACAGGGCGTCCCTGTGGGCGCCGACAAGCTCCATGAAGTCGGTCCCCGAGCAGAGAATCTCGCTGTACTTGCCCGCTTGGGTGATCCTCCCCCGCTTCATAACCTGCGGGTATTACCGGATGAAGTCATCCCGCTCGGTTCGGTCACAGGGAGCAGGCAACAAGAACGAACAACCGAACGTGTTCTCACCAGAATGAGATCGGCAGACGGCAAGAACTCCACTTGGTGGGTCACGAAGATGACGGTCTTCGAAGAGAGCATCTCCAGGAGGCACTCCTGTTTTCCAGTCAGAGAGCCAGCCATCTCCGGCCGGTGAGCCGCCCCACAGTTAGCGGAAAGAATCGAGAAATCAGCAGGCGGAGAAAGTCTGAACCTTGAAGAGATGGGTTCCCGTGTGGGCGTCGACGGCGCTGAAGGGGTCGTCGAAGAGGAAGACGTCGGCGTCATGGTACAAGGCGCGGGCGATCTGTATTCTCTGCTTCTGCCCGCCGCTGAGGTTGATTCCCCTCTCGCCGATGACGGTCTGGTCCCCGAAGGGCAGAATCTCCAGGTCTTTCTTCAGGGAGCACGTTTCCAGGACCTGCTCGTACCTGCTCCTTTCCATCTCCTTCCCGAAGAGAATGTTCTCCTCGATCTTGCCGCTCTGGATCCATGGCGACTGAGATACGTAGGCGGTCGTCCCGCACAGCCTGATGCTCCCCGAAGTCTTCGGCACCTCCCCCAAGATGCAGGACAGCAAGGTCGACTTCCCGGAGCCGACGCCGCCGCAGACGGCGACGGTCATGCCGCGGAGGATGGTGAAGTTCAGGTCCTTCAGGGTGGCCTCCTCCGCCGAAGGATCCCAGGAGAAGGTCCCATCTTTTACCTCGACGACGGCGTCTGTGCTTCCCCGGGGGAGCTTCTCGACGACGTCGGATTTCAGCTCCTCGAGCCTGAGGAAGGCCGATAACCTGTCGAGGGAGACCTTGGTCTGGATGACCATGGAGACGGTGTCTGGGAGATTGTAGATGGGCTCCTGCAGGACTCTGAAAGTGGCGAGCGCCGACAGGACCTTCCCAGACTCCAATGGGATGCCCATCAGCATGCAGGTCCCGAAGGTGACCGCGGAGACGAAGGTGGGGGCTCCCCAGAAGGCGAAGGTGATCATGGCGGACGTGTAGACGTACTTCTTCAGCCAGCTGGTCTCCTTCTTCCTCACCTCGACCACCTTGGACAGGAACTTCATCTCCCAGGCTTGGAGCTTGAGGATCCTCATGTTCCTCAGGATTTCCGCCATGGTCTTCATCCTCGTGTCCTTGGACGCCATCAGCTTCTCCTGGTACCTCTCCTGCATCTTGCCTAAGGGAAGATTCGCCAGCATGACCAGAACTGTGGCCACCATGGCGGCGAGAGAGGCCAGGCCGAGGTTAGAGTACAGAATGAGTAGGGCCAGAGTGACCTGAATCGGCACTATCCACAGATCGTGCATGTACCAGCTGAAAAGTCCGATTCTGTCGGCATCGACGCTCATGAGGTTGATGACCTCCCCACTGGTGCGCCCCTGCCGCGAGTTGCTCGACAGGGCGATGCCCTTCTGGTAGATCATCGCCACGAGGGAGGCCCTAACCCTAACCCCGGCCTGCTGCAAGCTGAAGAACCAGTATCTCTGCGAAAGGCCCTCGAAGATCTTCGCCAAGATGAAGCCGGTGACAAGGAGGTACCCTTCGTTTGGAGTTCTCTGGCGGCCATTGAGGAACTGAACGAAGGAGTCGATGAGCCAAGGACCGACGTAGCTAGACACTGTGTACACGAGAGCACAGAACGCCGTCCAAAGAATCAGGGGCCATACAGAGGACACCAAGGCTTTCACCAAATGGAGAGTCCTCACTCCGCCCGTATCGCCATGAGAGCTGGCGTATGATTCGAGCTTCTCTTTGAAAATGGGGAAGACCCCGTCGACTCTGTCGTTGTCCGCGAGCTGCGGGACGTCGTCTAGGCCCAAGGTTTTCCTGTAGCCCACAGAGAACAGAGGATTCATCCAGGAGAAGGTGAGCAGACTGAGGACCCCGGCATTTGAGAATGGCGACTTGCTCTCTCCCTTCCCTCTCTTCTTCGGGCCGTTGACGGCACCTCCATTCAAGAGAGGCTCACGGGACTCTTCGCATTCTTCCACCCTCTCGCCGCACAGCGCGGCATAGCCCGTGAGCAAGGCGAAGGGAACCGACCCAACGTCGGCCGCCCACAGGTGGACGGGGAGGACGCCGAGCTTCCGATAATACAGGAGGTCGAGGAGGAGGAAGGAAGAGGACAGCAGAAGGTAGAGGAACCACCAGACCCTCACGAAGAGCGGGAATCTCCTCCCCTCCCAATGAGCGAACTCGGTCCACTGGTAGGCGCACGCCGCAGACCAAGCGACGGCCCTTACGGCCAAGTCGACCTGCACGGCGAGTTCTTCGGTCGACCGCCTTCCGTGCGGAAACCAGAAGAAGTTGAAAACGGAGAGGAAGAGGTAGAAGAGAGCCAGGCAGAGGGAGGACAAGACGGCCGCCGTGTAGAGCCGGAATCGGCCGCCCTGAGTGATCTTGTTGGACCTCCCGTGGCGGCAGATCCTGCGAGACCAGACGACGGAGAGGAACAGCAGCAGCCCAAGGTGGCACGACGCAGACAGCCCACGCAGGAAGAAGGGCTCCGGTAGGAAGCCCATGGCTCGACCCTTCTCCGACAGAGATGAGAGGGAGGGAAGAATCCGCGGCACGGAGTCGTCCCCTCGCCTCTGCACCTCCTGAAAGTGGGAGGTGGAGGAGGAGGCGGGGGTGATTAATGGCGGAGGAGGAGGCGGGGGTGATTAATGGCGGAGGAGGAGGCGGGGGTGATTAATGGCGGAGGAGGAGGCGGGGGTGATTAATGGCGGAGGAAAACGAGATAGGGAGGGGGCCCGGAAAGGGGGGTCCTTGCGACGCACGGTAGAGGAGGGGAGTCGAGGAACACTTCGACTGGGGTCACGGGGCCACCGCCGTTTCACACTGCACGAAAAATGACGAAGATTCTGAAAACTTGGGTCTTGGAGAGCGATGGCTGTGCGGACGCCCTTGAAGACCCGCCTCCTCGCATTTGTCGCCTTTAGATCCGATGCCCGCGCAATTTTTTTTTGCGGCAGGCACCTCCCTTTGTTTTTCTCTTGTCACATTAAGACAGGAACCTGCATCTTTGAATACGACTGCGTCATAGAGAGAGAGAGAGAGAGAGAGAGAGAGAGAGAGAGAGAAAGAGACAGAAAGAAGTGATCGACGGGTGGGGTTGCTTGCTCTGCAAGAAGCTCTGAAGGGGGGGGCTCTACCCCCTTCTTCGTGTGACTATAAGGCCATGGGACGCACGTGTGCATGATGCGCACGTGTGGTATGCTTGCCACGTGTTAGAATATACAGCCAACCCTCGCTTCGGAGCATCCAAGGAATATCAATAATGGCTTGGAGGTCGGCCCATCGTACTGAGAAGTTTGGAACGAGACCTATTGTCACAAGATTAGATAGCTTAACTCACTTCAAACCCCACTCGTCGGCCTTGGACACCTTCACTAACATCCAAGCAGCCTTATTCCATGCCACGGAAGACTCTTACTCGATCAAAGTATCCCCCTTCTCAACTGAAAAGACAAGAGCTCATAGAAGATGGCTTGACCTAATGAGTTAAACTCATTCACTATTTATAAAAGAGGCCCCCCTAATTTTTCCTCATTTTATTCCTTACATAATATATCCTCTTCCTCCTAAAATAAGACTATCCTTATGTAGAGGAGTAACAATTGCTTCATATGAGGCTGCCACCTTACCTATTTGGCAAGTGAGCTTATGGGTTATATAATCCTATGACACCCTATTCCTTCACTTTATGTGAAAGAATCACATATCTGAAATGATCTTTGTATCCATGTTTATCATGCGATTCAATTGATATACCTAGTACACTTTGTTCACCTAGTGTACCTAATTTGTTTTGTGTGCTCGATCTATGATAAGTCTTTATTATCATGAGTTAATAATTAGTAAATAATATAGTTTTAGCCTTAACTTGTGATAAATAGACTTATATTTATGTTAAAGTATAAAAAGTGGTTTTTAATTGATTAATGTGAATTTTTAGATAATTATGTAATTTTATATAAATTTATATGATTTTTATAGTCTTACTTTTAAGATAAATAAAGAAAAAGAAATAAAAATAAAAATATTATAAAATAGAGGGACCTACCAACCAACCGGGCCTACAAGCGGGTCAGAAGCATAGTTAGGGAGTAGTCACAAGTAAGGGCTCGAGCAACTTGAACTGATAGAGGCACGTGTGTACCACTCTCATTCCACGTCACTAGTGACCAGCCGATTGTGGGGCAAGGAGTGATTGTACACACGAGAGAAGAGACTTGCTTCTAAAATATAATATTACTATATATTCGTCTGAAACTTCAGCACACAAACGATGTAGGACTAAACCTGCATCACACCTTCCCTAAAAAGAGTTCAAAAATTTTAATACCTAAAAGATCTTTTATTTATGATAGAGATATACCATAATGATGTCATTTTATAAGGGCATTAGAGTACTTATGTTAATTTCTCTCATGTATGCGGGTAATCTGTGCACGTTTGAATCCTCTTAAAATCAAACGTCATATTTTTTTAACTAATTATCGTGACTTTCTTGCAGATCACCAGTGAAGGATTAAACAACCAGAATCACTAGATCATTGGCGAAGATCTCGTCAACGCGATTTGCAGAACATTGTTACTAAAATTGTTGAACGATTCACAATAAAAGGATCGCAAATCTATCGAGTAAAGCATCTCTAATTGATCGACGAATAAGCTATCATTAGGAAGAGAATAATTTGTTGGGAGACGAGTCGTCACTTCTTAAGAACGTACTAGATACGACGAAGAGCCTCCTTTTGCTGTGTGGACCTAAAGATAAAGTTCCTTGACATATGTCCCACTTACATCTAACTCCTCTTTGTTAGGTGACAGTCATTGGAGAGTCACAAAGTCATTATTTTTTCACTCTACTGGGTGACAATCGCTAGAGATGATTCAATGACTTATTTCATTGATCTCTAGACTTCACAAGGAGATCTAAATATTGTCCACGTCATCTTTGTCTAAGGAGAGCCTTCAAGGCCATAAACATTACACAACGATCTTCTCAAATGCCTAAGATTCTAGTACATCATTGACATATTACCGTTGTGACATTGAAACTCTATTTTTTTACTTTCAACTTAATTTCTGTTTCATTTAGTGATAATTTATTAATTTTAAATTTACTAAGATATATTTTATTTCATTATGATTCTTTCGGCTTTTACAAATCTTAATTTGATCAATTAAATTATCTGTAATCGCTTACATAAGAATCATTAGGTGGAACTATATTTTTGCCTAATTTACGTTTGCCAAGTGCTAACGTCATCTTAACGTCTGCACTCTTATTTTCCTTTTTTGTGAATTTTAAATATATTTTATTTTCATTTCCTAGTATAAAATTTATAGAAAATAATATTTTTTAAGAAAATTTTTAAATAATTAATATCTATTATATTACATCCTTATGATTGACTTAAAAAATTACTACTATTTTTGAAAGTTTTATTAAATTATAATTGATATATTTGTTTAAAAATACTTCTAAATATCTAAAAATTTGTATTTTCTAATTTATAAAATTTAAATTTATGTGATTTATTATGCAATGACTAAGTCACGTCAATCTAATCAGTATGTCTCTACACATCCCTTGTTATGATGATTATGTTGTGACATCTTCAATTCACATAAACGCCCCCCTTTATAAGATCCAAAAGTTCCCATGCTCATATGTGCTCCTTATGCCTCTATGTGAGCCATGTTAACACCATGTCACGTAACATTGTTGTGTCTCATGTATGTGGCCTCTGTGTGTCATGTCACATTATTATCATGTGCACCACATAGATCCCCAACCTATCTCATACTATCAATACAAATCCGCTCATGTATCTAAGATCTTCTAAATTAGGCAGATCATAGTATTGACGACACTTCAAATTTTATGTCCTCCTTAGAAGATTTTATTTGAACCATTTGTTGACAAGGCTCTCAAACTACCATAAGTTGATGTCGTCATTGAGTTGAGAAATTGAACTTGTTGAGTACCTCCGAAAAATGCCTCACATATTCATCTAAGGTCTTAGTACACAATGACAAAGTGATCAATGTACTCATAGAAGATATTTACTAATGTGCAAAAGTTGTTGACGCATGAATGTACTCCAATAACAACATCATGGACTTATGCAAGTCATATCATGTTGCACATAACCTTTGGCTTGTATGTTTCATTGATCTTGACTTAGTGATATTTAATCTTTAAATTTACCCTTGAGAATTATTTGATCATGTCCAACTGATCAATAATTTCTCTATGTTAGGAATTGGATATTTGTCTCTCTTCGTTATCTTATTCATAGTCAATGTATAATCGGAGGGAGCTGTCCATCTTTTGAAAGATAATACATACACTACATGATGCCTTTGACATCATAAATATATCTTGCCTTCAATATCTCCTTTAGCTACCAACATAGCTATTTGAGATCTACTGAGCACATCTTGTATCACACACGGGCATAAGGGTGTTTTCTAAATAATAACTCAATCTTGTGTTTTGTCACTCTTTAGGGTGACAGTAATGACTAGAGAGATTCATGCATCAAATATTTAAGCTCTTGTGAAACATTGACAATTCTCTTTAGAAGTTGTCATGAATTAGCTTGCTGCCTTTGCCACTCTTGGGTGTTTGTCAACTGTTGGTGCCTTTATTGCATGTATGTTCACCATATACACACCTACGATGGAGTGAATGTGTCACATGCCTACTAGTCATAGTGATGGTTGTCTATGTACTTGGTGCATCCATAAGTCATACCTTCTATTGCTTTAGGGTCACAAGAATAGTTCATTTACCTTTCTTTAGTCTATCCTTTAGTTGAAGGGTGGATGACATTTATAGTCTTGATAAAGTAATTGTTAATTTTGTCATGATGTATGGCTTGGTTTTCTTGTGAAAATAACACATCTCAATTTGATATTATTATGAAGATGGTTCAATCATTTTAAATTCCATTACTAGTGGGATTTACACGTGACATTGATTAAGATATATGATGTTGAGTTGACAGCCTTATTTTTGGCATCCACTTGAAGCAGCGTTATACCAATCATGATATTCTTTTCTCAAATAAAAAATTATGAGTTACCTCATTGTCAATCATCACCTTTGTTAAAAGATCACCTATACATGTTTAGATTTAGATGAGTAGTGGCTCATTTGTCATATTTGTCTTTGATTGTCATTGCACTCAATAATTGAAGATAATTCAACAAAATTTAACTCCTAATGTTTTTTAAGTTGTCAAGGCATTCAATGCTCTTTTTTCTCCACAAGTTGGACAATTTTTTACCTAGTGTGGTCATTGGCAAATAAAACATTCATCCTTTGAGGAACCCTCTACATGTGCTATAACTTTGGACTTAAGTCTTCCTTGTCCCTTTCTTGTTCTCACCCATGACCAATCCCATGACCTTTGCCTCAACTTGTCCCTCAGCCACCACAACACGAATGGACCTACTTAGAATTGTCTTAACATTTGGTGCCTAAGTTAGATTCCTTAGTATTGATGATTTGATAGTTTACCAATACATATGCCATAATTATGACTTACCGTATGAGCCCCATGTTATTTAATATTGTCATAAAATTATATAAATTTTCATTGTTAAATGTGTTATTGATATCAAGGAGTCATGAAGTGAATTATTTGACATATTCCCTCATTAATCTTGTGTGCTTCAATCGTTTGAAATCATTATTTGCCATCCAAGTATTATTTGTCGGTAAGAATTACTCTTTGAATTCCTAGAAAAACTCATCACACAAGTTAAAAAGAGACTAGGCTTGATCTTTTAACCACGTACACTATCATAATTTAGTGTCATTTGAGAGGGGCATGTTGGACAATGCAAACTTTTCATCTTCATAAATGTGTATTACTTAAAAACCTGTATTTTCTGTGCATTATATACCCTACTAAACATTACAGGATTATGGACCTTTTGACAAGTAATGCCATTTGTTGGTGTTACACTTGCTAATATACATTTCATTAGAGCTACCTTGGCAGCAAAGGACTCTAATGTCTCATACTTCTCTTCTATTTTGCCTCTTCAGCCCATGATCCACAAGTGAATGTGATAAGTCTTCATTATCATGAGTTAATAATTAGTAAATAATATAGTTTTAGCCTTAACTCATGATAAATAGACTTATATTTGTGTTAAAGCATGAAAAGTGGTTTTCAGTTGATTAACGTGAATTTTTGGGTAATTATGTGATTTTATACGATTTTTACAGTCTTAGTTTTGAGATAAATGAAGAACAAGAAATAAAAATAAAAATATTGCAAAATGGGGGGACTCCGCCGGCCAGCCGGGCCCGCAAGCGGGTCGGAAGCGCAGTCGGGAGTAGCCGCGAGCAGGGGCTCGAGCAGCTTGCTTGGATCGATAGGGGCACGTGTGCGCCACTCCCCTTCCACGTCACCGGTGGTCAGCCGGCTGTGGGGCAAGGAGTGGTCGTACACGCGAGAGGACTTTGCCTAGAAAGCTAACTTTACTATATATTTGCCCGAATAATCTGCGCACAACCGATGTGGGACTAAACCTTCAGGGGCGGGCGACCGCCGCAGGTTCGAATCCTCCCAGAGTCAAAATTCATATATTTTTAACTGATTATCGCGACTTTCCTGCAGATCGCCGGTGAAGGATTAAGCAACCGGAATCGCTGGATCATCGGCGAAAATCTCGTCAACGCGATTCGCGGAGCATTGCTACTAAAATTTCTGAACGATTCGCGATAAAAGGATCGCAATCCATCGAGTAAATCATCTCCGATTGATCGACGAACAAGCCGTCGTCGGGAAGAGGACGATCCGCCGGGAGACCAGTCGCCACCTCCTGAGAGCGTACCAGATGCGATGAAGAGCCTCCTCTTGCTGCGCGGACCTGAGGATGAAGCTCCCTAACACGCGCCTCACCTCCATCCAGCCCCTCTCCGTCGGGTGACAGCCGCCGGAGAGCCGCAAAGTCGCCGTTTTTCCGCTCCGCCGGGTGACAGCCGCCGGAGACGATTCGACGACCCACTTCATTGGTCTCTAGACTTCGCGAGAAGATCTAGAGACTGCCCACGTCGTCTTTGTCCAATGAGAGCCTTCGAGGCCGTGGACACTGCACGACGACCCTCCCGAACGCTCAGGATTCCGGTGCATCGCCGACGCGTCGCCGTCGCGACGCCGGAACTCTGTTTTCCTGCTTTATCTAGAGATTGCCCACGTCGTCTTTGTCCAAGGAGAGCCTTCGAGGCCGTGGACACTGCACGACGATCCTCCCGAACGCTCAGGATTCCGGTGCATCGCCGACGCATCGCCGTCGCGACGCCGGAACTCTGTTTTCCTGCTTTCAATTTAATTTACGCTTCATTTAGTGATACTTTGTTGATTTTTATTTACCAAACTATACTTCGTTCAACTACGATTCTTCCGGCTTTTACAGATCTTAATTTGATTAATTGAGTCGTCTGTAATCGCCTACGTAAGAATCGCCGGGCGGAACTCTGTTTCCGCCTGATTCGCGTTCGCCGGGCGCTGACGTCATCCTGACGTCCGCACCCTTATTTCCTCTTTTTTTTTGTGAATTTTAAATATATTTCCTTTTTATTTCCTAGTATAAAATTCGTAAGAAAATCGTACTCATTGAGAAAAATTCTGAATAATTACCAGATATTATATTACATCCCTGTGATCGACCTGGAAAATTACCACTATTTTTAGGATTTTTATTGAATTATAATTGATATATTTATTTTGAAATACTTCTAAATATCTGAAAATTCGTATTTTCTAGTTTTATAAATTTTAAATTTGCGTGATTTAATATACAATGACTGAGTCACGTCAGAATGCCTCCCTAAAAACACCTTGGATATTCTCCAATCATTTCTGAGTGATCAAAAGTACTCATCCACAAAGAGAATGGACATTTGCTCCTACCAAGCTTTGAATGAGTTGGAGATCACAATCACATTTTCTTTTAGTTGAACGATTTTTTGAGTGTGGGTTTCTCTCTCCTTAGCCATTCTCAAAACCTTTCAAGTTTTGTATGAATAAATATGTAAGTACATTCAAATCATAATAATAATGAAAACTCAATTTCTAGATATTAGTAAGAACAAATAGAAAAGAAATCACTAAGCTATTAAAAATCTTAATGAGAACATGACTTCTACCAAATACTTCAAATCTATGTTTCAATGCTCTCGAGACAACCCACATCTTGGAGAGTCAACAATGAACTTTTATCTCTTTTTATAAGAACTTTATTATAATAAAAGAGAGAGAAAAGACAATGAAGGAAGAAGAGAATTGATAAAAAGAGAGAATGGAATCAAGGAAGAAAGGAAATTTTCATCGTTCATTCAAGCAAACTCACTGAAAAGAAAAAAATCTTGTCATTGTTCTCAAAAAGGACTAAATACATGCCCTATTTATAGAAAAGTGGAAAAGATAACCACCCCCCCTAAAAGGAGGCATCTCAACGTACGTGCAAGCAAACCCACATCTTAGAGGTGATAGTTTCAACGTCTCTCATTTCTCGCTCTGTCTCTCTCCTTATATGACTCACGAACAAGTCAAAAAGAATAAGGTGACAACTATCTCTCTCTTCCTGCACGACCCCCAAATGGGTCAGATGAGATGAGGTGACAACCATGTAATCACACCCCTCACTCATCACACGTCTCTTAAGCAAGTTAGTTGGGAGAAGATTTCTCACACGTCTCCCAAATAGGGGAACTATGATGGGGTGACGCCGCCAACAAGCTTTACAGTCACAAGGTCAAAGAGTATACCTCGTCTCTAACATCACATGCCAACTTTGAACCCCTTCAATAATAACCAAACAACCCTACTTCACACAGTAGAAGAATCTTACTTGCTCATAGAGGAGCTCACGGAGGATAAAGTACCTAGATAAGTCAAATCCGTCCACTATTTATAGGGGAGATTCCCCTCTCATGTGAGGTGCCGCCTTAACTCTTTTGGCAAGTGGGCAGCAGGACTACTGGGTTGTTTTACGATCGAATTGCGGCTCACTCTCCTGCTCCAAGTGAGTGAATTGTGCATGCAGAACTCTCCTTGGGTGCTTTCGCGTCCACTGTGACCGAGATCCACTCGATGTACCTGATTTTGCTGCTGTACTACTTGGTAGTATGCCTCTACACACATGTCACTACTCGCCTCACGCGCATCTGCACGTACCACGTCGGCACTGGGCTGTGCATTGTGACTTCACGATATCGTGTGTCACAGGGATCCAAGATCCACTAAGCTTGGAGGGTGACCCCTATTCCTAGTCAGGTCCCCGCCACGTAAGAGATGCCTGGCGGATAACAAGCTCAGGGAGGCCCGTTTGGCCCAATATCAACGACAACGAAAATTTGTCTCCCTCTCTCTCTCTCTCTAATGAAGAGATGATGATGGATGGCAAGTTGGCCGTCTATTCACGCCGATGCGCGGTCGCTCTCTTCTGGTTGGAAAATAGTACCCCAACCTCCTCTATTCTCTCTCTACTTCCCCTCTCTACTTACTCTCTCTCTCTCTCTCTCCGTCTGGAAATAGACAGGACACCGACCGGCATGCAAAGCAGGGGATTTCCTGCCGAGGGTCGTTGGGAGGAGCACGTCAGATGGGCGGGCGCAATACCACCACGTGACGATCGGAGGGGTCGACGGCTCGGATCTTCTCACCGGTCCGACGAAGCGATCCGAATCATCTGATCTTGAGGAGGGTTCAATTAAATAATAAATAGTTGTTCTTCTAAGGGGGGGGGGTGGGGGTGAGGCGGAGAATGGGGGGGCTAATCCTCGCCGTCCAGTTGGATCGACTGGGAAATGTGACGTGAGACGAGAGTGGGGTACGCATCGTACGCGAAGTGCCGACACATCGGCGACCGGCGGTTCCCGGTAGTACGAAACGCTTCGCCTTCGCGGTGAGTTGGGGTGACCGGGAAGGCGGAAATTTATAATCGAGGAAAATAATTTCCAGCGCAGCAAGAAATAAAAAAATAAATCATAAGACCAGACCGACAATTGTCGGTGGAGAGATATAGAGCGAGAGAGAGAGAGAGAGAGGACAGCGGTGGAGAGCCTCCCGTCGCCTCTCCTTTATTCTCTACAGCTGCTGCAGCTGCCGTCCGGCGTTAGAAGAGAGTGTGGAGAGAGAGAGAGAGAGAGAGAGAGAGAGAGAGAGAGACGGAAAGCGGCGAGGAGGGGAGGCCGGCGCTGGATCGGGCTCTGGAGCTTCTCTCGCGTGTGATGTCAGTCTCCAAATAGGAGGCGAGCAAGAAAGGTGGAGGAAGACCCTGAGTAGCCATGGAGCACAACGAAGGCGCGGCAGTCGGCTCCCGCAGCAGGACTGAGTTCTCGACCATCCGGCATGACGGCGAAAGTGCGGTGAGCATTCCTCTCCGATCATTCCTGCGGATCTTCCGTCGCCTCTGCGAAGACGGCATATCGTTTCTCGCCCCCCCTTCCTCGCGCCGGATCTGGAGGCTGCCCCTTCTGGTTTTCTCCGCTGTCGGCTGGATTTCCTGCTCCGCTGGTCATCTTGGCATCGAGTGGTGCTCGGATCGGCCAGATTCGTTGTGAATATTGCGTTCGCGAGATAGTGCATTTCTCAGGGTTTTTTTCCCCTTCTTCTTCTTCTGGAAAACAGGAGGCCATCTCTTCTTCTCACCGTAGAAACGCCCGAGTACCATTGGGGAATGTGCTAGGAAAATGCCTCAATTCTAGTGCTCATCAATTCCATCGAATCTGTAAATTTCCCTGGGATCATAGTCCCTCGAATCAGCCCTCCGCGATACCTAGCTTAAGAAGACGATCTTTAACAGATTGCCCTGCGGTTTCTCTCAGCGACGGCATTTCAGGGCCTTCGCACGAATGATCGACTCGACGACCCCAATGATTCTTCACAACGTCTCTCAAGCCGGTTTCCACTCTTCTTGCGCAGGTTTCTGGGGAGATTCCCATGACCACCCCCGATCGCCAGTCCATGCAAAGCCCGACATATTCTCTCGGATCCGGCGTGAAGCGAACTAACTCGCTGTCTTATCTGGATCCAAGCACGCCGGGTGAGCTCTTCTTGGGGTCTTTCTCAGCCCTGTTGCCCTTCATAGCTTGCGGTCGTTGATCCCGTCCCTGTGGCAACAGTTCCAGTGAGAATCGTGGATCCTTCCAAGGACTTGAACTCCTATGGGCTCGGAAATGTCGACTGGAAGGAAAGAGTCGAGAGCTGGAAGCTGAAGCAGGACAAGAATATGATGCAGGTGACGAGCAAATATGTGGAAGGAAAGGGAGGAGATATCGAGGGAACCGGCTCGAACGGAGAAGACATCCAAATGTATGCCTTCTCATGCTTCTGCAACCTCCTGCATATATTATTATTGTCTTGTTGGTCTCTGAAAAATCCCTCGCTTCACTCCGCCAACTTCCAAAGAATCTTCGGCATTCCATGATTTTGACTGTTCATGCTAAAGGGTGTGAAAAAAATTAAGCAAAGTTTTGATTCAGATGTGCCTGCTAGAAGTATGGAACATCATCTATCTACCATCCTGTTTAGCTTTCCACAGAATTTCAGTCCCTCGATTTAGCGATTGCAGCATGCAAACAGCGCTCTGATTGGGAATTCTCGCAGGGCCGATGATGCTCGGCAACCCTTGAACCGGATCGTGCCTATTCCTTCCAATCAGCTGAACCTCTACCGGGTGGTCATCATCCTCCGGCTCATCATCCTGGGCTTCTTCTTCCAGTACCGGGTCACCCACCCGGTGAAGAACGCCTACGCGCTGTGGCTGGTCTCCGTCATTTGCGAGATCTGGTTCGCTTTGTCCTGGCTGCTCGACCAGTTCCCCAAATGGTACCCGATCAACCGCGAGACCTATCTCGACCGGCTGGCGCTCAGGTTGGTCAACGCCACAGTTTTATCTGCGTGCTGCATGTTTCAGGGATTACTCCCCCCCCATTTTGTGCTGATGAATGAGAGGCTTCTCTTCATTCGGCAGATATGACAGGGACGGGGAGCCCTCCCAGTTGGCCCCCATCGACGTGTTCGTGAGTACGGTGGATCCCCTGAAGGAGCCCCCTCTGGTGACGGCGAATACCGTGCTCTCGATCCTCGCCGTGGACTACCCGGTCGACAAGGTCTCCTGCTATGTCTCCGACGACGGGTCTGCCATGCTGACCTTCGAGGCCCTCTCAGAGACATCCGAGTTCGCCAGGAAGTGGGTGCCCTTCTGCAAGAAGCACAGCATAGAGCCCAGGGCGCCCGAGTTCTACTTCGCCCAGAAGATCGACTACCTCAAGGACAAGATCCAGCCATCGTTCGTCAAGGAACGCCGGGCCATGAAGGTGAAACCTCGCCCCAATCTCACCACCGGTCCATGCGTCTGCCGGACTTTCGATCCATGACATCCGCCTTCGTGGTCTCTCAGAGGGAGTACGAAGAGTTTAAGGTGAGGATCAACGCCCTCGTGGCGAAGGCCCAGAAAGCCCCCGAAGAAGGTTGGACGATGCAGGATGGAACCCCCTGGCCTGGGAACAACCCGCGAGACCACCCGGGCATGATCCAGGTGACGCCTCTCCCCCTCTCTCTCTCTCTCATCCGTCTCTCCGTCTGGGAGCTCAGTCGTCCTGATCATCGGGGCTTGTATCGTCTCCTCCGCGCAGGTCTTTCTGGGGCACAGCGGGGGTTTGGACACCGACGGCAACGAGCTGCCTCGGCTCGTCTACGTCTCCCGTGAGAAGCGGCCTGGGTTTCAGCACCACAAGAAGGCCGGCGCCATGAATGCCCTGGTGAGTGATTGGTTTCTTGGTCTCTCTGCCGGGCCGAGTTCCCTCTCCTCGCGGAAGAATAAAAAAGTGTGCCGTCTATCTTTTACTTGGTTCATTCAGATCCGGGTGTCCGCCGTCCTGACCAACGGAGCCTACCTCCTGAACGTGGACTGTGACCATTACTTCAACAACAGCCAGGCGCTGAAGGAGGCGATGTGTTTCATGATGGACCCCGCCCTGGGGAAGAAGACCTGCTACGTCCAGTTCCCCCAGAGGTTCGACGGCATCGATCATCACGACCGATACGCCAACCGGAACATCGTCTTCTTCGACGTGAGCAAAATCGCCTCCTTCTTTTCTCTACGGCATCAGTGGAGGTTGGGTCTTCTTTTCCTCACATCTGGGCGGCCGTCTCTGCTCGCAGATCAACTTGAAGGGATTGGACGGAGTCCAGGGCCCCGTGTACGTGGGTACGGGTTGCTGCTTCAACAGACAGGCCCTCTACGGCTACGACCCCGTCCTGACGGAGGCCGACCTGGAGCCGAACATCATCGTCAAGAGCTGCTGTGGGTCGAGGAAGAAGAAGGCCAACAAGAAGTACATTGACAAGAAGAGGGCCCTCAAGAGGACCGACTCCACCGTCCCAATCTTCAACATGGAAGACGGCGACGAGGGTGTTGAAGGTTAGTACCCTCCATCCCTCCTCCCTCCTCCCCCGTCTCTGTGTCTCTGTCTCTAACTCTGTCTGGACCGGCGGCGGCCGCAGGGTACGAGGAAGAGAGGTCGCTGCTGATGTCTCAGAAGAGCCTGGAGAAGAGGTTCGGGCAGTCGACGATCTTCATCGCCTCGACGTTCATGGAGCAAGGGGGGCTGCCGCCGTCGACGAACCCAGCGTCGCTGCTGAAGGAGGCGATCCACGTGATCAGCTGCGGGTACGAGGACAAGACGGAGTGGGGGAAAGAGGTGAGCGAGCTCCGGTCTCCCTCCCTCTCTGCTGGCTTGTTAGCCGCAGGGCTTCTCGAAAAGGGCCTCCCTCCTTCGCTGACAGACACCGTCTCTTCTCTCTCTCTCTCTCTCTCTCTCTCTCTGTGTTCTGTTCTCTGACAGATCGGGTGGATCTACGGCTCCGTGACGGAGGACATCCTGACGGGGTTCAAGATGCACACGAGGGGATGGATCTCGATCTACTGCATGCCGCCGCGGCCGGCGTTCAAGGGTTCTGCTCCCATCAACCTGTCGGACCGTCTGAACCAGGTGCTGCGGTGGGCGCTGGGGTCCATCGAGATCCTGCTGAGCCGGCATTGTCCCATCTGGTACGGCTACAGCGGCAGGCTGAAGCTGCTGGAGAGGCTCGCCTACATCAACACCATCGTCTACCCCATCACCTCCATCCCCCTCGTCGCCTACTGCGTCCTCCCCGCCATCTGCCTCCTCACCGGCAAGTTCATCATCCCGGAGGTAAAACTTCACTCTACCCCCGTCATCCCACTTCACTCTACTGCGTCGTGCTGAGAAGAAGACACTATCCATTTCTCGTGGGTGATCATGGTCGGTTGGTCTCTCTGCTGGTACGCAGATCAGCAACTACGCGGGGATCTGGTTCATCCTGCTCTTCGCCTCCATCTTCGCGACTGGGATCCTGGAGCTGCGGTGGAGCGGAGTGGGGATCGAGGACTGGTGGAGGAACGAGCAGTTCTGGGTCATCGGGGGCACCTCCGCCCATCTCTTCGCCGTCTTCCAGGGCCTGCTCAAGGTGCTGGCGGGGATCGACACCAACTTCACTGTCACCTCCAAGGCCACCGACGACGAGGGCGACTTCGCCGAGCTCTACATCTTCAAGTGGACGACCCTCCTCATCCCGCCGACGACCGTCCTCGTGGTGAACCTGGTGGGCATAGTCGCCGGCGTCTCCTACGCCATCAATAGCGGCTACCAGTCCTGGGGACCGCTCTTCGGCAAGCTCTTCTTCGCCATCTGGGTCATCCTTCATCTCTACCCCTTCCTCAAGGGGCTGCTCGGCCGCCAGAACCGCACCCCCACCATCGTCATCGTCTGGTCCATCCTCCTTGCCTCCATCTTCTCCCTGCTCTGGGTGCGCATCGACCCCTTCACCCCGGACAGCCAGCGATCCGTCGCCCAAGGCCAGTGCGGCATCAACTGCTGAGTGAGGAGGGCCTCCTTCCTTCCTACTCCCAGCGGGAGGGGGGGCGGATGGCCGGTCGGTCCCCTTCTCCTCCATGTACAACAACAGCACAAGGAGCTCAGAGAGAGGATCTCCTGCGGAGGACAGGACAGGACCAACGGGCGACCCTGGCGGCAGCTCCGGCATTGCATTCCTTCATTCTTCTCTTCCCTTCTCTAGTTTGTGCGATATCCTGTACCGTTTTCCAACGCCGCACCAGTTCGCCACGAGGATGATGATGACCATGTTCTTGCCTACTACTGTCTGTGAAAGTTAGCCTGCACCCTTTTCAGAAGCTTGAGATCACACTTCCTCAGTGCGAGTCGCGTCGGCACACAGGTGGGTGGTGGGTCAGTGGATGGATGGATGGATGGAGTCTGAACGCGTCTCAATCTCAGTGACCGCAACTCGCAAGACTTTTGAAACACCCGAAATCGGCCCCTCTATTCAAATCGCTAAAAGGCGGCCGGCCTGATACAAGAACAGTAACAGAAGAAGGAAGGAAGGATCCACAGGCGTAAAATTCATGCCGGATCAAGTCAAATGAACAAAATGAAAGCGTGGGTACGTCGGAAGATATTACAGATAGAGAATATCATTAGAGAACAACCATAGAAGGGCGACGACGAGCACAGGGTTCGCGGAACCTTGGGAACACTAGAGAAACTTCCTCGCCAGGGCTCTGACTTTGGTGTCGAAGTGCGAAGAAGTAACCCGCGACCCAGGCAGGTAGAGCGGGTTTAGGAGAATCTGCAAGGAACAGAAAGAAAGGTGAGACTGCAAATGCCCCCCAGAAGATCTTCACGCAGGATGGTACAGCGGAGACAAGACTGATAGCAGGACACAGGAATCACTCCATGGTTGCAAGGTTCTAAGCTACTGATCGCAGACATAGATGCATACAGATATCTTAAGTACTCCTTTCTTTGCCCCCCCTTCGATGAGAATCGGAAACTACCCCCACCCCATTTCAGATCTGCGCTTGCTTATTCTTTAAAGCTCAGGGATTTGCGAATAATTTCAATTGATCAAAATATTTTAAGGTAAATAAATCGCAAAATGAAAAAAAAATGCCCCCAGCAGAAAAAGAGAAACATCTGGGAAACAATGGCACGACATGTTTTAGGGACTGGCTGGACATGGCTGCAGTGAAAGGGGCTACAAGGATGAGAAATCATAAGCCTCGCTAGAAGGGCAAGAGTTCATTAATATACGATAATTATATTGGAATGTATTCTGTGGCTGGTGCAATTAGAAGAGACTGAAGTCAAACAACGCAGGTAAGAATTGTTTGACTTGTCAAATTGTCACGATGTTTGGTGCTGCGATAGACATAACATTAGCAGAGATTCCTGTTTTCCCACTTCCTGAGGATGAAATTTGCATGTGTTCTAACAGACGAATGTATGGAATTTAATGAGTTCTCAACCTCAACTACATTTATCCATCTCCCCCTCAACAGACCATACTGACCTAACCCCATCTACTGCTTCAAGCTTGGCAGCTGGGGAGGGGGGGGAGGGGGGGTCTGAGGTCAGGCAATCTCTGGTCGATGTCAAAGTGCACAAGATCAGGATTAGACACTTTCAACAATAGCCTAAACCTTCTAGTTTGATCTGACCATGTTTTGCCGTACCACACACTGGCAAAGCCAGAAGAGGGTGCGTTAGAGCATAAGCAAGACTAATAAATTCTTTTGGGGAACAAGCATGCTATTTCACAGTCATGAAGTATTTCTTACTACAGATTAGCCCAGCATTAAGGAAGAATGTGCTTGTGTTGTTGGATAGACAGTTTCCTTGATTTCCTTGTGAAGAATGTGCTTGTGTTCTTTCAAGTATTTCTTACTACACAAAGCTCAATCGATTTCCTTGAAAGAATTTTCATTTCCAAACAAAGTTTTCTTCACACGGAAATGTTTTAACCCTTTATCCCTGCTCTGAATCGATGTCCTAAGAAGTAACCAGTTCCACAGAGGCCCTAGTTCCATTTTTCGGTATATTTGAATCGGGCTTCTCCAGGTAAAAAGAAAAGAAACCTAATTACACCAGTTCTCATGACTGTCATGATGAGTGGATCAGATTTTTTAAAATATGGCGTTACTGGAAAGATATAAAAGCAAAAAAAAAATACCGAGAAAAGGAAGTAGTCAACCAGATGCCCTCTGGCGACCATCAGAAAATGGGTACGAAGTGGGAAACTTTCTCAAGGAACGTGCCTCCTGATGATTTAAAAGTAACAGAAAGGAACAATCATGTTGAGGGATGAGCAGTAAAAAGTTTCGGAACAATGGGCTTGGGCTGGACTGGTGCCTTATGCACAACCCATCAATTGTTTCTCAGACTCCTGCTGGAGGTTCTGACTTTCATAGCCGTGCACTGCTTCTGTTTTTCTTTTCTTTTAGCCTTATTTTCCAACATATTTACAGCACGAAACTGTGGTGTCAACCAGCTTCCCACATAAAAACATCACTTTTGGATAATCATCAAAGTATTCATAGACCGCATCCTTTTAATTTATAAAAGATAATACCCGAAATAATAGCACTTGGAGACATCAGAAAATCCATTCCGTTTGTTGTAAAACACGAGATCCCTAAGCAGCACAAGGATACCTTTATATAAAGCTCATGAACCTCTTGGAAGAAGCTCTTTATTCCATCTTCATTGCGGGAATCATGGAGCAGCATCAATCTAGTGTGTATGATAACTAGGTCAAGGAGAACTTTCGCAGGGTATGAAACAAAATAAATGCAACCACAGATGATCCAACTCGCGAAACAAAAACATTATCCATGAAACCAAGACATCACGAAATTTTCATACAAATATCAAATTTGCAGCTAAGGAAATGGAAACCTTTTGGCAGTTTCTTTTCTTCTCCTTCATTAACTGCTTCAAAATGTTGTCGCAACAGGCATACTCCAGAGAGAGGACCGACTTTGTAGTCCGACTATAACTTACTAATCAAAAATCGTCAAATATTTTCTGAAGCAAGTAATATGGAGCATAAAGCTACCTTGGCAGCCTTCCCAAGAGAGAGAGTGGAGCTGTCACAGTTGTGATCGGCGATTATTAGATCAACAAGATCCACAATCAAGTCAACAGCCTTCTTAGAAGAAGCCGTACGAACCAGTTATATGCAGCAGTCACGTTAGAAGCCTTCTCTGAATAAGTCCTTTCAACCAATTAGATACAGCAATTCTAAGATCGAGCATGTCCACGAGAATGCCGACGGTACTCAATCAGGATTGGAGGTCAGTCGGACTCGACGGTACTCCAGAAATCGTTCTGCAACACCCCTTCTTTCCTCTTTAAGAATCCAGCACCGAGGGAACACTTCTTGCCTCTTCTTCTATACCTGACTCATGTGAGAGATGAATACTATGCAATCCCTAAAAGCCGGGCTCTCTCATACATCGATGCTCACCGTCATCACTGCTCGGAACTGTTCAAAATTTTCTTACAGAAATGACGAATAAGAGATCGGAACTCGAAGGATATGACCAGCAGTGACGTAAACGGACACCACCAGATCGTTGAACCTGTCCACCGACTTCAAGAACCTGTGGAATCATTGCAAGGACATCTAATCAAAACGCAGGTCAGAGAATTGAGGGGAAAGTGGGCGTGGTAGAAATGGTTCCGCTCTGGGATGAAATATGCAGAAACGAGATCGTTTAAAAAGGATAGAAATCCACGAGCAATTATCACGTACATAGCGCTCGTGGTCCAGGCGACATCTTGGACAATGTCGAGGGCGGCATGGAGTATGAACTGGTGCTGGTGGGCCGCTTCTTCCTTCTGCCATCCGAGCCACCGACAACCAGGTCTCCGAAAAATTACGCAAGAAAAAAGGGAAAGAAGAAAAGAAAAAAGAGACGACGAGCTGTGGCAAGCGAGAGGGGGATGGATACCCGGACGGCGGAGGAACCAAGCTCCGCCTCGTAGATGGGAATGTCGTTCCGACTGACGATCACGAAACACGCAGTCGTTCCCGACATCCTCCCCCCGCCGGACTCGATCGGCGGTGCCACTGCGAATGCGGTGGCAAAGACAGCCCTGGTCTTCTCCCCCTTCTTCTTCTTTCCCCAGGCCCACGCCCCCTCTCCCCGCCGTGGGTGGGCTCCGATAACCATGGGTAGGCCCATTTACTCAGGCCCAGTTCCGACGTGGACACGACGGACAGGCAGAACCGCCCCAGGATCAGGAAGGGCTGGTCGCCCGGTCGGAAGCAAAAGAATTGGAGGCCGACGGTCAGAGATGGGGGTAACAGTCCAACAGCCGCTGGAAGGCGGTAGGGTTTTTGGAGAGCGGAAAAAGGAGATTCTGATCTATAAGAAGACACCGAAAGAGAAGAACAGGACATGAAGCATTTTCAGTCTTCTCGTGAGGATAAATGAGAGTGGCTATTTCAAATCAGCCAGCTAAGGGCTTAAGATTGGCTTCCTCAAGTTATCTTCCCTTACTTCCCTTGTTTTTCCTATCATCCCAGTTCAACTTGTTTCCCTCTTAGACTCTCGATCATAAGAGTCCACCCATGTGTTCCTATACTTCTGTTCGTAGAGATTACTGAATTTTCCTTCTATTTTCCCCCTTTTCTCTGTTTCAAAATTGGGCACACATCAACTTGGGGCCTAAACCAATTGATCCAAAAATTAGAGAGTTTGGAAAAAGACTTGGAGGAGGTCAATCACTTATTATGAAACAAACGAAAAATCTGTGGGAGCTGAAGAATGAACAGATGGAGCTCTGACAATAACTTGGGGCCATCACTCAGTCCCTCGAGCAGCTCCACCTACAATTGAACCCTCTCCCTAGTCAGGTCAAGAAGGAAAAATAGTATCCTGGTCCATCAATGGCTTGGACCATTGGAGAATTCAGTTGATGATAGATGGAGGATAGAGAGCATCGTAAAGAGAGCCCATGACCCAACAGTCCTCCCAATTGTCATCAACCACTTAGAAACCAAGGAGCCAATCATCATCTATCTTCCTCAGAAACTTAGTCATGATGATGGGGCATTTCGGAGCTACATGTTGTAACATTTTGTGCCAACAACTGTTGTAACTCATGTAAATAGGAATTTTTGAAGAATATAGAGAATACTTTGAACCTCTCTCTAGTGTGATGAGAAATGTCCAAAGATATACTTGAGGCTACCTTCCTCAAGGGCCTTTGCAAAGTATTCATGTGTAAATGTATGCCTTCAACTTGATTGGACATGAAGTAATCATGTCTATCACACAATGGGTAAAATGTAAAATCAGCATGCTGGTGGAGCTTGGGACATCCAAACAACCCTAATCGGCTCAACCCACTAAGGGGGTGACTTCAAATTATGAGGTTGGCAGGACTAGGACTCATGAGGCCAACATCTTCTGAAGGAGAGAAGAAGGTGGGCCTTGAACCACGACTATAATTACAGCTCACTTTGTGACAACAAAAAAGAAAAGGAGATTGAACCTGACCATAATAGAGATTCAAGCTCAAAGAGCTCAAGGCTTATGTTTTTACTTCAATGACAAGTTCTTGCTAAGCCACAAATGTATGAATGATCTTCTCATTCTTTTCACCCTAGTAGATTTAGGTTTCTCACAAGAAATACCAACTGCAGAAGGAGAGCCATTAGTCAAGAGTGAAAGAGAAAAGACAATTCTGCATTTAGAAGTGTCTTTGAATTCTTTATTAGATGATTGTTCAACCTGATCTTTCTAATTTCAAGGGCAAGTTGGCAGCATAGAAATGATCATCTTGGTTGACACCTAAGCCACCTACAACTTTGCTACCAACTATTTGATACATGAGTTATATTTGTCAATGTCTAAAAACAATTGATTTTTGAGTCATCACAAGAACTCGAGAGTAGGTGATCAGATCAGAGGCCTATTGGGTCATCACCATTGACATATTGACATTGGCCTTCTGCAAAAACTTTCTTATCTTATCCTTGGCCATGGTAGGCTTGGTCGTAGGACTTTGATAGATGAAGGACTTGAAGAAGATTGAATTGAACTTCAAACAATGGATGCTTTCCTTCCAAGTTAGTGTGGAATGGATACCTTTGCAAGCCATTCACTATGAAAGTTGGTAGCTCATTCACTCTCCAATCCATGGTGGGTCATATTAGAAGGAGAGAATTTACTTTATCCATGATGGGTTAATTATACCTTTTATCGTTGTTAGAATCAAAAGATGGCATCTCTTCTGACAAATAGTTTGCAATAATAATTTATGAATTTTTTGTAGAAATGAATGGTCTTCCTCCCTATCATGGCTTAGATCTCACTAGAAGTTGAAGTGAAACCCATGGACACTTAAATTATTCATATATCTATATTATCATAAATCTGAGCTGGAAAAATAAGTGAGTGAGATGTTGGTGATAGACAATTCAACATTCTTACAACTTTCTTAAGCCCAACGGTGCTAATTCAGAAGAAAGATAGACTATGATGGTTTTATATGGACTATAGCACAATCAATTGGGTCATCATATCTGGTAAGTTTTCAATCCCTATTGTTGAAGAGTTGATAGATGAATTGCATGATGCTCGAATTTTTCAGAGCTCAACTTGTAGTCAAGATACTATTAAATTCCCATATGGCCCAAGGATGTCATGAAAACTATATTTAAGACATATTAAGATTGTTATGAGTTCTTCGTAATATTTTTTGGCCTCTCCAATGCACCAATCACCTTCTAGATGTTGATAAATAAAATCTTTCACAACTTGTTGCGTTAATTTATTTTACTTTTCTTCAATGAATGACTTATTTACAGTAAAAGTGATGTTAAGTAGAACGAGTATTTATTCCAAGTATTATAGATCCTATAGGAGCATTACTTCCACATTAATCCCAAGAAGTGTACCATTGGGAGATCTAAGATCACTTTGTTAGGTCACAAAATCTTTTTAGAGAGAGTCATGGTAGATCAAGACAAGGTGATGACCAAGCATTATTGATGTTTCATCAAAGACTATGACACTAAGGCTTGACCCCTCATACATCAACTTAAAAGAGATACTTTTAGTTGAAATTTTGAGACAAAAGAGGTATTTTAAAGTCTAAATACTTCCTTGATATTAGTATCAGTACTTGTTCTTCTTGACTTTTCATCCACTTTGTAATATGAGAGTTAGAGTTGTCGTAATGTAGTCAATCATTGACTTGCATCTTCAAGTTGAAATCAATTTATGAATGGGAGTTAATGACAATTATGTTGATAATACTTAAATAAAAATATTATTTTTGTAGGTACAAGTTTGTTATTTATATAGATCAATGGAGCTTGAAGTATATCTTAGGTCTACAATTCATGCATGAGTATCAAAAATAGATGTCAAAAATCATTAACTTCACCTTCAAAATTAAATTTAAATATAGTGCAAAGAATATGGTGGCTAACTCCCTATTATGAGCTCTAGATGTCATATGGTTCCAAGCAATCAAATTATAATGACCCAAATTATTAGATTTAGTCGAGATTGACAATAAAAATCAAGAGGAAGATCTATTCAAGATTTTGACAAATCTTCCCCAACATCTCGAGAAATGACCACATTACTCCTTATAGTAGGAACATCTATTTTACAAAGGTAAATTGATTTTATCTTAGGTGCCTAAGTTAATATCGTATCTCCTATGAGAATTCCATGACTTGGCTACAATAAGGTAATTTAGTTTCCATCAAACATACTTAAGGATAACTAGAAGTGTGTAATGAAGAGGTATGAAGAAGAATATGAGATCGTATGTTGTGATATGTCATGTCTACTAACACAATAAGTTAGAAGACTCTCTAACCCCTGTGAATTCTCACGCAAATTTTAATAGACTTATAGTAGACTTCATTGAGAGGTTGTATGTCTCTAGAGGTTATACCATAATTATGATCATTGTTGATTGATTTAATCAAGGGCTTCATTTCTCTTTGCTCTAACACCCCTTCGCTATAGTTAAGATAACTCATGTGTTCATTTAGGATGTGGTGTATGTCTATGAAATTTTAGAGTTAATCATTTCTGATATAAATCACATCTTCATGACTCCATTCTAATAAGAATTATTTAGGGTCTAAGGTGCTTTGCTAGGTGAACCAATTCATGTCATCTTCAATCCAATGGGTAGTTTGAGATGGTCAACTATAGACTAAAAATATACTTCTAATATTTTCTCAATAATTCATCACAATAATTGATTAAGTGTTTCTTTGAGTTAAGTACTAGTTTAACATAAATTTGAATAATTTTATAAGATAAACTCTATTCTAGATCATGTATGATAAGGAGCTGCCAACCCTTCTACGGTATTGCAATCATTATGTTTTACTAGGCAACATCAATCAATTGTTGAATGACTAGGATGAAGCTATGACCCAATTGAATCAAAACTTAACTCATGTCCAAACATAGATGAAACACTACTTAAATTCACTTGTTGACCTTGAGAAAAATTTGTTTTTGTCTTTTGGTTAGAATTTAATGTAAAATCTAAGGCATAGTTTAACAAGGATGTTGGCCATTTTGCACAAGATCCTTGGTGAGCTCAACGATCTAGTACGCTGAAAGCTCAATCTCTCAAAAAGGGAGGATCTAGATTTCTCCAAGATGATCTTACATGGGGTCAGGGGTCCTTTAAAGAAGGTCCCTTGATGGGTCCTCCCTTTAGTTCTGATGTGGGATTAAGGTTTGGATCCCGCCTCTTTAGGGTGATGATCTCCCTCCATCAAATGATGTCATCCTTTATTGTTGAGTCCTTGTCTCAGGTGTTGTGCCACATGTAAGTGCCGTGTGGCTCGGGGGTATTGTGTCCCCATGTTATTGTGTGCAGTTATCACCCTACTATGCATAGGCACCATGCTGGTCTATGCAACTATCGTGTTGTGATGATGGTTGGTCTATGTTGTTGGTCCTTAGTAACATTCTCCCCCTCTAGTGAAGTCTGGCGTCCTCACTAGATGGTGTTGCCAATAAGCCTAGATTAAGTCCTCAAACTACCATAGGTTCACTTCTTTTTCCCACATTACAGCCTCTTGGGGTTATTCTACCCATTGCACCAGATAGAATGTGTTGCGGTGTGCATAGTTGTGCCCTCCTTTGTTGATGACTTGGTGATCTAGAATGACAATTGGTGTTTGGTCATAGTGTGTCTATACTATTGGCAGGAGGCAGCAGGGCTAGTTACACTTCGGGTCATCCACATCTACATAGTAAGCTTTTAGCAAGGAGATGTGAAATACCGAGTGGATTGAGAGTTGTGGGGTGATAACATGCTATTTATGCATGTAATTATATAATTATTAATGAAAATTAAGACATTAATCATTATAAATCTATGCATGTTATCATATTTTAAGTATATTTCTAGCATTTTGTATAAATTCATGTTATGATCTAAAAATACACCAAATTATGGATTATTATAAATAATTACACATTACAATCTTTAATTCTAATTATATTTATGATCATAATCATGTTTTAAGAGTGAAAATATGAGAGAAAAGATATTTATTAACACTTCTGTATTTATTTTATATAATACATAAATGTATAAAATTAATTTAAGTTTTCTTATGTGCAGGACGCGTGGCGTGATTTCTTGCGTCCGATCGACATCGCGACAAATAGCGTGCGTAGATCACGTGGAATGGGGGTCCACGCGATCAGAGATCAACCACGTGCCTAAATACTCACTTAAGTGAATAAATCGCGACCGTCTGATCGAGGGTTATAACGGTCCAGATTATTCACATCAGATGGACATCAAATCACATATTAACCGCACGATCACGATCGGACGATTGTGGAATCGTCGCGACGATTCATGAAGAGGCGTCTCATCGCGATCGTCCATCGCGATCAACTCCATCAGAGCGGACGGCCACGATCATTTCCGAATTTTATAAAATCCGTTCTTCGCGACGGAAGAACGGCCGCGATCAATCTTCAAATTCTCCTTGTTTAGAGCTCCAATTTGTGCGCCATCTTTTGCATTGTGTTCGAAACTCATTTCCGCTTCTGTTGGAAATGTTTGATTGAAAGAATTGGAAGAAATCAAGTCTTGAACTCCTCTTTCGTCTTCGAAAATTCGGAATGAAAAGCCTTGCATCTGGCGATTAATTGGATCATTTCGAAGGCTAATTTGGGTTAGATTGTTTGTTTTCATCTTAATCTTTCATCATTTAGCGTTAATTTGGGTTAGATTGTTTGAAAAGCCCAAACAACATGATTGTAAACTCATATGATCCATATTATGTTACACATTACATTTTTTGCTCATCTCCTTCTTTGTTGTGGACTTGATGATAGTCACTTTTCAAATCTAATTTTGAAAATACTCTTGCTGCTCTTAGCTTGTCGAACAAGTCCTCCACATTAAGAACTGGATACTTGTTCTTTATTGTAATCTTGTTCAAGACTCTATAATTCACACAGAGTCTCAACATTTCGTCTTTCTTCTATTGAAAGAAGACAAAGGCCCCAAATGATGCATATGAGGATTGTATATGTCCTACCTTTAGTAGTTTATCCAATTATTTTTTTAGTTCTTTCAAGTGGACTGGTGGCATCTTGTATGGGACTTTAGTTGGTGGATGTTCTCTTGGTAGCAATTCAATTGTGTGTTCTATATCTCACTTGGGTGGTAATTTAGTAAGTAATTTATCTAACATGATGTCAAATAATTCATTAATTTAAGGTAATACCTATGAATGTCTCACCTTCTAGCCTTCTCTCTTAGCTTCTTATAGAGTGATAAGAAATGTCCGCCTCGTGCTGTAGTTCATTTTTCAATTGCATGGTTGATATAGTTTATGATCTTGTTCCCTCATGAGTAGTCTCTTATATAAAGTAAAAGCGTTTCCCTCCACATATCAATATGCCATTGTAGTGGAAGAATATTCTTGCCTTCACTTTGGTCGTGAAGTTAGCCCCAAGGATGACATCAAAATCATTCATCCATAATACTAGGAAGTCTAATTAGTCTTCCCATGTACCCATTTGTGTCTTCACTCGTTGGGCCAATCCCACTTAGGTTTAAGCTTTAGAATTGATAACCTTGATCTTGTTGTTGGTGCTGACCAAGCTCAACCCGAGGTCGTGGGCTTCTTTTTCTGATAGAAAGTTGTGGGTGGCCTCTAAGTCCACCAATTTTTTTGTCGAAGTAGAGTTGATAATGGCCTCCACAAAGAGTAGTTTCTTGGGAGCCTCCTATATGGCTTTCACTTGTACCACATTAAGAACTTGAATGGTGTTTAGATTTAGTACCTCTTTGATTACTGGTGGCGGCTGGTCTTGTGTCAAGATGAGATTGAGTTGAGCTCTTACCATACATCAATCAATTCGGTTGAGATAGTTTGCACTCTAGTGAGGGCCCTTGCATACATGGCACCTTGTCTACTTGGGTTCCTCAATTTGTCGAGGAGTCTAATTCCAACCTCAATTGTGGTTGTCTTGACCCCCTCTTATCGAGGACAGTCTTCCTTGTCCTCGATTGGTATTATGATCTCGACTCCCTTGAGATGCGTTATTGTTGCTATTTGCTTGTTGGCATCTGTTGTCTATTAGTCAGTCTGCCACTATCATTGCTCTTTGGATGTTGTGGACCCCTTGTCCTTAGATTTCATTTTGAGCCCACATCTAAAGACCTTTCATGAAATAATGAAGCTTATCTTTCTCGTCCATCCAAGGTACTTCCAACACCAACATGAAAAAATTTTCTACATATTCTCGGATGGACCCAATGTGCTTGAGTTGTCTCATTGTGTTTTGGGTAGTTTAGCCTGAGTTTGTTGGACAAAATTAGTCTCAAATTTTCCCTGTAAATCCCTCCCACTCAGTTACTAGTAGTCTTGAGTAATCTTTCATTCGAAGCCTCCACCAAGTCTTTTCATGTCTGGTGAGGAATAGGCTGTCCACAAATACTTTCTCTTCTTTTGAGATAGTGTTAGAGTTGACATACCTTTGTAGATCCCAGATGAAGTTCTAAATTAGTATGACATCTTGTTCTCCTAAGTAAGTCTTTAACTTTGGGGCCTTAACTTTAGTCGGATCGGGGTCTGATTCTTGATTATGAGACCTCTAAAATTTGTTTGTCAATTCCTCCATTTGTCTAGACAATTCCTTCCGTAGTGTAGATATATCTTCTTTTTGAGATTTGTAGCTAGTGGCCATAGCCCTCGTCTAGTCATAAATCAATCGTACTTCTTTGTTGAGTTTTGCCAAGAGTGCTTCAATTGCTTCTTGATCTTGCTCCTCCCTTAGGCTTAACTTAGTCGCTTCTTCTCGTAGGCGACCAAATTTAGTCTACCATTACTCCATCAAAGTTTCCATGGTGGAAGCTGTGGTCTCCTATTGCTCTGCTAGTTGGGTGATCCTTTGGCCCTAGGAACCACTTGTACCCATTCTACCCTTCGTCTCCATTATCTATAGCAAGTAAGTAAAAAGAGGGCTGCAAAAGGGCTTGACCTTTCTTTATAACCTAACTCTGATACCACTATAACAAGTATGTCGACCACTCTACACGAGATCCTTTGTGAGCTCAATGATTTGGTACGTTGAGAGCTCAATCTCTCCAAATAAGAAGGATCTAGATTTCTCTAAGATGATCTTACATGGGGTTGGGGGTCCTTTTTTAAAAGTCCCCTAATGGGTCCTCCCTTTAGTTCTGATATAGGATTAATATTTGGATCTTGCCTCTTTAGGGTGATGATCTCCCTCCATTAGATGATGTCATGCTCGTGATGTCATCCTTCATTGTTGAGTCTTTGTTTTAGATGTTGTGGCGCACATGGGTGCCATACCGCCTGCAGGTATCGTGCCACACATGGACGTTATGCTGCATGTTGCCCCTATGTTGTTGCACGTGATTGTTGCCCTGTTGTGCATAGTCACCATGCTAGTCCGCACAATTATTGTGTTGGGACAATGGTTGCTCTGTGTTGCTGGTCCCTTTAACACATGGCCTTGGAGAGTATTTTTTTCTTTTTTCTTTTATTGCAACTAAAAGCTAATGGGCTAATCATAATAGGCTCATGATGAAAGCCCAAGGGGGTTTAAATGGAAGAGAGGAAAGGAGAGAGAAGAGGGGATGGGGGGTATGTTGGGTGACAACATAGGTCAGCGACAAATGGAAAACAATGTATCAATGATTGTGCCAACTAATTGACAACACAATGGTGGCTATGTGACAACAATAGCATGACAACAATGACAATAACATAGTGATGGTGGTAGTGTGATGACAAGCTTAAGTCTCTCTATTATGTGACACAATAGAGACGGAAGCAAGTAATATGACGACAATGACAGTTGATAGTATGATGGTGAGCTTGAGTTTCTCTATTGGGTGACATGAAAGAAAGATGAGAAGCAAGTGGCATGATGATGACAATAGTAGTAGTGTAGTGAGGCAGTAGTCCAATGACAAGCAAGTGTCCATCTATTGGGTGACGTAACACATGAATGAAACCTCCATTCTATTGACACTTCTATTTATTTGACATTTCACCACTATCTACAACTTATATTCATCCTCTTTGATCCCTAGGTGACACGAGGATTAGAAGAAGATTTCTTAACCTTATTTTCTTGTTCTATTGAGTGACAATAAAGAAATGAGATTTTCTTTGCATCTCATTTAATAATTTTCTTTGAAACTCGTAAAATTATTTATTTTAATGATCTTTGGGTGACACAAACATCAAAATAAGGAAAATTATTGTTAATGAAATAGGGATTGCATTTTTATTATATAGTTGTTATCTTTGAGGAAAAATTCTTTTATTTCAATACATATATTTGAAATCAACTAGTAACACATAACAATTAAACATTATTATTCTTTAACTATCCTTGTGAAAATGACATAATTCCATTGTGATCTTCTTAGAAGATAGTTTAGCATTTTATTTGAATTTATTTTTAAATTATTTACCTTTAGTAGACAATGATTTAAGCATAATAAATACCATGACTCCAAAAGTTAATGCTAATTATCTATTGCTCAACTTTAAGGGATATTTAAGAGAGAGTGAATAAGGCTTTTTCAAAGGAACTAGATGAGGCTCAAGTTTATCAAATTAATTCACAAACTTGAATGTTGAAACATGAATCAAAATTAGTTAGAGAGTAGGCAAATAAATTACAACCTATGTGATTGGAAATTAATAGATATATGTTGATTACTACAAAAGATATATAAATAATTGCCTACATAAAAAGGTATATGAAAGTTGAAAGGATCTATAAAGTTTTAAAAGATTTTAATGTCAAGTATGATTAGATAAGAACATAAATCTTCAGAAGTCACAAAACTCTAGCTTTAAAATAGATGATTATTTTGATCATAAATAAAGAAAGTAAGTGACCCTTTATGATAGAACCACATGTTGTAGATAACTCCATGTGTGTGGTCAAACATAAGTAAAAATAGATGATAACTCATGAGGATAATACATGTTGTACCTATTGTAAGATGGGATGACACACTCATGACAAGTGTTACAAGTTGTGTGGGAGACTTCAATTTTGAGGTCGAGTACATCTAATTACTATGCTCACTCAAAATAAAAGAGAAATATCATAGATGGATACTATTGAAGTGTTGATAAAGCTGAAATTTGTGATCAAGAAGCTTACAATAGCTATGACACGACTTCAAAAGCTCCTATGATGGGTTTCCTTGATCTTTTCTATTGCATGCTACAGGTCATTCTTTATCTACATCATGAATTTTAGATATAGGTGCTATTGACCATATGATTAATATCTTAAATTTTTTCTTAACTCATAATTCTTGCCCAAAAAGTAGGAAGATTGTTATTACAAATGACTCTTTGATCTTTATAACAAGTATGGGCAATGTTAAAATTGATTCATTAGGTATTATTAGGAATGCATTACACATTCCAAAACTCTTTACTAACATGATTTCAATCAAAAGGTTCATAGATGATATAGATTGTAGAGTAACTATCGATAGTGATATATGTGACATATATGTAAGGTGACAAATAAAAAGACTATATGTGTTAAGTGTGATGGCATCTATCACCTTGGCAACCTAGGGTGTAGATATGGCATAGACTCATAACCATCATCAGGATGTGGAGGCTTAGTAGCCATAATGCCTAAATAATTATTATTTTATGACTATAATATTAGACATCAGTCACTAAAAAGTATTGAAACTCATGTTTTTGAATGCTAAAAGTTGATATTTTTAAATGTGATGTGTGTGAGTTTGACAAACACAAGAGAGTACCTCTTACTTTGAGTGACTCGCGTAGCTCTACTCTATTTTCACTTATTCATAGTGAGCAGTGGGGATCTTCATATACTCCTAATATCTTAGGAGTAAGATGGTTTGTTACATTTTAAATGATTTTTCTCAAATTATTATTTATTTATTGAATAATAAGTCTAAAGTTAGTAAAATTATCTAATAATTTTGTGTACTAATTAAGAATTAATTTGGGACTACAATCAAAGTATTTAGATTAGATAAGATTAATTTAATTATATTATAAATCATTTATTTCAAAAATAAAGAATTATATATAAATCCTTGTGTGTAAATACCCCACAATAAAAATAAGGTAGCTAAAAGTAAAAACAAACATCTATTAGAAGTTACTAGAGCCCTTATATTTCAAAATAAGATGTCAAAATGTTTTGACAAGAAGCCTTCTTAATGATTGCTCATCTCATAAATCGTATACCTACAAAAGTTTAATGGTTCAAGAGTCTACTTGATGTACTTTCATCCTAATATCCACAAATGAAATTAAAAACTAATATAACCCCTAGAATATTTAGATGTGTGGCATATGTCTATAACCAAGATCCATTTAGAGGGAAACTTAACCTTAAAATATTAAAATACATATTTATTGGATACCCAAATACTAAAAAGGGATATAACTATTATCATCCTTCATCATAGATTTTTTTATGACCATGAATATAACTTTTAGTAAATGTGAATCCTTTTTTCACATTCAAGATGATTTAGTTGAGGGGGAAAATATACAAAAAGAGAATGGTGAGAGACAAGAAGTTGGAAACTTGTTATTGCCAACACCATCCTTAGTAATATGTGGGGGAGTTGAATCTTCCTCTATGGAGGAGGCTACAACCACCATGCCTCATGACAATGAAGGTGGTTGAGTGGAAACTAGTGAACCTTCAGTGTTGTAAAATAACAAAAAAGACTTACCTATAGCTCTTTGAAAGGGGAAGATAATATATTTTATGAATCTTAAATATATTATTTCTTTGAAATGATTGTCTCCATCTTATAGAACTTTTCTTACCTAACTTAATACTACCTATGTTCCATCAAATGTCAGTGATATATTAGCTCAAGAGAGTGAATAAAACCATGGATGAAGAGATGGAAGTGCTAGAGAAAAATCAGACATGACAACTAGTTAAGTTGCCAATAATAAAAAAAACCTATCAAGTGAAAATAGGTTTATACAATGAAGTGTAAACAAGGTGGAACCATAGAAATGTACAAGGCAAGATTAGTCACCAAAGGTTACACTAAAACTTATGATAGAAATTATCTAGAGACATTTACCTTAGTGGCAAAAGTGGATACTGTAAAGATCTTATTCTAAGTAGCTGCCAACTATAGTTGAGATATACAACAATTTGGCGTTAATAATATTTTTATACACAGATAAGTTAATGAGAAAATTTATATGAATATTTCACAATGATACAAATTTAATTCAAGGAACAATGTGGTATGTCAACTAAAAAAGGTATTATATGGACTTAAGCAATCACCAAAGGCCTAGTTTAAGAGATTCTCAAAGGTGATGGGAGATATTGAATATAAATTGAGTAATTAAGAGCATACCTTATTATTAAGTATTCATCTTCAAGAGGAATTATTGTTCTCCTAGTCTATATTGATGATATAATTGTGACAAGAAATGATAAGAAAGAAAAAGAGTATTTGAGTACATGTTTACTAAAGGAGTTTGATGTTAAAGCATTAGAAAGGCTAAAATATTTTCTTAGCATAGAGGTAGCTCATCTCTAAATAAATATTAAAGCATTAGGAAGGCTAAAATACATCATTCATCTTCTCAAGGAAATTGAAAAACTAGGATGTAAACCTATGACTACACTTTATAGATCCAAACCATAAACTTGGAGAGGTGGAAGAAAGTAAATGAATGGGTATATTAAGATATCAATGTCTTGTGGCAAAGTTGATATATCTCTCATATATTCAGCCCAATATTACATACTCAATGGTGGTCCTTAACCAATTCATGCATAAACCTAGAGAAATTCATTTACTAGTAGTAGATAGAATTATCTAATATTTGAAGTAAATTCTAATATTTCAAGATAGAGTTTTTTATTTAAAAAGAATAATAATGTGGATTTTGAAATCTATACTGATGCTAATTTTGTAGATTTCATTATTGATCGACCATCAACCTCAAGATATTATACATTATTCATAAGGAACCTAATCACATGGAGAAGCAAAAAAAAAAAGTGGTGGCTCATTCTAATGCAGAATCAGAATTTAAAGCCATGTCACAACAAATTTATGAATTTTTGTGGGTGAAAGTTATCTTGAAAGAACTTAGAGTCAAATGACAAGGCTTGATAAAGTTTTCCTATGACAACAAATCAGTTAAAGTATTGCCCACAATCTAGTATAACATGACTGAATCAAGCATAAAGAGTTCAATTGACACTTCATGAAAAAAAAGATAACATATTTGACATCCTCATATATGCCCACTCATGACAAACTAGTTGACATCCTCACCCAAGGACTGAGTGGACTTATTTTTCAAATATTGACTTCTAAGTTGGAATTGACTGATAATTCAGTCACCAACTTGAGTGAGAATGTCGGAGAAGGGAATCACATTTCTATCTTATTTTATTTCCTTTTTATGTTTCTCTCCCTCCTATTTCTCTAAGTAAGTCGGATACGGTCCGGTATAAGTTATACCCGATGTTGGATCCGCCTCACAGTTACGGCTGTATGAAGACCAGCGACCGAATTGGTCGAAGATTAATTTAATTTTTCCTTCCCGTTTTCTCTCTTTGAACGAGAGCAACCGCTCTCTCTGTAGATCGGTGTGTCTACGGCTTCAACACACCCTTTTCTCCTTGGACTCTCAATCATAAGAGTCTACCCGTGTTTTCCTGAACCTCTGTTCGCAGAGGCTTGAGTAGAGATTACTGAATTTCCCTTCTATTTTCCCCCTTGTTTCGAAATTGGGCACGCATCAGATATCCCCCCCCCCCCCCGGCACCAGATGTAGACCCAGCAAACACCTTTCTCGCTCTTCCGCCGGCGGAGCCCTTTCTCTTTCCTTATTCGGAGAAGAAAACGAACTGTCGGTTTCGAGCCCCGTCATCAGCACGGGGAAGACGTGGCGAGAGAGCGCCGCCGTATGCGTAGAACAGACGGGCGGTGATGACTCATCTCCACGCGTGCTCCTGCCATCCCCGCCCTCGCCCGATCGCAGGAGACCCCCCGCGGACAGCCCATCGGAGCCTGGGATAGACGCGATATTTCTACCTCTCCGGGGAGGGGAGGAGGTACGGCCATGGCCAGCTCACTGAGAGAAATATTAAATCACGTGGAGCTGGGAGGAATAGGAAGACAACGACGCCAGTCCCGCAGGAGACGGCCCCGCCTGTGCCTCCGTGGTCGGTGAGGAGCAGAAAACAAATATGCCCGGTGACTTGCACGCAGTGGCACTGTATAAACATCACAGACTACTCTCTATACGTAAACAGGTACGAGTCTGAGAGCTTGGCGGCTCGTGAATGCTGAGTTTGGCGTGGTCCGGGGAGGAATGGAACTCTCTGGAGGGACCTAGAAAAAATCTCCGCTCCTGTCGCAATCCCTCCCCGCAGGGAGAAGGATGGGGAGGTATCAGTGAAAAATTCTCGCTCGTGAATCAGGATAACGCCCGACCGAGGATAAACGAGGGCGCACGTATCTGTCTGTATCTTTTGATATGAGGGAAGAAGAGATTGGGGGGTGGGGCTGGAGAATAATAAAGGGTTCTTGGGGGGTTTTGAACATCTGGGTGTGGGGGGTTTGTCTAAGTCTTGAGAGGGTCGATTAATCCGAAGACCTGGGTTGATGAAGAAATGATCAGACGGCTGACGGGAATCCGCTGTAATTAGCTTTTAAGTTGCTTAATTTATCATGAGGCCTCCATCTTTACCGCCTCTAATCATGGTTGGTGGGGGGGAGGGAGCGACACTGCGAGCGAAGAAGGCACGTGGCGTGGCCCCACACCCCCACACCCCCCCTCCCCCCAAGACCCTGTGATTAGATCTGCTGCTCACCTTCTCCTTCCCCGGCGGCTTATAAAATCCCGAGCTCCTCGGTGGTGGAGAGCATCCTCCTCTTCGTCAGAAGTTGTCTCTAGCTTTGTTTTTCGCCTGGTCTCTCTGCATCTCTCTCTCGTTCTCTCTCTCTCTCTCTCTCTCTCTCTCTCTCTCTCTCTCTCTCTCTCTCTCACTCTGTTTCTGTGTTTTTTTTCTGAGAGGCGGGCAGTAGTGGAGAGTAATAATCCATAAAAATTTGCAGAGGGAGAGAGAGAGAGAGGTGTATCTACATTCTCCTCGTGGCATCCGAAGGTGGGATTGCAGAGAGATGAAGGGCACAAGTGGAGGCGTCTTGCCACTCACCTCTCTCAACCACATATCCCTGGTTTGCAGAAACGTGGAGAGATCTCTGGACTTCTATCAGGACGTCCTCGGCTTCATCCCCATCAGACGCCCCGAGTCGCTGAAATTCGACGGCGCATGGTAGATCTCCTCTGCTTCCCCCCTTACTCTTCCTCTTTCTCTTCATCCTCCTCGTCTTCGTCTTCGTCTTCGTCTTCCTCATCGTCTTCGTCATCCTCCATCGTAGGCTCTTCAACTACGGGATCGGGATCCACCTCTTGCAGTCGGAAGACCCGGAAGCCATGCCCGTGAAATGCGAGATCAACCCCAAGGACGACCACATCTCCTTCCAGGTAGAGAGAAAGAGAGAGAGAGAGAGAGAGAGAGAGAGAGAGAGAGAGAGAGAGAGAGAGAGAGAGAGAGATGATCACGGGTCCAGAGTCTCCTATCTTGGAGGGGTCCTTTGACTTTTTCAGCGGGGGATCACAGGATCCGCGAGAACGAAACCTGGGACTCTCAGTGCTGACCTTCCCAGCGACGGTGTGACGCAGTGTGAGTGCATGGCGACGGTGGAGCGGAAGCTGAGGGAGATGGGGATCCCATGCATCCAGAGGACGGTGGAGGAGGGCGGCATCTCCGTCGACCAGCTCTTCTTCCACGACCCCGACGGCTTCATGATCGAGGTCTGCAACTGCGACGTCCTCCCCGTCATCCCCCTCGCCGGCGGCGACCCCGTCTGGGTCTGCAAGCGCGCCACCGAGCCGCCGCCGCAGCCACTCCCCCACCGCATCTCCGCCGCCGTGAGAGTGGAGGACTAGGCGCATCCCATGCACGTGCGGCGCCGAGCAGGCTCACACGTGAGACTGCTGGCCCTGACCGGTAGACTTTGTATCCGTTTGCAGAGTCACGTAAATAAATATCTCATTTTGTAGTACCCGGTTCATCGAGTCCTCTCTCTCTCTCTATTTCTAGATGTATAAGAGCTTCCGTGTTCCACTCTCTCTCTCGTCCCCTCCTTTGTCACAACTACTCTTACGACCTCCGTGACAGTACACGTGGCCGACGACCGCGAGCGGAGCCACGTGGAGTCCAGTTAGGCCAACTTCCACGCAACACGGGTAGATTCCAAATATATATATATATATATATGTATATGCTCAGATTCGTACAATAACTAAGGCCCCCACACAATCATATATTGTGTATACGCCGCCGCAAACTGCTGCCACCAGCTGGCCCATTGGAACCACGGGGGTCCATTTCTGGGGTCCCTGGTTCTTTCGTTGACCTGTCCTTGTCAGCGTCACTAGGAATCCAAAGTACCGAATTCATGGGATTAATCCGCTGTCGAAAAAAATGCGAAGGCCTCCAGCACCGAATATACAGACATATATATATATATCTATGTTCTTCTTGGGAGAGAAATCAACGAAAAAAAAGAAGGAAAACAAGGCACCCGGGGAGGGGAGGGAGGGGGCGGCGGCAATTACCTGTCTTGGTAATGCAACCAGGACGGCTATGGACAGATGGGTCTTGTACGAGAGCTACTTACTTGTACGCATTGATTTCAGAGTCCTGAGCACGGTAATCCTGGCGTGCTGTGAATGAGAGAGAAAGAAGGCGAGAGAGAGAGAGAGAGAGGGCTGGGGGCGGGGGACATCCATGGAACATGGCCTCTCGCCACACAAACCTGTGGGATAAAGATGAATAAAATCTGGTGCTCGTCATTAAAATAGTACAAAAATAGAGGATGGCCTGAAAAATTAACAATCTAATTTTTGAACAAGAAATAATCACAGGACATGAACGGCGCCATTCTATTGAAAATTATAGAGCTCAGAGCGAGGAGATTTGCACAGAAGCATTCCAATCCCTGCTATAAGAACTTCTCGAATGGTATCTGAAGAACCCTCTTTTATAGTATCATGCAGAGCTAACCATAGAAATGCCCGAGTGTTCAACCACATATATAGATGACATAATCAATCCGAGGGGGGGGAAAAGGAAGTCCGAGTCCTAAGAGGTGCAGATCCGTCTGAATTTCTCCTACACAGACAGGTCGAGGGAACGCAGGGCTTCCCGACAAAACCTAGTAAAAGAATGAAGGCCATAAGCACATTTATCAAGTTGGGAGAAAAAGGATTCATGGTCAAGAACAGAAATATTCAAATGCAAAAACCCTTTAATTTGATCCTACGGATTCCTAAGCCAGCAACAAATGGACGGTTTTTGTTTAATGAAGAGGATGAAAATAACGAACGGATCAAACATTGGAAGGTAGATAATTGTTGCTTTGGAAACGGTTGATATTTACAATTTAGTCAAGGCAGAATTTCAAATCTACTAGATATCTGCGACGACAATTGCTCGATTTTCTCGCACAAGAAAAGATACAAGATATCTCCAAACCGTACATTCCAACTTTAACTTGTTAGCTCTGAGCTACGATCATTTCTTGCATTGATGATTGAGTTTAAAAAACATAACCTAAGATTAGGTTTAATTAAACGGCAAAAACAGAATGTAACCAATATAAATCATCACATCACAAAATTTCCGTCCCTCACCTTGATATGATTATCAATTACAATTTCAAAGGACTATAGTCTATGACGAACATCTTTAATGTACCTTTAACCACCGGAAATATATTAGATGAGTGCAGCTCTACTTCATTATACCTAAAAAAATGGTCTTGCTCAATTGTATAAATTTAAGGGAAGTTATTAAATACAAATACAATATATATATATATATATATATATATATGTGTGTGTGTGTGTGTGTGTGTGTGTGTGTGTTCAAAACCTTGATTTCCATTCACACATTCTATCATAAACTCTATCTGTTTGGCTGTTAGCCAATCCATATATCTGGCCGTTCCAATGGGTAAGGGTGCCATTCTCCAATAACGTTAGTGTTGATATGATACACAATCACCACCTGTCAGATGGCACATCCCTAAGATAATGTTGAGCGAGGAACCCCCAATCCGTCTCACAAAACGTTAGAAACTTCCTCTCTCATTGAGAAATCTCATTCTCTTCCTACCTTGGAACAGACTATAAAGAGAATACATAAGTTCCATAAACTCTCTCCCATTCTCTCATAAATATTCTGGCTCTTTGCCATAAGAGAAGCGAAATCTAAAGTTTCTTGTTACCGATAACAATCTCTCACCAGATCACTACATGCCTCCTTGTAAAGGGCTAGCCCACCAACCGTTGACAGCATGCTAGCTCTTGTCACTTATGCTGGCGGTGGCCCAAATTAGTTTATTAGAAAAACAGCAACGATACTGTTGATGTGGGTGTGGCAAAAATTCATTCACAGCATAATACAACTAAAGTTTTCGTCTTCTCCTTCAACCAAAGGACACATTATGCAGGATGGGTTCCTTAAGATAAGAGGAAGGATAAGGGATACCAAAATGGGCATTTACAGGAGGAAAAACTGTCCTTTATGATGTCATTATCAAAGCTGAAAATCAATATTTGGATGCTCTGAACAAAATGCTATTTTCTGAACAACACATAATCACGTCTTTAGTATAAATATAATACTTAGAATGATCTGCTGATAATGCAAAGAGTTTGACGTTCTAAAAAAAAATAACCACTAAGAGGTAATGACGGCGTGGATGCACCTTTGACTGTCGACCTCATGCTGTCGCTGTCGCTGTTGCTGCAGCCTCATACCTCCGAAGCATGTCACAGTGTGGAGTCTTATTTGTAAATCCCCACCGTTGCTGCTGCAACTCATTCCGACAATGATGCGAAACAATCTCAACATAGTCTCGCTCTATTCGCTCCTCAAGCTCCATCCTATTAGCACTCCGGTCAGGATATTCTCGCTCAAATTTCCCTGGCTTGACATAGTATGGCACACCCTTCCCTGTCTCTAGGCGTTGATCATAAGGATAAACCCGTGAAAGCACATAAGGTGGCTCAGAGGATGGGAGGAAGTTCAAGAGAAGCAGAAGTATCACAGGCAATAATTGAATCAGTGTGCGGGTGTTAAAACCAGCAGACCCTTGCATATCATTATAGGCGGGCCCTCCCCTGCCACCGGTTCTAAACCTGAAGGTACCAAAGGGAGTCGGTGTTTGCTGCATTCCGCCAAAGAAGAAATTCCTGAAGATCTCATCGGCATCAAAATCAGCATCGTAATGCCCTCCGAATCCATTCATGTCTCGTCTTGCTGCATTCCTGATGTAAGTGGGTTCTTCCTCAGACCCACTAACATCATACGCTCTCCTCTTCCCCTCATTGCTAAGACATTGGAAGGCTTTGGACACTGCCTTGAAGGCCTCCTCTGCGCCAGGTGCTTTGTTCTTGTCTGGGTGGACCTTCAAGGATAGTTTCCTATAGGCCTTCCTGACGTCTTCCACCGTGCAATCTCGCTCTAACCCAAGTATCTGATAATAATCCTTCTGCCTCTTTATCTGCCTGATAATACTGACCTGTTCTTCGCTGTATTCCCTCGACGATGACCCGTTGGGGGAAACACCACTTTTAGAACGTGCAGCTGATGAAGACGACGATCCTATATCCGATCTGCTCGACACATCGGGATGGCCTCCACCGTGACTGCTAGAATCTGAAGCCGTAGGATGCTCATCAGAATCTGCACCATGAATCTTTGATAGGAGATCGTCGACTGCGAGGGAAGGGTCAAGACGTCGAGCCTTGGAAAGAAACTTAAGGGCCCGGACCCGATCGCCGGCCTCCACGGCTTCCTTGCCGATTCTGAAGCACTTCAACGCCTCGTCCTTGTTCCCATCCATGACTGGATGCACCCTAAGGCTTTCCAACTCAGAAAACCTGTGCATCATGGAAACTCTCATCGCGTCATCGTCTAATTAAACCTACCGAGAAAAAATAGACAAAACAAATAGAGAGAGAGAGAGAGAGAGAGAGAATTGATGTAATCCATAAGAATAAAGGAGATTATGGAACATATTTCATTCTCAATGAAGAAATAGAAGCCACCTTAAACTTACAGGGGAGATCGAGCTCTCCAAGCCGTTGAAAAGAGAGGCTAGATCAGTTTTTTTCCCCGAACCTCGTCTCGCCGGTTCCTCTTCCTTTTACCCTCGGCTAGGGATCTGATCCTGCCGTTTTTGCGCCACGGAGGGGGCTTCTTCGGCCAGAAAACCTCCCCCTTCCCCTCCCCGTCTCACGGCAGCGGAAAATTGGGTATGGAGAAGAAAGAGAGAGGGAAGGGGGCCGAGATTTCTCGGCAGGCTCCTCTCAGGTCTTTAGAGGGCCTCCGAAGACCTCCACCTCATCGGATGCATCAGAACCGTTCCTCACGGCCACAGAAAGACCGCAGACTTTGAAGTCCATTTGATCCAGCGGTAACCCCTCTGCCACGCGGCCTGCTCTTTTCGACTTGATCCAACGGTCTCGCCGAATGGCGTGCGGCTGCGATGCACGTCCAAACCGTCTGATTGCTGAGGCCCCCGAAAAAACCCTCTCTCCATCGGTCCATCTCGACCGTTGAAGATCACGATCTTCCCGTTGCGGACTTTGTCTGTCCATCTCTTCGCCGTTCTGCGCTCTGTATTTCACAAAGATGCGAGTCTCCCCGCCGACGCCTCTCTTTCTCTCTCTCTCTCTTCTGAGCTCCCCCTTGCTTCCCGCAGAAAAAAAGACCAAGAGACGGGAGGAGGCTGGGGGGGAAGGAAGAAGCTATATAAAATTTGGAAAACAGCGGCAGTTGCAGTGGCAGCAGCGTCTAGGGTTTTTTGGCTTTCGCCGCTAAATCTTGGTTGCTCTGGGATGGTCCCAGCGGAAATGGATGCCTGGGATGGTCGTCTTCACTGGCTTCGGCTGCCGACCCTGGGTTCTTCTCCTTCCTCCTCACTTCGGTTAGGTTTCTGCTTCCGATCTGTTGCCTGTGATTAGCTCTCTCTCTTTCTTCCCCGGTTCCCGGTGTTCGTTCTATCCGAACTTTGTTGGGATGCGCAGCGCTCTGGAAGAGGGGAAGCTTTTGAAGAGTCGGAGTCGGAGATTCCCCGGGTCTCCGGAACATGCTCTCCCTGCGCGTGGTCCGCAGACTCTGTGCCGTCGCTGACACCGCCGCCGTCGCCGCCATCGCCGCCGGCCTCTCCCAGCCCAAATCCAAGTCCCCTCTCGTCTCCTCCACCGACAGCATTGGCCCCCCATCATCCCCTGACGACCCTCCCCACCCTGCTCCAGCTGATTCAATCCTTCCGACGAGCCAGCCCCCACAACCCGTTTCTGAATCTAAACAGGATCCAGGCTCAGACCTAGGGCTCGTCTCTGAGCCTGCTCTGACGAGGCTCAAGAAGCAGAGGGACCCGGAGAAGCTCTTCCTCATCTTCCAGTCCAATGCCCAGAACCGCCTCGTCGTCGAGAACCGCTTCGCCTTCGAGGACACGGTCGCCCGCCTCGCCGGTGCCCGCCGCAGCGACCTCATCGAGCAGCTTCTCGAGCAGCAGAAGGCTTTGCCGCAGGGCCGGCGAGAAGGGTTCGTCATGCGCATCATCACGCTCTACGGGAAGGCCGGGATGCCCGGCCACGCCCTTAGGACGTTCGACGAAATGCCTCTATACGGCTGCCCGAGAACTGTCAAATCCTTCAACGCCACCCTTCGGGTCCTCTGCAAATCTCGATGCCTCGACTGGATTCAGACCTTCGTGGAGCATGCTCCTGCTAAATACGGGATACTGTTGGATGAGATCTCCTACAACATATTCATCAAGGTTCTGTGTGAAGCGGGCAGCCTGGAGTCTGCTTACCTCGTCATGGTGGAGATGGAGAAGGTGAAGATCAAGCCCGACGTTGTCACCTACACCACTCTCATGGCTGCGTTTTACAAGCACGGGCGGCGAGAGATCGGTGCCGGGCTGTGGAACCTGATGGTGCTCAGAGGATGCCCGCCGAACCTCGCCGCCTTCAACGTCAGGATCCAGCATCTGATCAACAGGAACAAGGCGTGGCAGGCGAAGAACTTGATGAAGAAGATGGCGGGTTCCGGTATCAATCCCGATGAGTTGACCTTCAATCTGATCATAAAGGGATTCTGCCGAATGGGTGAGATCGAAACGGCGAAACGGATCTTTCTGGCCATGCGCGACAGCGGCTGCCAGCCCAACAGCAAGATCTACCAGACGATGGTCCATTATCTCTGCAAGGCCAGGGAATTCGAGCTCGCGTGCAGGCTATGCCGGGACAGCATGGAGAAAAGCTGGTTCCCGAGCATTCCAACCATGCAGAACCTGCTCGAAGGGCTGATGTCCATCTCCAAGGCCCAGAGCGCGGAGGAGATCATAAGCTTGGTTCGTGCCAGGGTTCCTCCGTACTCCGCGCGCGAGATGGAGTCCCTTCGATCTGCGGCTTCCCCTACCAGGAGGAGATGAGAGGAGATGAGATTTCGCCAGAGATTCTTTCCCTGTATAGCTAGCTCTCAGGCGCTTCCACCCATTATTTCGTTGATTGTGTTCGCCGCACCCATGCAACCGGGTGTATATTATTCATCATTTAAAAAAAAAACAGGAAACAGAAGTCAACGCAAAAGCTTTTCAACTATATACATATATTTATATACATATATATACAGAGAGACAGAGAGAGACAGACAGACAGACAGAGAGGAAGAGAGAGAGAGAGAGAGAGAGAGAGAGAGAGAGGAAGGGAGAGAGAGAGACAGATTTCTTATGGCCCTAGCTTCTGTATAGTATTAGGGGATATGGAGGAGGAAGAAGACGGCGATTCCGTTGCCGGTTGAGACACCGACCCAACGGTTTGGTTCGGATGTTATCCATTAGGGCAGGTCCGATCGAGATCCGTCGTGGGAGTTGAGGACGCCAGCGTGACACGTCAGTTCTCGCTACGGTCGCCACCTGGCGCTTCCAAAAGTCAGTTGCTTAAAAAGCTGCATGTGGGTCCCAGAGGCACCCCTGTCTTCTTCGTTTCCCTTTTCATCTGTGCCGTTGGGGCAGGCGCCGCGTCTCTCCCGGTGATCGCCGTCGATGAAGGGCCTCCTCTCCCGGGCGATCCTCCGGCACACGGCTGGCGGGGTCTTCGGAGGGGGAGCCGACGCTGGTCTCCTCAGGGTTGGCGCCCGTGACTTCTGCAATCGCTGTTGGGACTCCTCGCCTTCTCGGCGTCCGGGTGAGCTCCTCTATGAGAGTATAATTTCTGCGAAGGATGGTTAGACATTAGTGGCCCATCTATGAATGCCATATGCTCTTAAGATACACTCGAGTTACCTAGCCATCTTGGACTTCCATGAGATTTTTTTATATATGTTTAGGTAACCTCTCACAGCCAATAGCTTTTATCGCACAATGCATTTGCTTCGTGCCCAGCAAATTCTGCTGAATTGCTTTCAATTATCTCTTGTCACGGCCATGTTATGCACTGCTTAGGGATCGTGCAGTTCGACAGAAGATTGAGATAAAATCTCATTTTTTGTATTTTCAGCATCGCCATTTTCATCCGAGGAGAGGTTTCAGGAATTTCTTAAAACTGCGAGTTTATTTCAGTTTTTTTACATAAAGAAACGCCTAAAAAAGATGGGAAGAAAAGAAAACCTTGTACGAGGGAAAAGGTGCTATAGTTTACATTGGTTTCGCAGACAGATTTTCCGAACTAGTTGTTTTAATTAGTGCTGAATTGAAAACCAACTTTAGCAAATTCTCTTGATTCTCAGCATCAATCAGTCAGTTGACTAAATTGATAAAATTTTCTCGTAATTTTTTTGGTTGAAGGCCCACTGGAACTCTATAGAAGACTAGTTATGGAGGGGAAATTGCAGCATGATAATCACCAGGAAAAGGTGGCGTCTGAGTTGGAAGATCTACTTGGAAGGCTGAAGAAGTATGAGAAAGAAATGCAAGATTATCATGTAAGTTTCTGTACTCATCAATGCCATAAGGTCCAATTTATTGAAATCTAGAGAAGTAATTTCCAAGATATATTTTTCCTCTTTATGACATCTTTAGGCTAAACTCGCAATGTGGGAGAACAATAGAGAGAGTGAGAGGCGAAAGCTGTTGATGGAGGAGGCTCAGGTTAAACAGAAGGATGGGCTATATCACAGTGGTTTTGTTGATAAATGGTTATCACGGTACAAAAATATGCACTTAATGAAAATGAAGGAAAATGCTATAAATTTTCTTGTCTTATCACCTTCTTTTATTTCCAAGATTGCGTGTGGGCACATGTACCAAACTTGTTAATTAGGCATTTCGCGATGGTTAATGTGGAATGTCTGTAAATTCATTGCCATAAAAATCATACTCGAACTCTGTTGTTCCATTTGGGGCACAACAACCTAGCTACTCGACAAATAATCACCAGTATAATGGTCTATCACAATTTTTATTAGAACTCAAAATAATGTTGCTTTCATATTGATAAATCTTTTATGGAGGAAAAAAGAAAGGCACTGAGAACTCGGTTCGTATAATAAAAAATTCCATCCGGTAAAATTTTAAATATCGAAATTACTGTTGAACTTTGCCATTAAAGCCTTGTGATTAATACTGCAACACATTCTGCTGTAATGCCTGTCACTAATTATTTCATAAGGGAAGTTGACAGAAAGTTCCTGTTTCCTGCCCTAATATATTTCTTGAAAAGGTAATGGGAACAATAAGTTTCCAAACTTCTCAAACATTTGCTACTCTCTACACCCTCTACCCAACGAGCTCTTTTGAACGGTCGAAATTTTTCCACACAAGACTTTGCGGACATTTTCCAATGTGAAACATTCTTCCATATATTTAAAAGTACTCCACTAACTTTTCTTATTTATACTACCAGTTTTGTTTGTGACACTGTTGAGAGAAGATGAAGTGACGTAGCTCAAGTGACATCTGCAAGTAGGGTAGATCACATGGAACATGCATTATATAAAGAGCTTGATTTGCATTTCGTTGCCCTCATTTTTTGTCATTATTGAGCAACGTATGAGGTTATGAATCAGAGGTTTTGAGGAGTGTTTCTAGTCCTCTCCTGCTCATACTCCCAGACGTCCGTATGACATTCAAATTTCCACATTGTAGGGTAATTATATATTTTCCTCCCAATTATTTTTCATACTCAACTTGACGTTCATGCTCTCGTAGAAAAGCATGTCTTCCTGTGAAAACTACCTGTTGAAGATTTCCATTGCTTTTGTGCCATCTCTTATTTACTGTCACTGAACACGTTCATTTTTCTTTTGCTATTGTTATTTTTATGGACACATTTCTATTTATCTTCTCACTTTTAGTGGTAGATTTCCCCCAACGCAATCCACAAACTGAAATTCCACGAATCCAGCTTTTTTTTTCAGTTATTTTCTCTTGTCCATGGTAGTATGGTTTTATTTCCTCAAAACAGATGCTCAGGAATTTCGTGATACAATTGGAAGGCAGCGGCATCTTTTTTCTCCAGATTTGAGGCTAGGTGCTATTTTGTAAATGTTATGGAAAATTTCAAGAAATATGGGGGGGATATGTGATCTGATGTGAAAAAGTAAATGAAAAGGTAAGAAATGTATTAATGGATAATAATTTATGTAATTGTGTAAAGAAACAATTTTTCTGTCACAGTTATTTTCGGCTTCGAAGTTCAGAAAAAAAGAATTAATCATACTACATAGAAACAGTCGATAGATAGCATAGCATTGCCCATTAGTATAATGCAAATTCACAGCTTTTTTTGAATCCGTGTCATCTAGGTGCCATATCTTATGTATTATATTTCACGGAATGCTTAACGCACTTATTTACTCTTCATATTGCTTCACTTTCAGTTTCTATCTTTTGACTGGTGGTTATGCTCTCAGGAGGAGAAACGAGAATATAGAGGCTGGAGTTGGTAGAATGGTTTCATATCTTAACCGAGAGAAGAAGTTGGACTCATTTGTAGGCCGCCGTCCTATTGCTCCCCTTGCACCAAAAGGACTCTATTTGTATGGGAATGTTGGAAGTGGTACATTTCCAATATCAAACATGTTTCTGACATCATTAGACATATCTTTTTCCATCTTTTAACGCAAAATTTCTAGTGTGCAATGCTTTCCCTCTTTTTCCTCACATCTAATTTCTTTTTCTTCTTGGAAAGGTAGACCAGAATGCTTGCTCCTTTTTTCCTCTCTCCCTGATGCTTACATCCCTTTCTCCTCTAGAATTTGTTTCATAGATGCACATTAAAGTTGTTTAATCTGAAGGAAGATCTATATATTACGCAGGAAAGACCATGTTAATGGACATGTTTTATAGTGCCACTGAAGGTATTGTTAAGCATCGGCGAAGGTTTCATTTTCATGAGGTAAAATTTATACTTTAGATTTTATTTTTTATCAAATGGTAACTCCAAAGGTTGCCACGGCGAAATTTATTTGTCCGTAATTTTCTTTTGTTCTTATTTCTACACATTCAGGCCATGCTTGAGATTCATGAACACATGCACAACGTATGGAAAAACCAGATTGAAGAAAAATCTTTCCAATCAGGTGTCTTCAATTGGATTGATAACCTACCATTTGACAGAAGAGTGAAAGAATGGTTGATGGGTGAAGAAAGATACAAAGAAGAAGCACAAATGAAACATATTCTTCCTGCTGTGGCAGACAAATTTCTTGTAGACAGGCAGGTTGATCAGCGTGGTGCCAGCATCCTTTGTTTTGATGAGATACAGGTATAGAGGGAATTACATCACTTTTGTAGTGATCGTTTTTTCTTGAACAAAGCCGCAGAAATATGCATTATATGCCGTTTTCTCGATGGAACCCTAATTATTTTCATCTCTTATATTTTGGTACCATGAATAATTCATGGCCGTTGTTAGATGATTTTTTTTTTTGATATTTCATCACTATGATCGAATTTGATGAAGTATTTTATCTAAATTATAAAATTATGGGCCTTTTGTAAAAATGGCTCTGGTCACCTTTTTCCATAGAATTTCGACATTAAATCTCCGTCTCTCCCTCTGTATGCGTGTCTTAGTATGCGAATGCATATGCTTATGGTATTTATATGTGTATGCATGAACGTGCTTGTCAGAAAAAATGTGCATGTGCATGCATATATCTGTGAGTGAATGAACCCTCAATTTTGCTATGACGTTGCATCTGTGCATGACTATGCGCGCAAAATAGTATCCTGAAGGTTGGTTTGTATGGTTGGACATCTTCAACTTTAATGATAACATAGTTATTGGTTATTCATGTACAAATTTCTGGGATTTGCAAAATGATCCTTGTTTCTTTTATCATGTGTTAAATTTAGTGAACCAAACAACTCAAAATCATCTGCTAGCTGGCCCTTCTTTATACTCATATATTTACTTTTGTTTTAGTCAGTACGAGATTATTTCTGTCCCCTCACATGTAAGTCAAGTTTAGTCTTTGTGGCATGGACACTACAAATAAGGTGTACGCGGCCTGAAAGCAATCATCTGTTTTGAAATTTTGTTAAAGTTTTGGGGTCATCCAAGCAAAAAATAATTGAGAAAGAGTAAAGCATGCCCATCTTGATAATTCATCCGTTTTGTTTTTGGCTTAATCAACATGAAAGTATTCTAAAATTACACGAACAATTAATTTGTGAAATCAAAATGAGCAGTCTTTCCCAAATCCGATAAATAGTGAGAGCAAGGTAGAGGCTTGGCAATTATTTGGATGAGCTAATGGATTCGGTAGTTATTTATATTAGTTTTTATTTGAGACAGTTGTTACCATCTAGAATCATGTGGTGTGCTGGTAGAATATTTTCCATAGATTTGCACATGGATTTGCGTTGTCTCTAATCATCAGGAAACTTTTCACTGCTGTTTACATCATATCCCTCAGTCGAACTTATGGAGTAACTTGTATCGTGAAAAATGTACTTAGCCTTTCATAACTTGAATTTTCATCATTATTCCAGACTGTTGATGTCTTCGCTGTTGTGGCCTTATCTGGGATTGTCAGTAGATTATTAAGTAATGGCATCGTCCTCGTGGCTACTAGTAATAGAGCACCTGAAGATTTAAATCAGGTACATTTTTCATCATGATTAAAAATCGTGCTGAGGGGATTTCAAGTCTTGAAATATCTAATGTTATTACAATTTTTTCTGCATAAATTTTAATTTTTTGATTAGCTGTTTATTTCCTTCTCTTTTAATGTCATGAAGAACTGCTTGAGAGAAATTTCTTGTCCGAAATGGATGATCTAGAAATAGAAATGCTTCACTCAATGAGACATTCTTCTTCTTTGTAGGATGGCATGCAACTGGATATCTTCCTAAAGTTTGTCTCAGAGATGGAGGAAAACTGTCAGAAACTTTTAATTGGAAGCGAGATTGATTATCGTCGCTGTATAGCAAATGGAAATTTGGACAAGGTCAGAGATTTGAAAACTCTCTCAATCTTTTTTTAATCTGACATACCCGGTTACTTTGTCGTTGTATACTGTCAGGTTTCAGTGATTTTGTCCTCGTAGAGTTTGGTGTTTTTTATTTCCAATTGCATGATTGATACTATTGTGCATGGATGTCCAATTTAGTTCCTGTCAGAGCAGCATGATGTGAGAGTATGTTTTCTTCCCCATTCCGATATATATCTTTTAGAATGATGGTTTGTTTGCGTTACTTATGTTAATGGGATAAAATGTCATTTCTCTAAAGCCGAAAAAGGTAAAATACCCTTCACATTCATCGAGTGGTCCATAAATTACTATCTTTTCATTTTAACCCGGCAGAATCTGTTCATTTTATTCCCAATTTATTCTTTCCAGTCAAGATGCCATGTTGGCGATCCTGAAAACTCATCTTGATGACGTTTTCTTTTGAATATCCCAAGTGATGCTCGTTATGTAAAAAATATGCAAGCTAAATTACATCTTATACCATTTAAAGCATGGTCTTGCAGGCCTGCTAACCCTTGATAAAACTGATCAAATATTTTTGGGGTCTATCAAATCTGTTCCTATATCAGAGGAACTTTTATAAATTAGAAGATCGGAATGATACTAGAAAGGGCCAACTCCGATTTGGGTGTCCATTTCTTTTTTCGTTTTATTTTGTGGGAACAGGGGTGGCATCCAATACAATATGCCATTATAAAAATAAAGCAACCAAACTAGGCTGATACGCCTAAAATTGGCTGACCCTGGATGCATTGTCCAGTTTTTTGATTCACCTCTCGGAACAAGTCATTTCCTGCAAAACGATGCAAGTTAGGGAAGAATAGGGAAGGGCCAAATTTTCTCCCCGCTGGTGGGGAGCGGGGAAAGAAGACATGCATAAAAAAGGAATATGAATTCACCTGGAATCTTTGCCGCTATTAGCACCTGTTGAGAGAAAGGAATAGCTAAGTAAGAACAACAAAGGGAAAAAAGGATCACTGGGAGCAACTGTCAGTCACCATCATCTGCCACTGGCTGATGCTAGAGACTGTTACTGGATGCCATTGCTGTGGGCCGCCTGCTGCTGGCTTGTTGTCTTCTAGTTCATCCTGGATGCCGACCCTTTCATCTGAAAATAAAAAGGAATTCTTTTTAGAGTGTGAGGATTTTTATTTGAACATTCACTTCATTTATAGACACGGTCCTTTTTAACATGTTATTTTTTATACATTTTTATTAAAAATATCATCTATAAACTTAATAAAATTTAAACTCGATGTTTTTACAGTTTTTACATGAATCTGACTCTTTTCTCAGATCACACGAAAGGGCTATTCTGATCACTCTAGATTCAGATCGCCGTTGAGCCCCCAAAAGTACTTTTTACAAGCAGTTTTCGTAGTAGACTCCCAACTTATGGGCTGAACATGGCCTAATTTGGTGAATTATAGGAGTATCTGGTAATGGATCTGCCCTATTTGACTCAATCTTATTCAGTAGTCCGCTTCGAGTAAATGTGTGGGGATCAAAAGAAAGATACGGAAGAGCTGTACATTTTTGGCTTGCTGGTAGAGAGTGGAGGAAGAAAAAGAAAGAAAAAGAGAAAATGTCACCTGTGAGCTGCGTCCATTGTCAGTCGTTCACTGTGAATTAGGGATACCTGACCTCCATACTACATTTTGTGTCCGACCTGCGTGAGAAAAGAGATTTAGGATATGGGTCGGGATTTTTGTGATTTCGAAAAATGTAGTGAAGCGTAGAAAATTTCTTATCTAACATTTTTATTATGGTCGTATCCATTTCATAAAAACAGTTTTATATACTTCATAACTGCGTAAAATGAACTTTTTAGGAGTTAATTTTCCTCTTTTTATTGGGTGGGGGGTGTGTGAAGATATCTTTTATATTGGTTTGAAGATAGCCATCTTTGAAAAACTTATATTACAACCTTTGTAGATCTTTTATCCATTTTGTGGAGCATGGGATGAAGGCTCGTGGAGGCCCCTAATAGACTTCTGTGGAGAGTTAGATAGGTGTTCTATCTGTGTGGTCACCGCTGTTTGATATGCCTCACCCTCATTGTCTCATTTTTGGTTGTTACATCTTATCCAGATGCTTGTGGGGGTGTCTTTGCCTTTAATTTGACATCATATATCCTGACAATATTGAATAATACTTTTGATCATAAGGCTTGGATGATGACATCCTCACAATTGGATTATCTGTCTCTAGCTCTATTTTTATGTCTAAAACCGAAAAAAAATTTCAGAATTTATTTTTTTGGCCTCTGGACACGAATACTCACCGCCAAATAGAGACTGTTTGGCATGAAATCACCAATCAGTCTGGAGGAAAGGTCATCTCCACCACCATTCCTGTCATGTTTGGGAGGTATGCAGTAGATTTCACATCTTACTGCCCTTTCTTCTAATAGATTTTTTAAAAACTTTTTTGTTGGGAATTTACTCCATTTTTAAGTGCATTTTTTTAATAGGAGAATAGAGATACCTGAAAGCTGTGAAGGGATAGCGAGATTCTCATTTGACTATCTCTGTGGTCGTCCGGTAATCTAACCTGTCTTGATGGAAGTAATAACTTTTCGTACATCTTTCTTTTATACTGGAACTTGATTGGCATCGCATGTTGCTGTTTACAGAAGAAAAAAGGTCGGTCCCTTGTGCTTTGAGATTCAAAAAGAGTCTCGCCTGTTGAACAAGAGGAATATTTCCTCTGTAGTCAAATTCCTTAAGTCTAAAACGCTTTCAAAAAATGTCCCGAGCTTGAGCTAGCTAGATTTCAGAAGAGAATGCACTTGTTAATACATTTCTGAAAAATAATATTTTAAAGGAGAAAAGCGTTTTATTCAGTGGCATGTAGAAAGGCTCCCTATAGGCTTGCCTGGAAGAAAAACTGAAAATTGTGTCCAGTACCCAAGAGAGACATGCATGTTCTATCTTGTCAGTTCACGTGTAAATTGCTCAAAATATAAAATCTAAAAACGATATAAATTTATAAACATATTTAATAATAGGGCAAAATGTAGGAATGTTTTCAAAAGGACGCCATCTGCTGAAAACATTTCAATCTACCCATTCTCAGTACCTTGACATCAGGTTTATCCTTTGAAGGAGAATGGTGAAAAGGTTTTTGCGTAGCTTATGCAAGAAAAGGTCATGTAGAACTGATCTTGAGGCAATCTAGCTTCACTTAGTAAAAACCTAGGCTGAATTTGTCAATTTTCAGGAAATTGAGAACCACTGTAGTCCTTGCTCGCTGTCCACTTTATGAAAATGTTTTAATCCTTATTTTCAGCCAATTTTCATTCATTATGCCGAGAAATTCATCCTTGTTAATGATGTCTAATGCCCGTCTTCTGAATGTTTCTGCATAGAATGACTGGCCCGACGACTTGAATAATTAACTCATATTTTCTTCAGTTTCAATACGAGTTTATTTTGAATCGTTGGAGTATTTTCAATACAATTTCGGATCAGTGACAAGAAATTATTCCTGTTTCTGGGCATGCAATTTTCCCAATTTTGGCCAATTCTTTTCCAGGTTGGAGCAGCTGATTACATTGCAATTGCTAGGCGGTATCACACAGTTTTCATAGCAGATATACCGGTGATGAGCATGCGTATTCGTGACAAGGTATTACTTTTCAGAGTTCAATGTAGGATTTCGTTTAAAATTTGGATCATGTTTCGTTGTTTTTTTACTGAATTATCAGGTTTACGTCCTATTCATGATACTCGCCAAAATTCTTACAACTGATCAAGTTTTTAGTTGAAAACGGCATGTTAATTACTTAAATAGAAAGGTTGGGTATTCCAAACAACACAATTTTTATCACATGTCTATTGTACCTCTCCATGGAGACGAATGCAGAATATCCTGAAGAGTAAATTTTTGTATAACATTCTTCTCTACCATGGTTGGAATCAAACAGACGATTTTGTCACATATTTCAGGCACGAAGATTCATCACACTTATTGATGAGCTATACAATCATCATTGCCGGCTTGTATGCACTGCGGCTTCACCAATTGATGATCTATTTCAAGGAACTGACGAGGGAACGCTCTTTGACCTGGAAAGGTAAAAACTTAGTTGACGTGCGCTAACGTTGATCACAGATAGTGACCCTTTCTAGCTTCTTTGTTTCCTCGTTTTTCTGTGTGACGTATCCACCATTCATTCGGTGCAAACTGGGATGTCATTCTCGACTTGACTCGCAAAATCACGAGCAAATGGGATTTATGATCGATGCTTTCCGCAACCGTTGCTGTCATTATCAGTCTTTTTTTTTTTTACAGAGTTTCCTCTAGAATGCCTTCCATAATATGCTATGGAGGAGATGGCAACTTCCCCCGGGTTAGACCATAACCATTCTTCAGTATATATATATATCTATCCTAGGGAAAAAATATCTGTACCAATGTGAGGAACTGGGTCGTGTTTATGAAATTAGACATCCAATCTACTTAAAATGTTGTCATCCATTGAATAGATAAGTCGTTCTAATGATACACCTGTGACCGAAGTATCCTAGTGCTCTTATTAAAATCTTAAACTATTCAGTTGGCGTGCGCAGGTGCTTTTCCTTGGATCCTTTCTCTATCACGTTCGGCCATTGGAACTGACCTGGCAATTCTCTATCCGCCTCTGTTGCAGTTTCCAGTTCGAAACTGAGGCCGAAGGTGGGAGACTCCGGCAAAATGTCCTCGCTGCAGGCGGCGTTGGTTCGGTGGGTGCTCCCGCAGCGATTGTGTCACTGCTGTCAGGCCAAGAAGAGATGTTCGCCTTCCGCCGAGCGGTGAGCGCCCTTCTGAGCCCACCTTTCCTCACTCTCCATTGATCATTTCCTTAGTCTGAAACCCCCTCCCCCCCCTTCATAGTTGAAACCCACATGGCCAATCCTCCAAAGACCCACATGGCGTCTGCACAGATAATGCAAGTGCTTCAGGCCATCATATGCTTCAGGGGAGGACGTCGGATGAAAGCAAGCTGTTCGGACTGCACTCACTCAAGAGAGATATGTCCCTTCGTGCAGGTCTCTCGGCTGGTCGAGATGCAGACGCCTTCCTACTTGCAGGGAGTTGAGCTCGTTCATCCCTATTTTCAAGTCCACGGAGGGGAAGCCCAGGTGGAGGCGCCGGCATAGCACAGAACTTACCCTTTCATTCACCGCTGAAAAGGTAGTAAGGCCCGTATTTCATCCATTCTTCACCAACTCATGGAACTTTCTGCGGTTATCTTATGAGCATTTCCCACGGAAATAAATTAAGCCTTCGCTTGGTTGATTGTGGAGCTACTAGTACTTTCTGCAGCGCGGCTCCACGAATTGGGTTCTTGTTCAACCCCATGAATATGCGTTCCCCCGTGAAAAATGGGCAAGCGAGTCGTCACCCATGTTTGGTTACTCACGACGGAGTAGAATGGTCAACGGGAAATCTTCCGTAGAGAGAGAGAGAGAGAGATGGTTCTCCATAATCCTATACATTAACGCTTCAACCATACACAAGCGAGGGAAGAAAAAACAAAAAGTAGCCAAGAAAGAAGGTTGCCCATTCTATGTTCCCGGGGATCATCAAAACAGGGAAGGGAGAGAGAGGGAGATAGAGAGAGAGAGAGAGAGAGAGAGAGAGAGAGAGAGAGAGAGAGAGAGAGAGAGATGAATCAGCTCTGCTGCTCACCATCTCCCTCCTCACTCTCCTCCGCTGCTGCGGCCATCAACTCGTCAAACTCTGCAGTCTTGCCCAACATGATCTCAATCTGTTGATATCAACAACAACAAAAGAAAAAAAGAAGCCAACCAACCGTTTAAGACGAGAAATGAACACAATATATAAACCCAAGTGGAAGGAAACAGTCAATATCCGACCTTGGCCTTCTGGATGGGCCGACCTCTGAACTCATCCTTCATCTCAATGGTAGACGTCCTGATTTCTACGCAAAAGACCTCGCGGTAAGGAAGAAAGAAAGAATCTCTAAAAATATCAATTGGAAATGTCAAGATGGGAACGGCATCTTACTCTTCTCGACGGCCAGGCCATTGTTTTTCAAAATCTCAGTGACAGTGACAACGGTCGCAATTGCTGCAAAGAAGCAGAAAGAGAGAGAGAGAGAGAGAGAGAGAGAGAGAGAGAGAGAGAGAGAGAGAGACGCATCATGTTCCCCATCGCCAACAAAGAAGAGCACTACTCCACGTAAAGCCAGGATTCAGAGTCGTGACGCCAAAGGGCACATCCGACAAAGGAGATTATTACACCATCAGCGGCCGACTCTCGCTCTCTCCATGAGAGCTCCTTGCCAGCAAGTGGTGCCAGGTAGAGAGACTCAAAGGAGGCACCGGAGATGAAGCAGGGGCCTTTTTTGCACAGAGGGCCCTGCCGCCGTTCCATTTGTGGGCAGACACAAAACCATGGAGGATGCAACGAGGGGAACTCTCCCTAAAAACCAGCTTCTTTCTTTCACTCTCACTGTCCCCAAGTCTCTCTAAGAGGCGTGCTTCGAAAGATGACGCGGGCAAGACAGCACATCAGTGATCTGGTGATGGTTTGCAGCAAATGGCACACCTACAGATATGAAGGGTGAGGGCCAAGTGAATGCAGCCTTGCTAGGAGAAGCTACGCGTTCATACACCCCCTCCCCCTCAGGCTTCTGCGTTTATTGATACTGGGATTGAATCAGTGTATTGGGCTGCCACAAATTTTCAGGGATCCAAACTAATGAGAAAGATCCACGAGATCAGACTCTGTTTGTGCCCAACAACAACACGAATCCTCACTAGATCGGAGAGTCCTCCTCTATTTGATCGATCGATGCTATACTTTTGGAGGATCAGCAAACTCGAGAGAAATACAGCGAATGACTGGAAACAACAGCGCAGGCGTGTGCAGCGGTCCCTAGCGCGCAGTGAGAAATGGGCAAACGTGCCAATCGAACGAGTCGATCCGAATCTACATACAGAATGAACGGAAAGGTAAGAGCAGGTTAACGAAGAATACCCATGCCTAACGCAGATAGCTCCACCTCATTGTGCTGTTGCATGTACCTCTGCGGGAAAACAGAAACCACCAATTCACCAAGAGACAAAGGACAAGAACCAGATTAAACGACAGAAACTAGCCAGACAATGCGCCTATCGTGCAATCCATCTCAGTCGAGATGATCCCACTTCCCAAAGCATCAAAAGCACGGGGGGTTATGTTTCAAACCGTGTCCTCGACCCTAGAAGGTACGGGAACCCAAAAGAAGCAGGAAGGACGGTGCAACACGTCGAAAGGAGAAGTCGGGAGGTAAACCCAGGAGATGGTATATGCTCCCAAGAGAACGGAGAGAAAAGCGGACGAGCCGGAAGCTGAGGATTCCCCGGTCCTTCTATCCCGCCCTTATGATACAACACACACCTTGGCTAGGTTGACGTAGAAGAAGAGGGGCTTCTTCGTGTTGGACACTTGGATCCTGTTCTTCTTGATGGCGTCTCCGATGTTGACGCTACCCACTCCCTCCGTAATCTCCTCCATCGCACCTCGTTTCCTCCGATGCGACGGCGGCGATGACGAAGACGAGGAGAACCGAGGAACTGTCAACAGCGTCCGATGTGCAGGAGTAACGAACCCTAGCCCTAGGACAACGCCTGTCCGAACTAGCGAGAGAGAGAGAGAGAGAGAGAGAGAGAGAGAGAGAGGTAATTTTACCAAGAAAACTTATTTGAGGTTCCCCATAAAGAGGGAGTATCAAGTCCGTCAAAGATTCCGTGGTACGCGATTCGAGACCGCCATTCTACCGTCCGATGTGAAGGTCCAAGGGAGTCGAGCAGGGTACATTGATCTGACGGCGACAGAACTTCCACCTAGCGACACAATAAAATGCCTCGAACAGTATCCGCCACTTTGTGAGGTCCTGCCAAACTTAAAATTATTAAATTTAGTTTTAGTCCCCTTAAAAAAATATATAACAAATAGAACGTATATTTATTTTATTTAGTTTATACTCCCAAACGGAGTAAATATCTACCATTTCCACTTGTTCCTGGAGGACAATTCTAACGAAAATCGAATGTATAAGCTTAATTCGTAATTAACGGATCTTCAGGGGTCGAGACTAAAATAAAAAAATAGTTATCTTATTCTCGTTAACAAATAAATACCGGAATAAACCGACAGCAGAGGGGAAGAGGGGGAGAACAACTTGGAAACTGATGGGGACGGAGCAGAGGAGCTGGAACACGGCCGCCGCCCTCACGGAGGACGGAGAGAGAGGCGCACCGGCATCTGCTGTGAGGGGGGAGGAGGAGGAGGAGGATGAGGCAGAACATGTGGCCGACGCTGTCGCCGGTTCCTCGGAGGTACCGACGTCGTCGATCTCCATTGAAACCTCTCTTCCGCAGGAGCACATGAAGCCTGGGATCGTGTCAGTTCTCGTCTCCTCTGGCTAAACAACTCTTTCCTGTCCTTTTTTACCCCCTTTTCTTCTTTTCTTCGGACTCTCTTCGATTTAATTAGCTAAAGTGAGGTTTCTCCTGCCAAGTCGCTCCATCCTTTTGATCCCGACTCGCGTGAATTTTATCGACTCACCACGCGCTTTAGCATGTACTTATTTCGGCTCCTCGCTTGCCCTCGGAATGATCCGAATTAAACCTTATTAGCTACCTACGTCGTATTTTTGCGTACTTCTTGCTTAGAGGTAACAACTGAAAGCACAATTACGTAAAGAAAAAAGTCAACGTTAATACAGTGAAGAAAATTTTCTTGGATCTATATCTTTATGTGATGAGGATCCAATACTTAAGCGAATCTTATTCAAATTATTCAAATAGTTGATCGTAAAGAGTTCTACCAAGCCAAAATAATGTAAGTTGCCTAAACATTATCAGCATTGTGGTTTAAATTTACTTAGATGGTCTAAATCGACAATAACGGTATCTTCGGAGGAAAAAATCAAGATATGAAATCAAAATAACTAAAGTTCCTCCCCTAAACAACAGTCCGTTGATTGTGTGACCCAAGTTAATTTTTTCGTTGTCAAATATGTGATTATATGATACGAATGAACGCCAACTGATACGGGAATTTATGATTGACGTGTGTTGACACCTTTACTAATGGATTTGAAATCAAAATCCACACCTTCTTAGTGTGAATGAAGCACGGAACCTGTTCAACGAGGGATAAACAAAAAGTGAAACTGTTAATGCTATTTAACTGAAGTCGTGATTGGTTGGATCTCTTGTGCTGATAGTTTTACATTTTTCCTTGCTACATTTTGATTTTAATGCAGAGAGTTATGTAAGGATTTATTCAATAAATGGTCATCTCTCGATGACACAAACTTCTTGATTGAGAAAGTCTCTGGTGGCATCACAAATCTTTGTAAGTTTTTACTGCACAGATTTTCATCACTTGTATTTCTTTGGGATTTGGCTAAAGTCTTCAAAGATTTTCCTATCATGAAACACAATTTCAGTATTTCATGGAAAAAAAAGTGCCAGCCACTGGAAAATCTTAGTTTTAAATTCATATGCGATTGCTTTGGATGTGTAGGAGCCTTTTTTCATTCACATGGAACGTTCTATTTCCAAAAAAAAACGTTTGACGCTGGCCTATATCAGTGTCCTCTGTATTTTTTCTATCATGTCTCATGCTGATGAATTTCTTGAAAATTTTAACCGATAATCTGTCAGCTATAACATTCGATCATATCTAATTGAAAATGTTTCTTTTTCCTCCCTGTCCATCATGCATCTGATGATTGTAACAACATCCAGTCCCACCAGCTATCCTGGCTTTTGTTTGCTCCGTAAATAATTGATATTGTTAGACTGGATCTGGGAAACCTCATTTCGTTTTTTGGTCTTCTTAGATCAAGATCAGAGAGAGGGTTAGGAAGACTTATAGTCCAGGGTTCGCATCAGATTTTATATTTATGTTTTGGATTATGCACTCTGACAAACTTGTCAATAACCTTGCAGTGCTAAAGGTGTCCGTTAGGGAAGACAAAGAAACAACTTGTCTGACAGTTCGACTCTATGGCCCAAATACTGATATTGTTATTAATCGGGAGAGAGAGCTGAAGGTGATTTTTCAGACCTGCATATGTCGACTGAACTTCCCTGCTTGAAAACCTGAGTTTTCTCCTCCTAGGCTGAGAACCACTACGAATTTGCAGCATTATTTATTTTCTTCTACTCAGGACCGTCCTTATTTCCACTGTACAATGGCCTGTATCAAATCATGTTTTGAAGTTGAAGAACGCAATATAACATGATTTTATAGCTAATATCTGCCCCAATGCGGTTAGATTACAGATTTTTAAAAAATCAAGTTAAATCATCCACTCATTCAAATTACAAAAGACATCTCTTCTTGTCCCCGTCCCCGCATATCAAATTTGGCATAAAAAAATTTGGCCCATAGAATCATCTCTCTTGCTTTTACGCATAAAAAAATGGCATCCTAATGTTGAGTGAGAACTTTGAGCTCGACTATCAAATTTGGCCCATAGAATGTTTTCTTGCATTCTATCGAAAGTATGATTCTTCATTTAATAGTTGAAAATGTGGTTTGTTATGTGTTATGGTTTAAGGCCTCATTTTATGCAGTTATGTACTGCTTGAAAAGAAATTCAAAGTCAATCAATAGTCCACTTGAACCTGATGACATCCCTTGGCTGTCTGAAAACAAATTTCCCCTCCGTTCCTTTCTCTTATTTGCTGCCTTGACATTGTTGAGAACCATTCTTTCCATCCGATGTGAGATTTGAAATCTATGGTTTAGACATACGAAGTTGTTCTTTCATTTTACATTCCCTTTATTTTTCGGAACGCTAACTAACGTTATTATACTTGGATTAGGCCATACGCTACCTCTCAGCTGCTGGTTTTGGCGCCAAATTGCTTGGGATATTTGGAAATGGCATGGTACAATCTTTTATTGAAGCCCGTACTCTTTCACCGGAAGGTAAGTGCAGAAACTTTAATTTTGTTCATCAGATTGGAGGCAAAATCTAGGATAGCCGTTGAGTCCATATGTGCATATTTTGAAGCCATCAGCTTTACATGTCTTTGGGCCAAAATCCAAGTTTTTATGTTCCACGGGAGAGCAGTAACCGAACTTTGATCAGTCGACCAATTGGCAGATCTTGCCTTAAAATGATCGATTCAGTTAGCTCTGGGAGATTGCTACGGCCATTGACTCTAGCTATCTTGCCATCATCTGTTTGACGTCTGTTTTGGAGCCAGTGTCGACGGCTTCATGCTCACTGAAGCTCATGCAAAGCGAGTGTCCGTCTGTGATTCATAAAAATCTCATGGAAGCTTGCCAATGGTACAAATAAACCATCCCGTTTGGCATCCATCCATTTGGGGTTTTCCAGTTTCCTTTGTGTGTTAGCTTGTTCGTTCCCTTTCAGGTGAGAAAATGATAAAATGACCACCTTCATGTTATGGAAAATATTGATGGCATTACCTCTCATACTTTACTGATGGGGTATGACTAAATTCTCTTGGTTGTCTTTCAGTCTTGCTTTTCTGTTTAGAACGGATCATGCTGCCTAAAACTTGTTTAATTTTGTAAATGTTTGGTTGAAGTTTATGAGGATGGAATTCTAATGTTCAAATTGTTTGGATCATTTGCAGACATGAGTAAACCACAGTTAGTTGCAAAGATTGCAAGGGAACTCCGTAAGTTTCATCAGGTGGTCATATCTGGCTCCAAAGAACCACAACTATGGAATGATATCTGTAAATTTCTTGACAAAGGTTATCCCTCGATCAGTACTTCATTCTAGTGCCTGCTAATGAAATTGTAGAATTTATGAGCTTCTGGTGTGTTCTTGATCAATTTTATGATCTTGGTATCCGTGGTTATGTGGCCGATTTTACCTATTTCTTTGGTTGCAGCCGTTTCGCTCAAGTTTAGCGACAATGTTAAACAGGAAAAATTTGAAACAATCTCTTTTGAAGAGATTCATGGTGAAATTGCTAAGCTCAAGGTGCCCCCTTCCTCTCAAATTTTCTTCTTAAACGCAGTAATAATTTGATTCATCCCAAAAACTTTTTAAGATGAAATCTTATTGAAGTGCACAGTTTCTGCTCAGAGGTTGTCTCACCTTGGGATCATGAGTGTGCCTACTAATGGTCCATGTATGACACACTGCTTATCCTCTCTTTCCTTTTTAGATCTCTGAGCACAGGCAGATCTATTTCTGATTCTTCCATAGGTAAATGTGGAATAGAGTTTCTGCACAAATGATCGTTGACTTCAAGGTTGCTCACTGCTCATTGTTCTATCTCATGTATCAGTGGGAGTGTATAGTCCACACCATTTGAGTTTCATAATTTGGCGACTTGACCTGCCTTGGGTCTTTCTATCCTACGAAATTTGGCATGGTGAACGTCAATCATACCGGAGACCTGGATCATCTCGAAGCAAAACTTGATATTCTGTCTATAAGTCAAATCGAGCTATCCTGATACCCCAAGTTGATTTGAATTGAACGCCTTTGACTTTCTCGGTTTCGGTGCCCAGGACAAGACTTCGTTTTATTAACGAGCTGGCCAAAATGTCCTTTCTGATCTAGGCTTTCCACCTTTAATGGGCCTTATCTTGGATACTTAGCATCTGTGTTGCTATCAGGATCTGACAGAACGTCTAAATGCTCCTGTCGTCTTTTGTCACAACGATCTGCTCTCGGGGAACTTGATGCTCAGCGAGGATGAAGGTACTAATTCTCTCTCTTTTCCTTGTGGCAATTGACTTGTTTCTTCGTGGAAAACTTGATTATGTGCGCTTGCTCTATATTAGATCTGACAGTGTCAGTGAGGACTCCACCCACCCTCTGGCTCTTCTATCCTCTATTAGTTGAATATCCTGCTCCCCCTATCACAGTTGGTCAAATGCTTACATCTCATATTGACAAGAATGATCACTGATCCGATTCAAGCAATCTTGGTAATTGCCTCATATTATAACTGGTAAGCTTGTGCTTCCAGAGAAGCTGTACCTGATCGATTTCGAGTACGGATCATACAACTACAGAGGCTATGACATCGGGAATCACTTCAACGAATTTGCAGGCCTGGAGTGCGACTATAGCCTGTGTGTATTCCCCTCACCCTCGGGCTCTCTATCAGAAGAACTAACTGAGATCTCTTATAAATGGAGACCAAAAATATTTTATCTTGCTTACCTGTTCTAACTCTAGGTACCCGGACAAGGACGTGCAGTATCTCTTCTTCAAGAATTATTTACAGTTTGACAAGGCAGAGGTACGTGAAGTTGCTACGAGCCCCTGCGATCTGTTGTCCCGTTCATCACGATCACTCTCCCTTGATTTCAACCGGTAGACAAGACAGAAAGAATGCCGGTGAAATACCTACCTGAGAGGAGGAGGGCCCTTCTCAGTGAATGAATGCTCTCATATTCTTGGCTGAAACTGTTCTTTTTCTTCCTACCGTGACCGCTGCTCCAGGTATCGGACGAGGACTTGGAAGCGCTGTACGTGGAGACGAACACCTTCATGCTGGCGTCGCACATCTACTGGGCCATATGGGCTCTCATCCAGGTGCCCCTCCCCCTGCCTTTTTGATCTTTCTTCTTTAATATATACATATTATATATATATATATATCGAGGATTTGTGTTGATCGCGGGTATTGGGATTGGGACAAAGAAGAGACTAATCGTCTCGTGATATGATGATGCCCAGGCGTACGCCTCTCCGATCGAATTCGACTACCTGGGTTACTTCTTCCTACGCTTCGACGAGTACAAGAAACAGAGGGACAGGTGCTTCGCCTTGGCTCGGGGTTATCTGTCAGCCCGGGGGTGACGCGGTTGACCCATCGTCATGCCTCCCCATTGATGCCCTCTCTCTTCTCTCTCTCTCTCTCGCTCTCTCAACTTTGGACCATGTGTTTGCTTCCATCCATCAAGACTGCAGATGCCGATTCAATAGCCCCCGTTGGGGAGTCTCTCTCTACATTTCCCTTTTGATCTCGAGAATTCTCTACCCCCATATAACAGTCAGCCCCAGACAGAAGAAGCTGCGGGATGGGCTCTACCGCTCTCGCTCAAGATGGGAGCCGGATCGATGCCTTGAGAAGAGAAGAGAAGGGAAGAGGAGAGAAAGAAGACCTGATGAATTCCTCCCCGCGAGGTACACAAGAGGAACCGCCATACCCAGCAGTACCCTCCCATCTGCACCCGCTCCGACGCGGCGCCTCCATTCATTCAGACAGCGGAGGATGAGTAGAGGCGTACTACGCCTGGAGGACCTGGCAGTGCACGATGTGGCTCTTGAGGCGGCGGCGGCCGGCGATGTTCGACCAAAGGTTGGTCATGAAGGTTTTGAGCTGGCCCTTCCCGGCGATGGTCTCCCAGCAGGGCTCGCCCTCGGGGCGGGCGACGTCGACGAGGGAGATACTCATGTTGTTGCGGATGATGCAGAGCTTCCCGTTGAGCGGCACGAGGGCCGCCGCCTCCAGCGCGCGAGACCCCCCGAGGTGCATCCTGCTGTCGATGTGCCCGCTCCAGGAGTCCGACTCCTCGTCGTATACCCGCAGCTTGCAGCCGTCCTTGCAGTCCAGGGCGTAGAGCTGCCCGTTGAGGCAGACGCTGGGGTTCCGCCACCCGCTGACCATGCCTCCGACGACGGGATACCAGCTGTCCGTCTCCGGGAGGTAGACCTCGCTGAGCACCTGCCGGTGGGAGCCGAGGCCCTTGAGGAACCACTTCCCGTTGTAGACAACGCCGATGAAGGGCACCATCGCCGTGCTCATCTCCGAGATGAACGACCACCGGTTCTTGTTTGGGTCGTACACCTCCGCCGACCGCAGCGAGCGGTGGACGCCCTCACTCTCCCCACCGGCCACATACAGACAGTTGTTCATCACGCAGTACCCGAAGCAGTGCCGCCGCCGCAGCATGTCTGGCGCCCGGTGCCACTTGTTGGTCCTCGCGCTGTAGAAGATCACCCGCCGCATCGAGCCCTTGAGCGGGTCCTTGCCGCCGAACAGGTAGAGGTGGCAGCCGCTGAGCACGGCGCACCCGAACCCCAGCGCCTCCGAGTACTCCAGCGGAACGGGGGGCAGCGGCTGCCACAGCTGGTACACCGGGTCGAAGGCCTCCCACGATATCCGCCCGTCTCTGTCCCTCTTGATCACGTAGATCCACTCCTCCGTGATCTCCAGGTTCTTCCGCAGAGAGTAGAAGTAGTTCCCCGCCAGCAGGCGGTACCAGCGCTTGCACACCAGCCGCAGCTTCCTGTGCTCCGCGCGCGGCACGCGGATCAGGCACGCGATTGCCAGGTCGTCGGGCAGCCCCGGCAGCAGCGGCGACTGGCTCCGGCTCCGCTCGCCGCGCGCCGCCCGCCGCTTGCTCGGCCGCACAGATGGCCGGATGCTCGGCTGCTGGCAGTTCTTCGCGCCGGGGACGAACTTGCGCGCCCCGGAGACCGTCTTCAGCCCCGCGTCCACTTTGCAGAGGCACGCCGTGCTGTCGACCTGCATGTTTTCCATCCACACCCAGTGCACCACAGACAGTCAGGTCAACGGATGATTCATGCATGCAGAGGAGAGATCTACGCAAGCTCGAGCCTTTTCCAGTGCTCGATGATGTTCCTTCCACGAGTCTAATCAATCACTTCGACAGAACAAAAACCAAAAGCAAAACCACGAACCCGAGAACACTAAAAATTCATGCCGGAGCAAAGACCAAAGCTGGGATTTTTCCCGGACGAATCGGCACCAGAGTCGACTCTCGACCTCACAAGAGGCCGCCATGTTCTTCCCATCTTTGCCGCGGACGACGGAGGAATGAGTGTCTTCCTTACACGAACGAGAAAAAAACCAGCGGCGGGTTGGGGTGTCCTCCCGGAGCTGCATGTCTCGGGGAAAGGTTAGGGGCCGACTTGCTCATGAACAGTGTCGCTGGGCCTCTCGAGCGGATTACTTCACCCCCCTGCAAAAATGCGAACTACGACCCCCAACATCGCAGGAAGACACCGAGGAGGAGGCATTGGAGGCTGCTGGATTTCAGAGGGAGTTCCCTGTTTCACGGACGGTCAATCGATACCCGGAGGGGAGAACTCGGCGTCCGAATCAAGTGCGAAGAGCATCGATGAAAAATGGCGCTCGAATCACCATCTCACTCCGGAGGGCCGCAGAAACAGGAGCTCGAGATGCCGAATACTTCCCTTTCTTGAGTCATCTCGAAGCCTGATTTTCCATCCACTTTCTTCGGTTGGTCTTCCACTGGGGTCGGCAAAAGCGGGGATTGTCGCCCCACAGATAAACCGCCGTGAAATCAAAGAGGACGAAAGGGGAGAGAGCTAGTCACGCACGCGGAGGGATGGTCGGAGAATGGCGAGAGAGCGAGGAAGCGCACGGAGAAACAGTCGGCGAGAGGTTCCAGAGACCCTCCTGCGAGGGGAATCGGATTGAGATCGTTCCCCAGAAAGGGAGAGGAGGAGGAGGAGGAGGAGGAGGAGGAGGAGATCGGACTTACGAGCGGAGGCTGATTGACGTGGTTCATCTTGTCTTCTTTAGTCACTTGCGGTTCTACCAAAAATCCATGCGCAGGTTGCAGAACAGATGGAGCGGCTGAAGAACCGGAGGAGGGTGAGAGAAGCAGGGAGGAAGAGGAGGAGGCCGATCTCTGGCTACACTCCCGATCTGGAGCTGCGCAGCCCGGTGGCCCCAGCGAAGCCCCAGCCCCGCATAGGAGACCCAACCATCAAACCCATCTCCCAAAAACGCGGAACGGCTTCTCCTCTGATTGAAGTTACAGCCAACCAGCCGGCCAGGCTCCAGCTTCCCCTTTCTTTCCCTCCCTCGGGAGAAGGCTCCAACGAAACCCTAGACTAGCTTTTCTCCATCAGCGACCCCCCCCTCCCCCCCTCGATCGACGGCAGAAACCTGGGCGAAGAGGGGGAGGAAGAAGGTTTGGGTATGGAGAGACCGGAGAGAGGTGAAATGAACGGGTGCCGGGAGATGAAAGAGGGCGCCGCCCGGGTGGAGATAAACAGGGAGATGCAGGTGAAATGGGGGAGGGCAGAGAGAGAGAGAGAGAGAGAGAGAGAGAGAGAGAGAGGGATAGAGCGAAGCAGGTCAAATGTGAGATGAGAGACAGAGAGGGAGAAACCCGGGGTGAAATGCCGCAGATAGAGAGAGAGAGAGAGGAGCGTAGGGAGGAGCCGCAGGAGGGGTGTGGGCCCCGTAAGAACATTAAAATCTGTGGGCCCCATGCTTACTCTGGCGACGCTTGTCCGACGCGACGGGGTCGAGTGGGAACGGTCAGCCAGGTGGGGCCCGATCCCCCTCTCCTCCTTGTGACACGAGCCCGGTGGGCCCTTTCATCAGGGAAACCGCCATCAGCCACACCTCGGGCTGTCCGCCAGCGGCGACTCGCCCGAGCCAACTCGGCCCACCCCCCACCACCTTCGCCCGAACAAAGGCGCTACATCGAAGTAGGCCTTTCACCTCCACGTATCACAATACGAAGAAGAGACCCAAAGAGAGAGAGAGAGAGAGAGAGAGAGAGAGAGATGACGACCTGTTTGTCCAGGTGGCTCCGTCTTCTGCGGCGAAGACGGCGGAGCGAGTCAAAATCTTGCTTGCGGCCCAGCAGTCCAGCTCCCCCATCAGGAAAATGAAAAATGAAAATCTCGCCACATATTTTCATAGCATCAGGCATTAGAGAGAGCGAGAAGCTCCCGGCGAGGATCGAACTCGCGACCTTTCGCTTACGAAGCGAACGCACTACCACTATGCTACGGAAGCTTTCGATTGCAAGTTTCTATCAACAAACTTAAGATTCAAAAATTGACGAACCCCGCGTGAGAGATGCTCTCGCAGAACAGTGGGGCTCGCTGGACGGCGGTGGAGTCACCTTCTAGTCCTTCCCCAACATCTCTCTTAGCCACCTAACTACCTGAATGTTTTTGGTGCTGTCCCCGTCAGTCTGTGTATCATTAGGCCCCCTCCCTTCCGTCCCTCTACTTCCGCTATACAGCGCGGCGCCGACGCTGACGAGCGGTGAAGCCACCGCGGATCTCGCCATGGAGAAGAAGCCGCCGCCGCCGCAGCATGTGCAGCTCTCGCAGCAGCGGACGCGCTGGCTTCTGCCGCTGCTCGCTTCCCTCTTCCTCTCCTCGCTGCTGATCTCCGCCTCCACCTTCTCCTCCCCTTCTTCTTCTTCCTCCGTCGCGCCCATCTCCTCCTCATACGGCGGTGGCGGGGGCGGCGACCGCGGTGGGCACTCCCCGCTCTTCGTGGAGGACGAGCTCCGGGCTTCCCCCAGACGAGCCCCTCCCGGCTCCGAGATCCCCCGGATCGCCTACCTCATCTCCGGCTCGGCCGGCGACGGCGAGAGCCTCCGGCGGGTCCTCCGGGCGCTGTACCATCCCCTGAACACCTACGCCGTCCACCTCGACCTCGAGGCCTCCGCCGCCGAGCGGATGGAGCTCGCCGCCGCCGTGCGGGACGATCCCGTCTACGCCCGGTTCGGGAATGTCCGGGTGATCGTGAAGGCCAATCTGGTCACGTACCGGGGCCCCACCATGGTGGCGAACACCCTCCATGCCGCCGCTGTCCTGCTTAGGGAGGGCGGCGACTGGGACTGGTTCGTCAACCTCAGTGCTTCCGACTACCCCCTCGTCACCCAGGATGGTAAGTCAATGGAATGTCCCCCAGCTCCCCCCTTCTCCCTTCATCGTTTTCCTTAAAAGCGCACTTCTTTACAAAACTCCGACGATCTTCTCGAGCAGATCTCCTCTACGCGCTGTCGGGCTACCCGAGGCACCTCAACTTCATCGACCACACGAGCGACATCGGCTGGAAGGAGTGCGCCCTCGCCCTCGCCCTCGCCCTTGCCCTCGCCCACGACCTCCTGCAGCGAGCTTCCCATCTGATCTGACGAGGTGATTGTCGACTGGCCCCGCAGGTTCCACAGGGCGAAACCCATAATCATCGATCCCGGCCTGCACAGCTCGCAGAAGTCCGATGTGTTCTGGGTCACGGAGAGGAGGACCCTGCCCTCGGCCTTCAAGCTCTTCACTGGTGAGTCACCTGTAGCCCAGGCTTGCTTCCTGTGACGGTAGACAATGGATCCGATCTCTGAGAGGCTACACCGCCCACTCGCGACTCGAGATCGATCCCTCCCCGCAAATCCATTCGAACTGGTCGGGCGCTCTGGGGGTGGAGCTTTCGAGCTATTTCTGTGAAGATTTGACTCTTCACCGCTGTCCTCCGAAGAAGCCGCGGGGGACAGATGATTGGGCGGCGTCCCCCGTTCAGTTCTGCCGATCTTGGATGGGAGATCGGCGAGCGACCGTGATGGACGCCTTGAGAACTTCGGCGACATCACTGGGCTCGCCGTCCATCATATGTTAATTGTCTCAGTCTTCTCTGAAGCGGGCTCCGTCGAGGATCCCCGGCAGGGATGGTACTCGCAGAGCGCTCGGCGGTTTGCTCCCGAGGAAGGGCTCAATTCATGGTTGTGGTGGTGATGGTCGCAGGGTCGGCGTGGATGATGCTGAGTCGGGAGTTCATGGAGTTCTGCCTTTGGGGGTGGGACAACCTCCCCCGGACGCTGCTCATGTACTACGCCAACTTCCTCTCCTCCCCGGAGGGCTACTTCCACACGGTTATCTGCAACGCGGGCGACTTCCGCAACACGACGGTCAACCACGACCTCCACTACATCTCCTGGGACAACCCCCCCCGGCAGCACCCGCACTTCCTCGAGCTCGCCGACCTGTCCAGGATGATCGCCAGCAACGCCCCCTTCGCGAGAAAGTTCCCTAGGGACGCCCCCGTTCTCGACAAGATCGACGCCGACCTGCTCCGCCGTCGCCGGCCGGGGGGCTTCCCCCACGGCGGCTGGTGGTCCTCCGGCAACGGCACCGGCACCGACCTGCCGTTCCTTTCTCCGCCGGCGGGGGCTGCCGACCTCAGCCCCGGCCCCGGCGCCGGGAGAGTGAAGAAGCTGATAGATGAGCTACTCTCCGCGGAAGGCTTCGAAGACGGCCACTGCCGATGAGAAACTCCGGCTAAGCGCATATCTTGATCGGCGCGTTATACCGATGACGACAGAGATTCGAGTTAAATCGGATATTTTTTTTCGAGGAAGGCGAAGAGAGGACCTCCGCAGGCACGCTACGTGTCGGAAGTCCGGTGATGGTCACGAGGCAGAACAGCCTCCACCTCTTCGATGTGGAGAGAGAGAGAGAGAGAGAGATCTTTGTCCACAGAATTCTGTATTTTATGAAAAAAAACAGGGCTTTGAGGGCCGGACGGCTAGGGTCCCCCCGAGTTTTTCCCGATATTCCTTCCATCCGGCCGTGCTGTTCGTCCCGGTAGAGATGGCCCTCGCCGTCCATGCTGCAGGCAGACCCGTCCCCGCGCGGAAGATGCGGTCGCCGGTCACCGCCCGCCGGTGGCCGGCGGCCGTCCCCCTCGGCTCCCGGATTTTCTCCGCTGCCGTCAGCACCACTGGCGAAAAGCAGTGTCCCGACTGGGCGGAGGCCACGGCGGGGTTCTTCCGTGACGATTCCAGGCCCATCATGCTCTTCGACGGTGAGGATCCCTCGGGCGCTCTTCCCCCTCCTTTCCTGGTCTCCTCGTATCTTCTCCTTGGTTTTACCCTAAAACCTTCTCAGGTGTCTGCAATATGTGCAACGGCGGCGTTCGTTTTGTGCGCGGCAACGATCCCAACAGGTTGAGTCCATTCGTCCTCGTTCTCCTCTTTCCCTCAACAAACCCTCTCTCTCTCTCTCTCTCTCTTTCTCGCTCTCTCTCTAACATCCGCTTCCCGTCCAGGAGGATCAGGTTCGAGGCGCTGCAGAGCGAGGCGGGCAAGATGCTGCTGCAGAGGTCGGGGAGAGCCCCCGATGACATCTCCAGCGTCGTCCTCGTCGAGAAGGACAGGTGAGGAGGATCCCCAGCCCTCGCCCCCTTCCTTCTGTCACATCTTCGTTCTTTGTAGCGGTGGTGACGATGGTTTGCTTCTCCGTGCTCTCCAAGGTCTTACATCAAGTCCGAGGCGGTGCTGAGAATCATGGAGTACCTGCGGCTGCCCTTCCCCCAGCTCGCCTTCTTCCTCAAGCTGGCCCCCCTGTGAGCGACCCCTCCTCTTCGCCGTAGCTCTTACCTGACTGAGAGAAGAAAAACACCGCGATTGATATGCACATATTTTCTCTTCCTCGCAGGTTCGTGAGGGACTTCGCGTACGACAATGTGGCGAACAACCGCTACGCGTTCTTCGGAAGATCCGACTCCTGCGAACTGTAGCAGGGGAGAGGGAGAGAAGTTTTCGAATCTTCGTTGGAAATAACTCACGCGGAACCCAGGAAGATGCGACCTCTCGGTGCCTGCAAATTCCTCACCGGGATCATCACCATTTGCGAGGGCATCGCCCGCATTTGACTTCCGACATCGCCGGCGAGGTCCAGGCGCAGCGAAACCATCTGCCTCCTTCCTGTCGAGCCCCGCCTTCTTCCCTTGGCCGGTGTTCTCATATGTCGCCGAAGAGGGGTTCTGCCGCCGCCGGCGGTATCCGGGATCTTCTCTCCGACGACGTCAGTGTAGATATCGATTCATCGACTATAAAAACACCGCCTTTTTTTTAAAAGTCGAGATCAATGCGCTAGCTACTAATCAGTTTTGGCTCAGACGATCCAATAATCCGTCGCTGAGGCGCGTGGTATGTACGCTGAGATGTGAGGCAACCCAGTGGCACCTTGAAGTCAACGGCCTAAACTGTGTGTCGAAGAAGGCCGGCTACAGGTTCCCCAAGAATCTCATCTTCGCAAAGCAAAAAACAAAAAAACAAAAAAACAAAAAAAACACATTTTTTTCGATCACCTGCTGATTCACGTAGTCAGTTTTATGGCCCTGAATAATGCGGCCATATTCCGGTGGGCACGTCCCCGCCGAGTGGAAATAAACCGGGGTCCATGCCCGATCAGTGGGAATCTCGTGGGCCGCCCGCCGACTGGTCTCGTCTCGCTTTCCGGACTGATTGATTGGAAGGTCGCATACCGGCTGGCGCGGGGTTCTGTCTTCCGCGGTGGGCTCGGCAGGGGAGACGGAAGGCGGCGGCTTAACTCCTCGTCCGTCGGTGCATGTCGACGTCTCGAGGAGACCGTGAATCGCCGCGAGGAATTCACGGTTCCTCCGGTGGATCTGGCGATCGCTCGCCGGGACGTTTCTGATGGACTAGTACACCGACAAGTAGCCCGCTGAATTTTCTAGCAAGCTCGGAAGATGAAATTAAATCGAAATTAAATGTCCCTCCAAGTGTATCCCATCGATTAAAAGCTTTACGATCCAAGTGGGTGGTCACTTAGTTCTCCAAAGGATTTACTTCATCTTTCTGACCGATGCATTTATTTCAAGGGTGGGTTCTTCGAGTGTAATTTTCTCAATGCAAATCACTTAGAATAATAAGTTGATATGCCAGAGATTTATGCCATTCAGGTGAAAAAGGCTTTCAATATCACACCCAGTACCCTGATTAATGGAGCGCAGAAAGGATACGCCAATAAGGTTCCCTGAAACAGGTGATGTGTTAAGGTCGATTCATTCAACCTGCAAGTGTTCTTCAACGTTTGAATCTTTGGGATGAATTTCGATTCATCTAATATTGAAACTTAAAAAGAAATGGTGCATTTATACTTGTTTTCTTCCTTTTCCGCTCCTTTCCTTGCCATCGCTGCCAAGGTTTTTATTTAACCATCAATCACAGTAATAAAAATCGTAGAAGACACCGAAATTATTTAAGGCCCACGCTCTGCTGATGTCAATTTGCAGAAGTGGAACTCTTCTGTTTGGGTCATGGAGAAAGATAAATCCACGTCAGAGTAGTCATAAGTGGTGAAAGTGAGAGTTTCTGGTTCAGTCTTAGCGACTTAACGGCCTTAGACAAACAAGTGCCACATAAAAACAAGTCACATTAAAAAAAAAAAAAAAAAATGTGTTGCGAGAGTGATGAGATTGGTTATCTTTCTCTATATACAACTGAGCAATTCGATTTACCGTTTACCTTTTTACTCTGGTTTAGCTCCTTCAGCCTATTGGAGAAGTTTATATTTTTATAATGCTGGGGTGAGTTACTTCTTACTCTGTTCTTCAGTCTATTGAAGGATGCTGGGATAGGTTCTTCCTTCTTGGGATGCTTCACAGATTCTGAAATGCTGATGTGTTTCACAGTCTAGTGAAGGATGTTTATGTCGTAATTTATGTTACTTCCCTAGCATGCTTTTTACTTCCGTTTCAGTTACATTCCCCTCTCAATATATGTATGTACGATTAACTACTTGAACCTGGGATTGTTTTCTGGTTCATATCTTCTTGGGGCGCAGTCACCTCTTCCACCAATTGGTGCGAAGAAAGTTATACATATTCATCGCTCTCGTATGTAGCAGAGTTTTATGGCGCTGTATCTGATATTTCATCCATATTTTTTGTACTTGTAGGCCTCGCAAGATGCTTTAAGATGGCATTTGAAAGAAGATTAGTGTTCGTCATATATCAAATATGATACTGGCGATTACGAGCATGCTGTTTCGTGCCACATCACAGAAAGTGTGAGGTCCTGGCTTTCGGCCTGATTTATTTTCCCATTCTTTGTCACTGTAGAGCATTGATCTTCAATTTTTTGTGTCTGCCTTTTGATACATTGGAGTCTCTCTTCACTCAGTGAAGATGTTTAGGCGCGATTATCTCTCTTATGCTTCGCTTACCTGCCCAACGGTTGTTCAAATCTGTGTTCGGGTAGAATGAGGCACAGATGCCGCAGTGTCTCTGCTATGAGGCTGTTTTCTAGCGTACCCGATCACTTTCTATCATTTTTTTGCATCCGAGTGCCTGTTATTATTGAATCTACAATGGGAAAGAATACATTTTTCAAGCAACATACAGCGATGAAGCGCCGATGGTCTGGGGCTGCTCCTTCACCTCTCTGTGAACTCTACTCGCCGGATTGGCATTACAGTAGCACGATGCCGGCGTTCCTTTTCCTCTGTGGTGCCACCTTTGAGGTCATCCACTCGTTGGTGGGCTTCGAATTAGAATTCAAGTTGCAGCCCTCTTGTCTCCTGCGCATCCCTCGCATGTACAAGTACCACATCCTCACAAAAGATCATCTCCTCCTGCATCTGGAATGGGACGAGGAGATGAGAGCGGCAGTGCCTCAATACCGTGTGTCCTGTCCTGTTCGTCATTCTTCAATCCTCCCCAGGCCCCGTTCTTCTCAGCGAGCAAGTAGGGATTCCGACGTGGAGCTGACGGGCGGCGTCATGGGACCGGTGTCCATAGGGGTGATTTCGTCGAACCCAGGGGACGTGGAGGGGACGATTGTGTCCGGTCGGGTGTCCGGCATCGCCATCAGCGGCTCGTTCAGGTTCCCGAGGATCTGCACCACCTGCCTGCACCTGGGCCGGCTCGACGGGATCGGGTGGGCGCACATGAGCCCCACAAGGAGAGCCCTCCTCACCTCTTCCTCGTTGAACAGCCCATTCAGCCTCGCGTCCACCGCCTTGAGCAGCTCGCCGGAGACGTAGAGGTCCCAGACGTGATCCAAAAGGTTATTATCGTCCAACCCCAGCAGGGACCTCCGCCCGCAGATCACCTCCAGCACCACGACGCCGTAGCTGAAGACATCGGACTCAGGGGTGGCCTTGCCGGTGTAGCCGTACTCGGGGGCGAGGTACCCGATGGTGCCGGCGAGGGCGGTAGTGGAGGTGCTCCGGTCTGTTCCCTGGGCAAGGCGGGCCAGGCCGAAGTCGCCGAGGTGGGCCTCGAAATCGACATCGAGCAGGACGTTGTTGGGCTTGACGTCGCGGTGGACGACGGTGCCGCCGCACTCCTCGTGGAGGTAAAGGAGGGCGGAGGCAAGGCCGAGGAGTATGCGGTTGCGAGTGGACCAGTCGAGGGTTCCGGCGGTAATGTGGTGGTCGAGGCTTCCGTTGGGCATGAACTCGTAGACGAGGAGGAGGCTCTTGCCGCTGTGGCACCACCCCTGAAGCTGCACGATGTTCTTGTGACGGAGACGGCCGATGGTGCATATCTCCGCAAAGTACTCCCTCTCGCCTGATCGATACCAAGAGCGGGAAGATCAACGACAACAGACAGACAGCATTGCAATAAAACAGTGGAAGGAGAACGTAATTCACCGCATTCAAACAAGATTATGAGAGGCAGGGATGGGGAAGAAGAGAGAGAGCGAGAGCTGTGGACGAACCTTGCTTCGAGGTGGCGGAGATTCTCTTGACGGCGACTACAGACGGAGGATTAGACAGATGGCCTCTGTAGACGCTGCCGAAGCCTCCCTTGCCGATTAAATTTGCGCTGCTGAAGTGCCTCGTGGCCTTTGAGAGTGCGTCGTACGTGTACATCTTGGGCGCACTCGCTGCGGTCCTCGACAGAGCCTCCAGCCACCGCCACCTCCTCCACTTCTTCAACCTCCTCGCCCCCAGCAGGATCAGCAGCCCCAGCAAGGGAACACCCAGAACGGTCGATAGGACGATGGAGAGAATGGCGCCCAAGTTCCTTTTCCGGTCGCCCGGCTCCTGGAGGGACCACTCCGGCAGCGGGGTGAAGGAGAAGTACCAGCTAAGAACCCGGATGCTCTCGCTGTAGTTGGACGAGGGACCCGAGCCCGCAGTGAAACCCACGTAGATGGGATTTATCTGAGCGATGACGATAGAGAAGTTGAGAACGCTCTTGAGGGGTCTCTCGTCGGCGTATCCCGCCGAGACCTCGAGGCTCTTCGTCCACCCATCGTATTTCACCCTGTAAGTCACTGGTTTCTCCTTCATCAACTGGACGTTGACGTCGCTAAGAGGGGCAGTGAAGTTAGAGATGATGCTAGCGATGTCAACAGCGACGTGGTAGTCCGCGGTATCGTACTCGTTCCGGAAGGTGTCGATCTCCACGGCCAGCTGCCCCGTGGTGTTCCCTGCCACGTGGCCGTAACTTGATCAAACCGAGACCGAAATATTCAACTGCTCAAAATTATCAGTCGGAGAATTTCTCGTGTCCCTCAAAATCGAAACAATTACATAAATAAACTAGAAAGCTTAATGAAAAGTATCGCCTCCCTTACGGCATCGACTTTGTACCCGCAACTTTGATAAGATCGACCAGGCGAGGAGAGGAGCTTCGATTCCCAGGGACGGAGTCCAACAAGAACGATAAATGAGATAAACAAGTTGCTGCTCCTAACTCCCACCTTCCACTTAATACTGACAGCCGTGAATTAAAGGAGCTTGGAGCTGGAATGGATACTAGGAATGAATTGGCCTTCGACCTCCCTTCATTAGCCACGAAGTCGATAGCAATACATGGAACCTCAAATTCAACTTCTTTTAGGTCACCTAAAAACTTCAAATTGAAAATAAATTACATTCCTTTTGCGAATCTCCTGGCCGAATGGCAGTAAATTTCCATTTTTTGATCCATTGTGTTTGAAATTATAAAGAACAAGTACGTTAATTTGGGTTTTTGGATCGAGTCATGGAACGACGCGGAAGTGTGGGGGCTGAAAGAAGCAGGCCTTGGACAAGGATCCCTAATATTTGATTGGCATAAAATACAGGGGATGGATTCCGTGGCTCACCATTCGTACTGTGGTCGAACAGTCCTAAGAAACCGCCGAAGCTTTGCGGAGGGCTCTGCCGCATGTCGGTGGTCATCACGAACGCCATGCCGTCCCCGAAGTTGGTCGCGTTGGCGCGCTTGCGGATGAGGACGGTGAAGTTGGTGTCGAAACTCGCTGGCCATGTTATCGCCGGCCGGTTGTACAGTACCCGCCCGATGCTATTGAGCAGCAGGTTGGGGTCCGTGCCGTTGCCCTCTTCACGGAGGAGGGCGATGTAGCCGTCGCGCACGCTGCTGTTGTGCATGCACCTCAGCCGACCACCGGTGTCGCAGCTTCCCGCCGGGAAGGAAGGGAAGGAAAAGGACGTGTTGCTATCCGCAGAGCCCGACTGAGCCTGAGCTTGGTTTACCAAGAGAAGGGCAGTGATGAAGGCCATGGCCGGCAGCCATCGGGACAGCATGGTGCGAATTCGTTCCTCGTTCTTCTCTGCCCTTCGGCGGCGGTCGTCCAGTCTGATAATTTTTCAAGCCGGGAGATTACAAATAGAAGCTACTGATTGATCTGCAGGCTCCGGAAGGCGTTGATATGTGATCGTACGCCGGTTTGGGTGCCCTCAGAAGAATCTCGGATCGGACGGCTCGAAGATTTCGAAACTTGATTATTTTCGTTGAATTATAGAGGCACTAGACGTTTTCAGATTAAATGCCGACCGGGTCACCGGCCGCAGATTGGACAAAGTTCTGTGTGGGCCTGCGTTAGGGACAGACGACAGCGAAGAACCACAGGCGAGCATAGAAGAGCGTTGAAACATTGAGCATCGTCTGCGGCGGCGACGTGGAAGTTTCTCAGGGAAGAAAAAAGACGCCAGCGGCGGAAGGAAAATCCGAGCAGGGATCTACCTTACCGTTTTCAAATTCATATTTCAGTCCAAAGCCGTCGGCCTGTCCGATATTGACTGTTGAGATCGATCGAGTTCCGCAGGCAACCTGTAATTTAGTCAATGCACGGCGTTGATCCAAGAGAAACTCCTGGAGGGCCTGTAATTCAGTCAAAGACGGTGTCCGGGTAAATTCACGCGACTGAATGTGAACGGCGAATCTTGTCGCCAACGGCGGTGCTTGTTGGTGATTTCCATGGTACACATCCTGGGCATCTTCAAGAATATCATCAAAGTAGAGGTAGAGGAACAAAAAGAAGTGGTGTCGCCAATAGCATGCTTGGTATGGCCCAGTAATCCCTTCCTCCGTTTTCTTTTGTCAGCAGGCGAATAGATCCTCCGCGTCACACCTCTCCTGGATGGAGGCCAATTGACCCTGCCCGTCCCCCAAGTCTCTTCTAGAATGATTGACGAATGACTGGTGGAGCAACCCAAAGGCGTGATCTCCATGGTTATCCCATGGCCACCGACAACCGCCCGAAAATCACCCTCCTGTATCCTGGCGACTACGACTTCACACTGCCTGCTAGAAGAAAATACGGTGACTAACGGACAAAAACAGGCACACGATATAGCGATATAACGTCGTTCAGTACTGAGAACCCCTTGGACGATGGCGATTCTTTGCTCATGTATAACATGAGTTCTCATTAATTGAGACATGATTGATATAAGAACAAAAATAATTATAACTCTAAGAGTTCACTTTTCTCTCGTCTCTTTCGCTCCGGAAGAAAGCAGATTTAATTGATAGAGCTGCTGTTAGCTTTCCACCTCTATTGTCAACCAGATCTAATACAATCTCTATTCCTCCTATTTGCATGATGTGTACTATGATGAACACCGGAAAATCTCTTTATCAAAGTGCCCGCCCCCACAACCCCGGTGTTCTCAATCGATGAAGCCTCTCTACACCAAATTCGCTTATCGTGGGATTCTTCTCCCAATGTTGTCGTATGCCAAGCATCTCTTGCTCATAGGGACTTTTAGAAGCCTCTTCGCTCCTAAAAGTCAACAAGCAACAAATGAAAAAAAATGCTCTTTACAGGATTTAAGTCGAGAAAAGTCACTTCAATCTCACCATCCAGGGAAGTGAACCAGAGAGAGGCGGTCCCTTGTCTTACGAGATCCGGTGTTGTGTTCAGCTCTTACCAGTTCCCTCAGTGGTTCCTTGAAGGAGAGGGATGCATTTAGCTTGTTAATCGTCCCTTGAATCAATGAATTTAGTCACAGGAAGAAATTGATCTGTAATGGATTCCAACGAGAGGGCAAATTACGAGGATTTCCTTTATTGTAACCGATCACAAAAACCTGCTCGCGGCAGTTTGAGAGTCTGGTTGTCTTTTCGTTCGTTAGACAGCGCTTGTGGGCCTGACTAGAAAACTATATCCAAGTGTCGGAATTTCGCAGTGAGATAAAACGGCTACGGTCAGACGTATGATGCGTTCCCTGAAGAGAACTGGATAACAGGCCGAAGCTCGTTTAGACTAAGGAACTTCATGAGCAAAGCAACGAACGTACCCTAGATTCCTTGAGGGGAAGAGAAAGAAGTGAAACTACTCTTTTCGAATGGAGTTGTTACGTTAATGAGTCTTCACCGATTTGTGGTTTAAGGGAAGAACCCCAAAAAGACTTGGCATCGAGCTACATCGAGAGTTTGAAACATCGAAAGCCCAAAAATACATAATTACTCATAAGGGGCCAAAAACTCAAAATTTTCCTGCTTGAACCTGAAAAGGTTGACTCCTTCCTAGAGAGTAAGGTCACCACCGATTTTCATGACTTATTTATATCTATATATATATATATATATATATATATATAAAATATCCTTTTTGACAAGAATTCGAGCACTAAGCTAGAGTCAAAGACTGAATGAGATATTTTCAAATATAAGGAACGATTAAAGGGGGCTCCTTACTCCTCTAGCGAGAGCGGACAGTGGGCTAGAAGCCAAGACGTTAGGAGGCATGAAAAGGTAAGAGAGAAGGCTGAAGAGCAAGGAAACAAGGAGGATCTCAGAATCAAGGGGGATGCAATGAATAGAGCTCTTTGCAATGAATAGACCTTGTTTTTCAATTCATTTAATCTAAGTATTTCATTCTCCTCATTTTCTTGGGTGACAAATAAGGAAAGTAGAGAACATTTATTTTTATTCATAGTCTTCATCATTATGAATTTAATTAAACTTTTGATTTAAATTATTTGCAATCTTTTTTCTCATTCTAGATGACATACAAGGAAATGAATAGAATTTTATTTGAAGAAATAAGTTTTAATTTCGATTATAGCTTTCAATTAAAAGCTTAGTTCTAAATGATTTTGTTATGTGACAAACAACAAAATCTAATTTTAGCTTTAGAATTTATTTTTTATCACGATTTGATAATTTTAGGTTACCCTTGATTGACAAATATGGAAACCAATATTAAAAATAAACCATTTCGCTTTGTTGTTAAAACATGCTCATTATTTGGATTTGAACGAGACTTATCTTTTATAGTCTTTTAGAAAAAAAATTATTTTTATTTCTAATTGAGACAAAGTTGCTTATAGTTATCGATCGAGAGCTAAAAAATTTAATCTCTTTGATAATTCAAATCACATTAGTATTTTTTTATTAATTTATGATAATTTGTCTAACTAATATTATGGCACCTACTAATTAAATGTAGCATGTAATTCAAAGAGTACACAAAGAAAGCTAACCAATGAGAATTTTGATTCATTATGACATAAGAAATTGATCTTTTTGTATTTGATGGAATTCTAGACCTATTGAATTATAAGAATGATGTCATATGTTAATTTATAAAGAGAAAAATGACATATATGAGAACAAGTATCTATCGAGTTTAGATGTCTTATAATAATACATAAGGATATTTTGGTTCATTCCCTATAACCTTTCGAAATTATTAATAATATTATATTAGATTATTGATGATTGTTCTCAATATAGCTACTCATATCTCATTTATAAGAAGTCACAATTATTGGATGTTACAAAAATATAATGTCAAAGATAAGAATCAACTCAACAAAAGGGTTAAAGTTATTAAATCGAACCATGATGGTGAATACTACAGTAGATATAATTGAGGAGGTGAACAACATCCAAACCTTTCACCATATTCTTAAAAGAGTGCTAATCATCTCTTACTACAACATGTTAGGATCACCTAATATGAATGGATTTATTAAACAATGTAACATGACGCTTAATAATATGATAAGGAACATAATTAACTAATCTACCCTATTAGAAAACATCTAAGTAGAAGTATGTGATATTATAATTTATTTACTTATATTAAGTCATTTACACATCAACTAAAATAATTATTAAAACACTTAATGAGTTGCCTAGTAACAACAAGACTTTATAGGCATAATGAAAAGAAACTTTACTCTAGAACAAATAGGTTTTTTTTTTGATACCTTGATACATAAAGGAGATGTAAGGCTTATGATTTTACTAAAATTATTTTTGAGATAAAAGTGTTTATTTTTGAGGATGTTGAGCTTGCAATATATATATATATATATTATATTTTAAGAATATGTCAAGATTTTTCATTTACTATTGACAACAATTAAAATGAAACCATCCTAGCTAACATCAATCAATAGGTAACTTTAAATCAAAAATAATATCCTTACATGTTTTATTTCAAACAAAAAAATTCAATACTCTCAAAATTCAGTCATTAAAAAGATCCACTAGAGTAAAGAAAAATTCAATCATGGATGATAACATCATATTTCTTATAAAATATGAGGTTGACATCAAAATGATGGAAGATGATCATATCAACTTCTCTTGAGTCATGTAAAATTATAATTAGATAAGTAAATAGTCTTGAGTTAATGATTAACTCAAGAAAAGAAAAAATAATTTTGATGATTTTTAGACAATAAGTTGATTATCTTAAAATTGATGATACTTGATGTGAATTGAATTAAGATTGTTATAATGAATATATTGATGTTTAAATTATTTGGATAATGATTTGAGGTATAATATTATATAGCTAAAATGATATTATATTTTAATTTTGGGATGTTAGATGATTTAGATATAAAGATAAATATTTCTGCACAACAAATATGTTATTTTCCTTTGAGGAGGTTGTATGTCTGAATTTTGCTGTATCAAATGGCTTAGCTAATATATGCATACGAGTAACAAAAAGGTTTTTAAATAAGGAATCATGAGTAATAAATTTTGAAGATAATTATTAAAGGGTTGATTTGATATTATTTTACCAGATTACTAAATCATATATTTACATAGGGGTAGAATGGTCTAGAAGCATGACCTTTAGTACTAAAGAAATTTGTATCTTAGATATAAGAGTGGAGCCACTCAATAGAAACCTGATTAAAAGAGGAATTAAAATCTGGTTCCTAACAATTCAAAATTAAAAGAGAAATTCAATAGAAAGCTGATTTTTTCACTCTTTATGGTTACCTTTTTTTGGTATTTTTTAGGATCTACATTTGGCCCATTAAAGCCCATT